TCTTAATATACTATGGTTCCATTCTATATGTTTAAGTTGGCATAATAATAGTTTTTAAGGGTAATTTGTAATTTTTTAGCAAGGGATTCTTTGGTTCCTCCTTTATAATTCGCTCCTTAAATTTTCTAAAGGTGTTTGTCCAAGCTTCCACTCTGCCAATATCACAATTTTAGACGTCTATAAATAAATAACGATAAGTAATACATATTAATTTAATATTGCTATGTTCAGTAAAAATAACACTCTGAAGGAACTTTTCTACTAGATCATGTCTATTATAATTTTCGACTGTTGATAAATTCATCTTTCTAAAGTTATGTTTAAGTAATTTACCACCTAGAATAAAATTATGCACTTACATTTTATACTTTCTTATTATAAATAATCAGTCCTAGTTTTGACTGCTTCAGCTAAAAAACTTAATTTATATAATGTGCTTAATTATTATGTTAAAACACCATCTAAAACGACCTCTTTACAATGCAAAAATATTTCATTAGACAAAATTCCAAAGGTCTTCTCAAGTATTTAATTATTTGATTATATGTCAAATAAATTGACTCTTAATTTATCATACCTATCTCCAACCAAAGATGATACTGTAGTTGAGTAATCTAATAATCTTTGGGATTTAAGTTTTAATTCAAGTAGGCCCTTTGCAGTTGATAAATGTTGACAAGTCTATTAGAAACTATTTAGAGTTCCTAAATAATTATCTGATGCGTTTAACCCACATATTTACTCTAAATTGTCTAAATCATATGTCAATTGAATTAAATGTTCGAAACCTTAATAATTACTTTCGGTGAAGCATTTCTACAAATTGAAATAATAAAAGCAAGTTTAGTCAATTTTTTCTCGTGCTTATTAAATTATTGTATTCTTTTCTTAGTTGGTCCATATTTTCTCTAGTTTTATAATTGCAATTGACTTAGAGTCTTTATTCATCAGCATTTCATAATCATAATATTCATCCTTATTATTTTTTTCCTTTAAATATCCTCGAAGTTATTTTAGCAATTGCCCTTTATAAATTCCTGGATTACTGATTATGTAAAGCTAAATTAAATAAAAGAAAGTACTCTCTTCAGATCAATATCTCTCTCGAAGAAATAGTAAATAAATTCCTCAAAATCCTAATCATCTATCTCATTTTGCTGAAATTCTAGAGTCAACTTTTTTGGTTGAAGCCAAGCCAACCATTATCGCAATATAATTAGATGCTCTCTATCCATCTGCGTATCCACTATCGTTAGCTCTCTTAGTGGAAATAACACTCTAAGTTTTGTTTCGATCATGATCAGATGTTCAACCTTAAAAGTTCCTTTAAATCCTTTGATCCCTAACTTCCTATCCCATCCATTTTTTTTTAGCATTAACTAAGATTATGATTGCAATTATAGATACAAAAAATTCATCCAATTATGATTATATAGTTTTTGAAGGTTCAAATACAAATTTTCCCTTTATTTTTCTTAAATCAATGCTTTTATCCTTCTACACATGAATTGTGGTTCTTTTCTTTAAGCCTTATACTCTAAATGCGTTTTGAGCACCTTAGTTAATTATATTGAGCATAAATTAATAATCAATTAGAAAGATAAGTAAAAATACACTAATATAGTGTAACTGTCACGTAATATTATTTATTCTGATTTCATCCGATAAATCAATTTATATTAAAAAAAATTTAAAAGATTTTATTTATGTTTTGACAGAAACATCGTAAATCATTTTAACGACTTAATTTGTTAGTAAATTCAAAATTAATCAGCAATTATTATTAATATTAAATTTCTCTTAAACTAATTTTTATAAATCTTATATTTTTATAGTACTTAAATGAAATAATCTCATCAATTGACTTAGAATATTAACAGACAAAGAAGTTGAATTATTCCTATCTATTTTAGTAATCTAATTAGTAGCAATGGTATTTTAATTCAGGTATGTCAAAATTTATAAATATTGGTCCTCATTTATAATAATAATATAAAGTTATAATGTAATAATATTTATTTTTCTTTAGAATTGAAATTGATTGTTAAAATTATATAAGGATTCATTGTTATTTCGATAGCAATAGTTCATTATTAATATAGGGTCATCTTGTATTATATTTACAACAAGAATTTGGTATGTCATTTTTTAAAGAGTTATATTAAAAATAACTTTTGAAATAACATTAGAATTATTTTTTAAATCCAAAAAAGGTTTGCAAGAGTAACCTTTTATTTTTATATCAATATTCAATAATCCAAACTTGATAAAACTACCTCAGGTTGAAATATTACTTAAATTTGTAAATGCATCACTAAGGTCTGATATAATTAATTTAAAATTTATGGTACTAGCAAGCAGAAACTATAGTAAGAAATAAATTTGTAAGCAACTGAAGAATAAAATTAAAGATTAATCATTACACAATATATCACTAACTTTTATCCGTTTCGAAGTATTTGAATTTACTAATATAGATTCCAAAAATAGCTTCAAACATAATAGATAATATAATTGTTGTAACTGAATAAAACCTAAAATGATGTTAATACAAATTGTGAGTCATTAAAAATGATTTTAATTATAAAATATACTATTTTTGTATTTAACAGCTTTCTGAATGGTGGATGTAAGCTAAATAGGTTATATAGAATATCATAATTTATAAAATATTATATTGATAATCATTTAATGCATATAGAAATCTTCACTTATCATATATTAACTTCTTTTTCCAATTTCAAATGAGTTTTTTCATTTTAACTAAAATAAAAAATAATAATGGAAACAATCAAATAACTGAGGAGAAAGAAATTGAAAATAAAATCAACAAATTAGAAATTATTTGATTTTTAATTTTTAGAATATTGAAAATAGTATTTATTATTAAACTCTCACTTAAATAATATCAAACATTTATGACTTGGTTGCCAGTCATTATTTATACTTCCTTCTGCATTTATTAAACCCAATTTCTAAAACAGAATCAAACTAAATTCATCAATTTATTTTTGATTATTATTGATCAAATGATACAGAGAAACCAATTATTTTGTATTTAAGACCAGCGTATAATCCTATTTATATGTAACTTCAGCATATCCATAAACAGATAAATCATATCTTTTTTTCTCTTCTTTTGGCAAATATTGATGCAATTAATGTGGAATATCTGAGATTATTTCAGCAGTCTAAGAAATAAATTATGGGTAAGGTAAATATAAAGGTCTGATTGAGTTTTTAGCTATCTTTAAATATTTTTCCAATTCTTTTAATTTATATTTATCCACTATCTTATGACGGTATTAAGACATTTTATTAACTTTTGCACTTTACAGAGATAAATTAAAATTGGATCTGTAAGGGGAAACTAATTTAAACAATTATTCCATCATTAAACTAATAAAATGATCAATCGATTAAACCATGCATTATGAGAAATAACCTATATTCTCATCTTAAGTTTCAAGCAAATTTTGTAAGCAATCGTGCTTTATTAAATATTCTTCAATTATTTCATTTAATGCAATTAACATATGCTTTTCATTTTAATAGAAATTCTAAATATTATTTAGTTGTTCTTTAAACAATTAAAAGAATTAGTCAAAGTCTAAATCAAGATATTGATAAAGAAATTCTTTATATTTGATTGCTAATTAATAAAAAGAATTGATAGAATTATCCTTGTCTTCTAGATTTGAAAGCTTTTGCTTGAGATTATATTAGTATTTATCTTCAATTCTAAGAAAATTGAATAAATCAAATAATTCTTAGGAGTTTTTTTTGAAATCCACAGTTTTAAGCTATTACTAAATGATGAATAATTTCAACTCTTATATTACGTAATTCTCTGATTCAGGATGGAGTGATTTGATTTTTTATTATTCATTCTCAATAAATTATATAATATTATCTTTTGGTATTCTTTAGGTTATTGAATCAAGGTATGGTGTAAGAAATCGTGATTTGAAATAATTGTTGTTGATATCTATATTGACAAATTAATGCCCTTGCTTTAAACAAATCTTTTAGGAGCCGCAAGCCTAAAGGATGTTCAAATATAATGAATTCTAAATAATTGCCTGATTATCAATTAAATTTTCTTTAATAATTTGGAATGCCTTAGTAAATAGTGTCTATTAATTAATGAATATACCAAGATAATACACAACATTAACTAATATTTCCAATTATTGAGGAGAGATTGAATGATGACTTTTGATGTGTTTTCTTAGAATATCATAGTAAAATTCTTCTAATTCAAAATTCTATTCCATATTCTACAAGAAGATCTAAGTGTGTAGTCTAGTGAGTAAGGATGGTTCAAGAGATTCCTTATTTACAAGTTTGCTGTAAATAAGTTAATACAAATCCTAAACTTAAGAAATCATATTTATATAAAATCAATATTGCTTAATATTAATTTTCCAACAATCTCTTATAGTTTCTGATCAAAAGAGCAGACTTTTAAAGTTTCTTCAACGTAATTTTTATTTTTAAAAGGTAGTTTAATACTAATATAGAACTACCGTATCTACATAAACCACTTTTCTTAGAATATTTTAAATGCTAATATATCATAATTCAAGCATTTTTTTATAAAGTCTAAAATTATCTATTTGATCATTTAGAGGAACTCGCTTTTATCTTCATAGACTTACTTCAAACATTTTCAAATTAGACTTTAGATAAATTAATAATATTTCGAAGAGAGATATTCGTTGAAAACTAGATGGATTTTGAATAAAATGTATATTGACAAATGTTTTGAATAAACTAATCTCCTTAGTTCTTGAATATCATTAATTTAACACAGGATTAAGTGCAATTACCTTGAACATTTTATTATTTTCAAGTTGTAAAATGATAATTGCCAATAAAAGACTTTATCATGTCACTAATTGTTTTATCTAACTTATTCATATAATCTATAATTTTAAGATCATAGAGGTCTGTTTATACTTAAAATTGTATATTACATTTATATAATAAAAATAATATCAAGCGTCATAAAATTCTTCTTTGTTTTCATCATATACTTGTTAAGATTTAGAAAATCTTTTGAGAACATATGAAACAAAAGCCAAGAACAAAATCGCAAAAATTATACCATTAACCTATTTTATTTAGTATAATTAAATACCAGCAAAAAAGTTTCTAAAAAGAAAAATAACACTGGGGCCTCTGTTGGGCAATCATTAGGAGATTAATACATCCTTCCCCCATAAAACAAAAGCAAGAGAATATAGATTCCAAAACATATATCCAAGAAGTTAAAAAATAGATTAATAGCAGCATTTTTATATCTATGTTCATTTAGTATTTTACCTTGGGATTAAAGTAATAAGTATGTAAGTTCCCCAAATGATTAATCCATAGAAAACTAGATGTACAAATAACTGAAGATTTTAATTGCATTTTTCTTCAATAAATTGGGTCTCAATAATTCCTGATGCTGATAGGAATATTAAAGTGTAAAAAAAATGTGCACCTTCACTTGCTTTTAATTATTTTTTTGCCTCTATTTCTTACATTTTATATTTATTTATATTATACACTTTAACGATGAAATAAATAAATAATTAACAAATACTATTAATTAATATTTTTAATTTTAGATTAGAATAGGTATATTTTTAGGACAAGTCTTATAATGGAAATTCTAATATTTACAAATTGATTTTTATCAATAGTTCAGATTATTAAATATAAAATAGATACAATATCTTCAACTTAAATTATATCCTATGTTAAATTAATATTTCTGGACTTCGATTAGAAATCAGATATATATTATAAGAAGTTGAATTTATAAAAATATTCTTTTTTCAATATACTAAGGTTGAATTATTACATAATTTATTAAACCTAAAGCTATGGCTACTGAAAATAAGAATAAAATAGAGTTGAAATGATTCTGTTTATATAATTAATGATGATCATTTATTTTTTCTTAATTTATTAGGTCCAGCTCTCTTATTTTTTGTTTAGTTTTATTATTTCTAAATGAGAGCTAAATAAATACTTCAAGTTTTTCAAGAGCTTTTTTCTTAAATTCTTCAACTGACAATATTTTGTCTCCTTCTATGTCATCATCTTCATGTTCATCTAAAATAACTTGAATAGTTACCAAATTGTGGTAATTCTGCTCTATTCTTATTTTATAAGTTTTTCTCATTCATTTAAGCTAATTATTGCAATGAATTGATTTAATTTTCTGATATTTTCTAATGAATTTATTAATAGTATTGCAATAACTTATTTGTTTTATTTTCAATTAGTCCTAAGTAAATCATCATATTGGTATCAGTAACCCCATGAGAACCAGCAATTTCTGTTGCCATTTACTTATCACATTCAACTGTATTGAATAGAGTTTCGATCCAATTCTAAATATTAAAAGATATGAGATACTGTTAGACTATTTATTAGTTTAATCGATTCATTATATTTGAATTCGTACTATTCTGATTTGGATTCTGATCTTGATAATTTCTCCTCTAAATCTTTAAGATGTCTTTTTCTTTAAACATCGACATTAGAACCTTGACCTTCATATAATGATGCTTCATCTTTTAATTCTCCGATTTATTTCTCTAGATCTTCAATTTCATTACTTAATTCATTAACATATTTAAACATTTAAAAATTCTATAATCACTATAGAGTATATTTTACCTTTTCTTCATTTTAAATAAATATTTTGATAAGTTCATCAAATACTTTAATTTGCGTGGCTGCCTGGATTTTAGCAAAATCTTCCTCGTATTTCATGATTTGTTCAACAATAGTTTAATTGACTGTTTTATCCCTCGTTAATTTGTTGGTTTTTGGTTTAGTGAATTTCTCAGGATCAACTACTTCCTATTGATCCATTTCTCTGTTCTTTTCTGTTAATTTCATATAATCTAGTGTTTTTTTATTTTTTTCCATGATTTAACTCAATTCTCTGAGATCTTTTTCAAAATCAGCAGATTCTCTTTTTGCCTATTATTTCAAACTTTAAATTAAATCATTTGCCTTATCTCTCTCCTCATAAGCTGTATTAGCAGTTTCAATGATATCAGCCATTTCCTATAATAATAATGTAGTAGATATACTTTTCTTTTTTCATGCAATTCCTTCTCCAGTTTTTTATAGAGATTATCAAAAATAACTCTTTCTCTACGTAGACTATCTATTTATTATCTTAACTATTTATTGATGGCAATGGCTTCGTTAAATTTCTGGTTTGTTTTGTCTAATCTATTTTCCAAGATTTTAATTTGTTTTTGCAATGCACTTTCATTTTCTGCTCCTGCATTGTATCCACCTAAAGCATGTCTCTTTTCTATAATCTTCTTTTGAAAATCAGCAACATGTGTATCAATTTCTTCCTGCACTTTCTTCTCCTCATTGATTGCTACTTTCAAATCATCAATTATTGTATCAATATTGGGTCCCTTAGAATATGTAGTCTAATTAAGTTATAATTTTTAGGAATTCATCTTGGCAATTAAGTCCTTCAGAATGTAATTTTCATTCTTGAGCTTATCAATGATTCCTCTTTGTTTTTTAATGTTTGCAACAGTTTCTTCGGCATATGCCTTTCTATCGGATTCCAAGTTTCTAAATTTCTTCTATTATTCTAATAACTAATCCTAGACAGTCATTTCCTTATCTGCAATCTGATGGTCCATTCCTTGATTCTGATCCTGTTACATTTTAATAAAAAATACTCTAATTTAAATTATATAAGAAAATTAAATTCTGTTTCTAGAGATCAAGTTTACTAGCCAAGTGAATATCGATAAGTACTGTAGAGATTAATGTTATCATGCTTACTTAATTACTTATTGAATAGTTATAATAAATATAATTTAAATTTATGAATATTTAAAAAGGAAAGCAACAGGGTCAGAAGACAGGTTCTAATTTAAATATAATAATTAGGTCCAGGTATGAATTATGGTGCTGGAATGTCTGGAATGGGAATGTCAGGTATGGGAATGTCTGGAATGGGTATGTCTGGTATGGGGATGTCTGGCATGGGGATGTCTAATGGTATTTAGAGTGGGATGAACATGTCAGGAACTGGAGGGTTCTCAGGTATCAGCAACTAATAAAAATAATTTGGAATGTCAAGTAATATGTCCGGTAGCATGGGATTCTCAAATAGCTCTGGTTTTAAATAACCATAACAATAATAAACCCAAAAAAATAAGTTTGGCTAGCAATAAGGAATGTTGGGGATGAATAATGTTCAATATGGAAATATGGGTTAGATGAATTAGATGTAGATGGGGCAAATGCAAATGTAAATGGCATAATAATAAATGAAAAAAGGAATGGGACAAATGGGCCCAGGATAAATGGGAATGGGAATGGGATAGATGGGCATGGGAATGGGATAATTGGGCACGGGTATGGGCATGGGAAGTTAAATTAATTATGAGGATGACGATGAACAAGAATCAGTGCTATTAGAAGAAGAAATAGATGAGCATTATAGACCTACTAACCAAGGTATTATTTTAAGATACAAAATCTTTAGAAATAAGAGAATATGCTTACTTTTTAGGGATGGAATTGCCTGAAGATAATGATCTATTATATATAGCCAGAGAGGGTTTGATGGCTCCTTTGCCTGAATCTTGGTAATGATATACATAAATTTAAGGAAACCATATCAAAACAGAAATAAGGAAATCTCGTATCTTAACTTAATCACAAATGAGAGAAAGGAGGAGCATCCATGTGATGATTATTACAAATAAATGTTTTAGAAAGAAAAATAAAAAAAAATAGAGAAAATAGCAAGGGAGCAAGCTAGACTTGTCAAAGAATCGCTGTTTGGTAAAGAAACAAAGGAACCAGAAATTGCAGGTATAAATTATATTTTAATCACAAGTTTAACCAATTGTTTAATCTGACGTTTTTAATAGGGATTAAGATCCATTGTTGAAATAAACTTAAGAGAAGAAGCTATAATAATATAGGGAATAAAAAAAGAAGGAATTTGAGGAATAAAAGAAGAAGATTGATAAAAAGATTGAATAGTTGAAAAAAGAAGCAGATTAGGATTATGAAAAGTAATTAGCTAAATTGAAGGAGTCCATAAAAGTCAATTCTTCCAAATAGAAATAGGAGTTTGAGGAAAAGTTGAAGAAGTTAAAAGAATAGGAAGAGGAATAAATGTTAGAATTAGAATAGTATGAAAGAGTATCAAGAGCCAGTTTGGAGAAGAACATTTAATCGAGGTTGGAAATTGAAAAAAAGAATTTGAAATAATTAGAAGAGAAGTAAATGGAAAGGATTGATGAGGAATATGAGGAATAATATAAGAATTAGAAGAAGGATATTGAAACTAAATATGAAAAGGAATACTAATAATTAGTGGAATAGGAGAAACAATTACGCTTTGAAACTACAAACACTGTGTATGATGAGGAGAAAGAATTGGAAGTGTTGAAGCTAAAATTCAAGGAGGAGGAAGACAAGAAATTCGAAGAACTAAAAAAAGCAAAATAACAACAAATTGATGATTAAATTGAGCAATTCAAAAGATAAGAATAAGAAAAAATCAATTAAGAATTAGCAATACTTGAGGAAGAATTGGCCAAGGAGAAAAAAACAAAATCAACCTTTGATGAGAATTAGATTAGATAATAATATTAAAAAGAATTTGAGGATGAAGAATAAAGGTTAACTGAAAACTTAAAATAAAAATTAGAAATAGAAAAAATGAAGATTAAAAAATAAATTAAAGAATAAGAATCTAAATAAAGAAAAGAGATAGATGACCAAATTAATAAAGAATTGAGAATCTTAGAGTAATAATTTGAGGTTGAGAAAAAAAGGAAAGAGGAAGAATTTGAGTTAGAAAAATAGAAAATTGAAGAAAAGGCTAAGGAAGAATTTTATAGATATAAGAAAAATTTTGAGGATTCTGCTCAATAATAAGAATTGTAAATCAGAGAATTCTTTGAATAGGATTAGTTCTCAAAAAAATAAAAAGAATAAAGTCTATTAGAAAATATTGAATAATTGAAAAAAGAACTGAATATTGTTAAAAATGAGCATAATAAATATAAGTAGGAGGTGGAAGAATTGTAGATTCAATTATAATAGACAAGTTAATCAATAGAATATGGATAAGTTATCAACAAGTAAAAATTTGAATTAAAATAATTGACAATGTAAGAAAAATCACTTTTAGAATAAATTGCATTCAAATAATAGAAAATTTAAGAAATTAAAAAGAATATCAATAATTTTAATTATAATAGCAAGCTTTTTGGGGAGACAAATTTATCTGCTTTTGGATAATTTGGAGGTTAAATTGATAATCTCAGAAGCAAAATATCTAATAACAAATCTCCTTTTGAAATAGAGGCTGCAATTGCTCAATTGATGATTTAAATTAGATAATAGAAGGATCAATTGTTGTCAGATTAAAAGATGGTGTAAATGGATTTGGATAGGTTGATGAAATCAAAGTAGGAAAATCAAGATTCTTATTTGGAAAGCATGAAAAATACAGGAAAGGCCAAATTGGAATAAATATAAGAAAAATTAAGACAATTAAGGTATTATTCTTATGTTAGTATATAGTAAAACCGAACAATGGGTGAAAGAGAATTAATCTGTTCTGAATCAATAATGATTTATAGAATATTTAAGTAAATCATACTAATCTGAATATTATTTATTTTAATGATTAATTACCTCTAAATATTGCAATAAAGAAGTCCATTTATGGAGGAATTGACCATTTATGAAGAGGGAAGAAGAGTAACTATTATTTTTAGATGTAGATGTTAGAAAAGTCACTAAGAGAAAAAGGAGGGAAGGAGTACTATTTGATATCTAAAAAATTCATAAAATAATGGAAACATTATGTAGATTATGATGAGGAAATGGAAGAATATGAAAAAGACAGCAGATAAAAAGTTTTGATTTTAAATATGCATAGCCTGATAAAATCAATTCTGATTTAATTAGCAATAAGAAATTGTTTAAGTACTTTCCCGAAGACCATGTTTATAACTCTACCATTCGTTATTTGGAAAATGAATGGGATTATGAAATTGTACTTTATTTAATAGAAATATAGGTTTTAAGAGAAGTTTATGAATATTTTATAAGAAATTATTAATCAGCCGAACCCCAAATTAGAGTGGGGTTCTATAATGAAAATCTTAAAAGAAAGTAGATATTCCCTAATTTAGCAAGAGTATATATCCAATTAAAATAAGTTTACTTTGATTTATTGGTCTCCTGTTGATAATAAACTATAAACAGTAATAGCGTAAGTAGACTATAACTCGGAGATCAAGGCATGGAAGAATTTACTAAGAGACACATTTCAAGAGTTATTCAAACTTAAAAAGGTTAACAATGTGCGTATTTGGCAACCAAGACATAAAACCTTTAAATAAGGGTTATTAATTTAACAAATATCCAAAACTAAAGAGGTAGATGGAGATATTTTAGATGATAATTTGATGATATTTCAATTGCAAAGTTAAAGAAATAATTGTTTAATCCTTGATTTTGAAATGAATGATTGGTAGTTTACGAAATATACAAAATCAATTGAGTATGACAACGAACTATTGTTAGAAATTGCTTTATAGGGTTGTGGTTAATTAGTATGTGAGTTTCCGCAATGCAAATTAAATAATGGCTATTTAGATTTGGGTTTTGGAGTGGAAGATATCAAAGGAATCTGTTAAGTTCTAATTGAAAACGAGGAAGTCAAATGGGAATTAATGTGTTCAAAACAAAATGGTCTAACTAATAATTTACTTCCATTTTATTAGAGGGATGATAAAATAGATATTATTCAATACTTATTGAAGATATCTGCATCTTTAGAATTATTTGGAATTTCATTTGTGGAGAATTACAATAAAAATTAAGGGGTTTATTAGATTGATCAAGAAAACCCAGAAGTTAACATTTTATTGATTCAATTCACAGATAAATTATTGAAATAGTAGAAAGAAGCCTCAATACAAATCATTAAGAATTTATTCTGCAGGAAAGTGGCAGATATTGAACCACTTACAAATTTATATTAACTTAGAGCACTCTATCTAATTTTATAATTTAGAGGAAGTCTAAATTACATTCTAGAGGATAAAACCTAAATACTATTAACAATTATTAGAAGATTAAGTTAATAACAGTTAAATTAATTATCAAAATGGCTCAGTAAACTCGATAATTCTGGAATAATATAATTATAATCAATGTTAAAATCCTTGATTGAAGAGCAAATCAAAATATAGTAAAATGCCCCCATAAGACCGCTTCTAGATATTGATGATATCTAAAGACTCAAAGGACTCTTTGAATTATACAGTATGATATACAAGTCAAATCTCAGGAATCGCAGAATCAAAACATCTGACTTCATCATAAATTCCATATAACATTTTTACAAAGTAGATGCAGATAGAGAGGAATTCACTTAGTTTTAAATGTTCAACTAAAAGATTTTGAGAAATTACTCATTTACTTTTTGTCAATACCCTTGGTCTATGCCACTTGAGTTCAAATCTAAGCTAATTTACATCGAATGCAAAGTAAAGTAGTTTGATTAAAGGAGGAGAACATACGGTATTTTACCTTAATATGTATCCTTAACAATAGAAAGAGATAATATTATTGAGTCTGCTATTAAATAGCTACAGTAAACTAATTAATCTCTGAAGAATCCTCTTAAAATTTAATTTGTTAATGAACAAGGGGTTGATGAAGGAGGGCCAAAAAGAGAATTTTTCAGATTGATTATGGAGAAGTTGATCACTCCAGATTATGGTATGTTTATCCCAAAGAACAATGACACTATATTTTGGTTCAACCCTCAATCCTTTGAAATGCCCATCTATTATTCTTTGATTGGAAAGCTCTTAGGATTATCTCTTTATAACTCTGTATTATTGGATGTTCGATTTCCAACCGTGCTATTTAAGAAGTTGTAGAGAGAGAAGGTTAAAGAGGAGGACCTTAAGGAATTAGATATGGAGGTCTATACTGGATTCCAATTTCTAAGGGAATAGACAGATCCAAAGGTAGTTGAGAGTCTAGGTCTGACATTTAATGCCACATACTAGGTGTGGGGAGAAACGTATTTTGAAGACTTAAAGGTATTCATGACATAGATGAAAAATAGCCTAATGGATTTTAGATTGATGTCACCATTTAAAATAGAGAGGAATATATATAATTGTATATCGATTGGTATTTGAATAAGTTGGTTTAGAAGTAATTCGACTTATTGAAAGATGGATTTAAGACAGTAGTTGATGGAGATGGAATAAAGGTAGATTTTCATTTTATTAATTTAAAATAGCTATTTTCAGGAGAAGAATTGTAGCAATTGATTATTGGTTTGCCAACTTTTGATATGAAAGATTTGGAGGCATCAACCAAATATGATGGGTATGAAAGTAATTCGGAGTACATCAAGTATTTAAATATCAATACAAAAGGTATTTTTGGAATTGCATCCATTCGTTGAATGTTGAAATGCAAAAAAGATTTTTATTCTTCTGCACAGGTTCAGATAGAATTCCTGTTGGAGGACTCAAATCTATTAAATTTGTTATATAAAAACATGGAGAAGGTATTTCTCTATTTAAATTTAGATACTGAATAATTACCATCAGCACATACTTGTTTCAATGTTTTATTGTTACCATAATATAAAGTTAAGGAAACCTTAAAAGAAAAGTTGAAGATCTCTCTTGAAAATGCAGAAGGATTCGGATTGATGTGATTTGTGATATTTAATTATTTAATTATTATCTGAATAGTTTTTATTTAATGATTGAGTTGATTATTTCATCATCATAGCGTTGATTTCTTCATGAAGTTGCAAAACTTATCTTAAAATATTAAATATTATAAATGAATGCTGATGTAAGGTCTGTTTAATTGACTGAAATAAGTCCTCCACTCACCGCCTTAAAACCTAGAAAGGACGCTTTTAATAATCCTATTTTAAAGGGAAATAACTCCCATAAAGTGATTTTTAGAGATCAAGCAAACAATGGTCCATTATTCGAAATTCACATAGTTGAAAATTTCAAAGAATATAATTTGGAGGAACCACAAATGAACAAAAAAACTCAAATTTGTGACTGCACAATAATTTGAAAATTGATTTAGTGTTTTATGTGACAATGACTATAAAATTATCTATATAAAAAATACAGTTTTCCAAAACACATGCTCCTCAGACCAAAGCATTGCTAAGATACTTATTTTATAACATGGTTAAAGTATATTGCATTTTGTTATGCTTATTAGAAATGAGTTAAACTTTAAACTTTCTAAATAAAATTATTTGCATCAACATATAATGTTGTGAACTGGAAATCTCATAATTATTATGAATTATTTCATATCCTAAATTTAGATTCTTATTTTGTTCTTTGATTTAATACAACTTAACCATTATTTATATTTAATGTTTAAATGAGAAAAAATTTTCTTTTACACAGGGAAAGAAGGGCCAATTGAGCTTTAATATATTGCATATTTAAAGTTTGTTCGTTCTTCTCTATTGTTTTATATGAAATTTGAAATGATAGTAAATTTTAATGATCTACAATTTTATAGCCAATAATAGGAAATTATTCTTAATAACAACTTTAATACTGCATTATAAAATTAAAAATCACTAAAAAAAGATAGATCTTTAACTAAAAGATTATAATTTAAGAGATCAAAATTTCTAATAATTTCATTGTTGCTATAATAATTATCGGATGTTTCTTTCGTAAACATCATCGAATAATAAAGTTCTTTGAGGTAATAAGTAAGTTAATCTTTTGACAAGATGATATTTGTATGCTAATCTTTGGACTACAACTGTTAGAATGATTTGTGCAATGAAGAATAGTAAAATTAAAACTATTATATTGTGTATCTAAATTTAATAATTGATTACATTAATTGTTGAGATATAGTACTTGGTTTAATTCATCAAATCCACATTAAACTTATCATTAATGAGTTTAATAAGATTTGAGACTAAAAATCCTCCCTCCAATTCTAAAAAACTAGCTTAGGTTCTCACTTAAAACTTATTGATTTCCATATCTGTCTTAATGAAATTGATTATATAAATTAAGACTGCCTTTAATCCTCTCTTCATATTCTGGCTCATTACCAAAGGACAGAGAGTTTTAGAACGCTCTTGCAATTCATCTGGAATATAATCACATAAATCTTAATCCTACAAAGTTTAAAAGTATTCTTTGAATGAATCTGATACAAGGAAACTAAACTAATAGCATAAATTACTTATCGAAATCGTAATCTTCACTAGAAAATAGTTGAGTTCGATTGATAGCCATTTGAATTTCATTTAAAATGTTTTCAATATCGACTTAAGTATAAAAGGGGAAATTAGCTCTCCCATAAAGTACATCTCTTTGAGCATACATAGTAGGTACATCAGTGCCAATATCAGAAACTGCTTTATAAAAGCGCGACGTGGCTGGATATTTGTTTAAATATGTTTAACCTTCAAAAAAAGTTAAGATAGCATTTCCACCTATTAGTAATATAGTTGTGAAAATAAATATATAATAATAAATTTCCTGCATGCTGACAGATTGTAACTTCTAATTGATTCTTCTCATTGTACTATTCCTATCAACTATAGTTTCGAAGAACTTTTCCTTCTCAGATAAGCTAAATTAATATTTAAATAATAGGTTTTGATCTTTGCTGATTTTCTCAGATAGACTCTTTAACCGAGTCAGGTCGTTTTCAATATATTAATTGGAGATATTCTACATTAGAACATAGTACTTATTGATATTTCTAGTAATTCTGATAAAATATAGAAGTGTTAAACATAAAAAAGCAATCAGAATCGTTATGCTTATAATAAAAATGACCCTCACTTAATCATTGATATTAGTTGCTCTCTACATAGTGTCGATCAAAACTATTTCATTAAGATTTGAGAATTTCTCTTTTATAGGCAAATAATTTCTGTATTAAAAATATACGTAAGGACTATCAGCTACTGCTGATCCATCCAAAATATAAGCCATTTTAAAGGTGTATTAATAATTTATTAAAATATTAATGCTATTTCTTAGGGATATGTTATAGATTTCACCTTAGTTTGTTTTGACATAAACATATACTTCCAAATAAGTATTCTTTAAAAATTCTTATAATTCAGGTCTATTAAATGCTTTCTTGAGATTCTGATCTAATGAATCGTAACCCAAATTCAGATTTGCTCTTGGGAATTTAATTAATTCGACATACTGTGTTAAATTAATTTATTTTTAATCTCTTAATAAGTTATAATTGACTATTGCCCATCTGGTTACTAGAAATGTTTCTAAGGGCTGGAATATAAAATTCTTTATTTAAAGCAGGTCTATATCAGATGCAAGTCCTTCTAAATTTGAGTTGATTTCTGTCAATTACTAGTTGATATTAGATAAAAATTACTATGATTTGGATTGAAAATTGAATTATGATGCAAAGAAGAAGCATTATAATGAATAGTTTATGGTTTTTGGAAAAACTGTCTGATTCATTAATTTTGGCAAAAATCTCATATTTCTTATAAAACTTAGATCTTCTGGCACCTTATAAACTTGAAATTTGAGAGGATCTATCATCTTGGAAGGCCTGTTATTTCTCATTACTATACTAATCTTAATCTTTGCCGGAGATTTAAAGTATATATTTACGAGATTTGGATTTTGAAAAATATTATTATTAAGCAAGTAAATTCTCATTGCATCTGCTAGGACTAATTAAATTAGTATGTTCTAAATAAGAAAACAATTTGACTTCATTTTATTCAGACTATTCGATTGCTTCCTATTGGCTTCCCTTCAATTGAATTTAATAAAATGAATTGGTGTTTTTTTTAAAACTACAAATGTCATGATAAGGAATTTTGACCTTACTTTCTTAATTAACTAAAGTGAAAAAATTGAACTCTTAGTCTTCTTTTTTGGGACTATAAGTGGGACTTATATGGGAAATGCTTGGTTATGATTAGTAACTAGGTTTTTTGAAAAAGTCAAAGGTGAGGATATAATATAACTGTTCGCCTTGAAATGTGCATGGCATTGCAGTATATGAAGTAATCAGAGTTACAAGTTAGGATGAACCTGTACTTAATTAAACTTCCTCGTTCAATTTAGAAAATTGAGCTTCTGCATTTTCTATATATTAAGTTCCACTAATTATAAGAGGAAAATCAGGTAAAACCTTCTTGATATTGACTCCTATGTAACTGTGGAGTGGGATTTTCGTTCCCAATTCAACTACCAATCCTTCACTTAGACTAGATATTTTTTAATTTTAGTCTAAAATGAGAAACATTTATTAATTTGATGTTGGTTAAATGAATGATATAAAACTGAAATCATTAAGCAAATTAACATCAAAAACAAATTCAATTTGTGTCACTATGTTTTATTGCAAATAGTACAGATAACTTGAATTGATTTTTCTCATAAATTTAGCTTATCCTGTTTATAAGAATTGAAAAACAAATTTATCATGATGTTCTGCAATTCCAGGGGGAATCAAACAATTTATAGATTTGCCTTATAGTTGCTCATTAGTTTTGTGTAGAAATTAACTTGCATCATTGGAACATCTTGTTATTACTAAAGTATGGGAGAATTTGGATGTTAAATAAATCATCCTGTTTGAAAATACATCTTAGTATGTTCCCACTCTTTTGATTTTCTCATCAGAAAGTGCAATAATACTGAAAAGTTAGTTAGTCTAAAGAAAATCATTAATGATTTCTGCGTAATAAAATCCTAGTATACTTTGGGTCTTATCACAAGGAAAATCTGCGTATTGTTTTTCTAGTTTTTTTTGTAAATTTAAGGCCTTCTCTACAAAACGAAGATAAGTTGTGTAATTGCTATAGGTCTAACTTTGCATCAATAACTATTAACAAGCTATCTTATCTCTTAAAATGCTAAGTATATCGTTTCTTATTAATAAATTTGATTCTTCACTCTGCATTAGAGAAGATACTGCTAAAGCGATCTTGTGTTGTTAATTAGATTCAACTTAGATCTTGCAATCAATCTTAGTTATACATTACTTTAAAATCACTTTCCTTTTAAACTTCTCTAAAATATTTAACTACACTTCTGGTATCGAATTTAATTCCAAATATGCTTCATAATCTTGTCCTTACAACATGAGAATGCTTGAATAGATGATTCTCTCCTTGGCAGATTAAGGTTTTTCGACCTTAATTGTTTTGATGTCTTTGATGTTGTCAAGGTATAGTAAAACATTAATCACCTTACAATTACCATTTTTGCAATTAAAAACCCTCTGCTTAAACTATCTTTAATAATAGGCAAGCGTCACATTGAAAACGAATGGGATTAGTACGATTTCACTTGTAAATCCCTTGTTCAGAGATGCAACCTTCAGTAGTCCTATAAACAATGTATAAAGATTTATCGTAAGTAAAATAGATTTAGTATAAAGGTTCTTCAGAGGAGAAAATATAATTAAATTTAGTGCCTTTAAAATGTTGATCGCCAAAGCCAACACTACGATAACGTTATATGAGTCGTAATATGAATAGATGATCATAATGATGTAATTCAAAATAGCCAAAATAAAATCTAAGAATGAAAATCGCGTGTGTTAAAAATTTGTTGTATTGGCATTTAATGTGCCAGATAAAACTATTGTTTCACTAAATGAAATGAGGATTAAAAATGAATGAGTAAGTATCTTTATTTATCCTGTGCTATATTCAAAAAAAAAATTTAATAAACTGCTTCTTAACAATTATCCGAATACTCCTATATGTTTGCTATGAGCATTTATTGAGAACAAATTTATGATGTACAAATTACACATTACCAAAATTATATATTAGGCAGTGTCTAAAGAGGCGAAAAATTATTGAGGTCTTGCAAACTCACTCAATAATGTAACATATGAATTGATTTCTGTTCCATAAATATATGATAAGCTTAGTAATGATGATTAAATCCTCAACAACAAAACAAGAGATCTTGGAAAAATTACTAATTGTTCTTCATTTTTGATGTATAATTCCAAGAAGTAATTTAACATTTTTTAAAAGCGTACGTTCATTAATTAATTAAAAATAAATAATTTTTGGATTCATCGCATTCAATTTGTAATAACTCATATATTTCAATTAAATCATTTAATTCCTCTCAAGAATATCGATGTATTTCAAAATAGATTGAATATATAAATATAAATTAATAAATTACGTAACAGGAGTAACTAAAAGAATCAAGCCAATATACTATTACTAGTAAATATGAATTCTTTACCCTTGATTATTTCAAAGTGATTTTGTACTTATTATAATTTCCATTTGTTACATTAAATTAAAATCTGTAATTTATATACTTTTAATTCTGAAGGATTATTTTTTTTATCAATAAGATAAATACAAATATATTTATTCCAATCATCATTTTACAATTAACAAACAACATTAATTGAATCAACATTGAAAGTTAAAGAATTGCTCATAAGAAATGGTTTATACATATATAGAAAATTGTACAATCAAATAAGAAACAGTCTTTTTTGGAAAATAGCTTTTGACTTTGTTTATATATTTTAGTTTTGACAATTTGGGAATATGAATTTTTATCCCCTTAAACAGAGTCATGAGAATTTTCATAAACTTAATAAATTTTAATTATAAGAATTTGACAGACAATTTTAAAACTAAATAAAAGATTAAAAGAAGCTTATACAATATTTTTGAATTGTCTATTTCAGAAATTAATAGAGGACTTGTAAAAAATATAGACCATTATTATCAATTAAAGATACTAATAACACTAAAACTCAAATGAATGTAATAAATTTTAAGAAACGAGAAAAACTTCATCAAACAATATTAGAATTTACAATCAAATTTAAATAAGAACAAGCAAAAGTTCCGCTAAAAATGAAAAAATTAAACAAAAATTAACAAAAAACAAAATAGAATGATAAAGTATATTAAGTTCTTGAAATAACAGACAAATAATAAGTTTATTTATGTATAATTTATCTAGTTTTTCCATTGAAATAAATAAATAATTAAATTATGTAAACATTATAGAATAGATTCTAATACCTTGAAAAAGATTTGTTAGGTCGTGGCTCATTTGGTAGAGTTTACAAAGGGAAAGACACTAAAAGTGGAGAAGCTGTAGCTATAAAAAGTATTTCTGTGTATTTATAAGTTAGTTATGGATATGACTTTGTTTGATGATTAGTTTATGATTGATGCTTTGCATAAGGAAATAGAAATCATGAAATAACTTTAACATCCAAATATTGTCAAACTTATTGAAACATTTGGTGATGCAAAATAGACAGTATAGATTATTTGATAACTTCTAATAGGTATTGATTATTGAACTTTGCGATGGTGGTGACTTAAGACACTTTCTGAGTAGACATGGAGGAATGCTTGAAGAGGCATTAGCTTAATCAGTGATGCAATAATTGATGCTTGGATTCTAGGAGATGATAAAAGGGGGGTATATCCATAGAGACATCAAGCCAGAGAATTCCCTTATTCACAAGAATGTTCATAAGGTTGCTGACTTCGGATTTGCTACCAAAGCTGATATTACAGGGAGACAACTAATAAGAGATTGTGTTGGAACTCCAATTTACATGGCACCCTAACTCCTTCAAAATACTGCATACACTGCAAAATGTGACATTTGGTCTATTGGAGTGATGGCTTATGAGATGCTCTATGGTAGATAGCCTTGGCCTTGCAGAGATATCAACTCATATCTGTTAAATATTAAATCTTCTCCATTAAAGTTCCCAATTGAAAAAAAAGTTTCAGAATAATTCAAAGATTTCATAAAAAAGTGTTTAACTGTTGATGAGAATTAAAGAGTGGGTTGGAATGAGGTTTTCAAACATGAAGTGCTTAAGATTTCATAAGAAGATAGAAAATATGTAAAAATTACATTTATAATGTAGGATAACTTCTAAGTCGATGAAGTTTCCAAACAAATCTTAGCCAATATCTAAAAGATTATCTAAGCTAAGAACTTAAATGTTGAGTAACAATTCAAGACATTTGATTAAGATAAAGGTGGATATTTAGATTTAAATGAATTTAATAATTTTATTCAAGCGTTAGACCCAAGAGTAACAAACAAAGAGTCGGAACATTTATTTAAATTGGTAGACAAAAGTGGTGATCAAAAAGTAAGCATTGATGAGTTTAAAAAATTGTTTTGTGATTATGATTACTCTAATTTGAAGGATATCGCTGAGAGACTTATTGTTGATCTAAAAGAAATTATCAAAGCTAATAATTTGAAAATTGAGGATATTTTCAAGAATTTTGATAAAGATAAACAAGGTGATTTAGATTTTGATGAATTCACTAAATTGTGTCATATTGTTGCTCCAGCATTGAAAAATGAAGAGATTTAAGTAGTATTCACAAAATTTGATAAAAATAATGATAAAAAAATCAGCTTTGAGGAATTCAAGAGAGAACTCTCATATGGAACTGACCAAGATTCATAATTTAACCCAGCTAAAGAAAAAGCAAATGTATCTATATTATTAATCTTTAGAAAATACTTTCAGAATTAGTGAGAATTGTAAAATAAAATAATTTAAAGGTTGAATAAATCTTCCAAAACTTTGATAAAAATAAGAATTAAAAGCTAGAACTGGGTGAATTTTAACAATTATGTAAAGTGATGGATAATTCATCAACACTTGAGGAATCAAGTCTTGTTTTTAAGCTTGTTGACAAAAATTAAGACAATTTAGTAGACTTTTAAGAATTTTCTGCATTATTCAAATGAGATACATATAAAAAGAATAAATCACATACATTTATTTTACCAATCAAACTCAAAAGTTCTTTTATATTCCATATAAATTTTGAGTTTCTGTTAATTATTACGAATATCTATTCATTTCGAATTAACTTGTTATTTTATTAGTATTACTTTTAAATTTAAGTTTCTATTCAATTTCTATGGAACTTATAATATATATTTCTTATTAAATTAAAGAAAAAAGAAAGACTTTTATAAATGTTATTTATACATTTATTTAGATGAAAATAGAAATCTGCTCATCTTCTATTTGAAGATGCCTCATTTGGTTATGAGCATTTTTAAATCTTAAAGTTTAAGAATTATTATATTATAAATTTTAGTTATAAATAATATTTGAAAACTTAGTATCTATTGGTATTTATTAAGGCAAATAATCTCTAATAATATTACAAATAATTAAAAATAATGCGCAAAAGCAATTTATTAAAATCGTTGTTCAACAAACAAATTAGGTAGTTTGCATCAGAGAAGTTTGTGCCTTTCAATTTCAAAGACCCCCTGAATCTAGAAAGCTAATTAACAAGTGAGGAGAAGCTGGTAAATAGTTTAATCATGTTTAAGATTAGAGATTAAGCAGCCAATTATGCTCAATCCTAGTTGCAGCCAAGAATCAGAGAGGCATTCAGTAAAGAGCACTTTGATCCAGAAATATACAAAGAGATGGGAAAGTTGGGATTCTTAGGATGCACAATTTCAGAATATGACCTTTCTGGGGTTTCTTATACAGCCTATGGTTTGATCAACAAAGAAATCGAACGTGTAGATTCAGGTTACAGGTCTGCTCTATCAGTATAAAGTTCATTGGTGATACATCCAATCTATTAATTTGGATCAAAGGAATTGAAAGACAAATACATTCCAAAATTAGCAAGTGGAGAATATGTTGGTGCCTTTGGTTTGACTGAACCTGATCATGGTATATTAGTAAATGTAATTCATTTATAGGTTCTGATCCTGGATCAATGAAGTCCCATGCAAAGAAAAAAGACAATTATTATATATTGAATGGTACTAAGAGTTGGATTACAAATTCACCAATAGCTGATGTGTTTGTGATTTGGGCAAAGGATGAAAAGGGAGACATAAGAGGATTTGTGTTAGAGAAGGGAATGAAAGGTCTATCTACACCAAAGATAGAAGGAAAATTGTCATTGAGATCTTCAATAACAGGGCAGATTATTATGGACAATGTGAAAGTCCCATAAGAAAATATGTTTACAACAGTAAAGGGATTGAAAGGTCCATTTTCCTGTTTGAATAATGCAAGATTTGGAATTGCATGGGGAACTTTGGGAGCAGCTGAATTCTGTTTTCATCATACTCGTCAATATGCCTTGGATAGAAAGTAATTTGATGCAAATTTGGCATCATTCCAATTGATTTAGAAGAAGTTTGCTGAAATGGTAACTGATATTGCATTGGCCTAATAAGCAGTACTATAAGTGAGTAGATTAAAGGAGAATGATTAATTAGCAACAGAATAAGTATCATTAATTAAGAGAAATTCATGTGGTAATACATCATATATATATTTGATTAGCAATTGCCTTGAAGATAGCCAGAGAATGCAGAGATATTATGGGAGGAAATGGCATTAGTGACGAGTATCAAGTGATTAGACATATGGTCAATTTAGAGACTGTGAATACCTATGAAGGAGCATCAGATATTCATGCATTAATTTTGGGTAGAGGAATAACAGGAATCTAAGCTTTTAGTAGAGCATTGTGAGTAGTCATAGATATATATATATATATTTAATTGGTTTCACAATTACAATAAATTTATATGGGAAATTCCAAATCTAAAGAGATCACTAAACATGCAAAGGTTGCTTTCACCCCTGAATAGCTGTAATAACTAGAAAAGTTGTTTGCAGGTCTGAATGGAGGCAAAGATCTTGTGGAAAGATCTTTTCTATCGCACTTCCCTGAAAACCCAGACTTTTCAATTAAATTGTTCAACTGGATGGTTGAGCGAAGTCCAAATCACTCTGTTGATTATACTAACTTTGTTGGGTTATGTAAGTTCTAGTTATGATGTTTAGTGGAGTTACTACTTAAGGAATTGAAGGATTATTATCTGAGTGACTATAAGTTTAGAAATTTAGAGAAGTTTGAATTGTTTGCCTTGATCAGTTTGGAATGTTTGGAAAATGACAAGGACTCCATAAACAGGTAGTTAATTAATAGTAGTTATTATAGATTTGCTGTATCATATTCACAAGGGAGCATTGTTCTGAGGGAATTATTGAATATTTATTCAGGAGGTTAAATAACAAATTCTTAGAGAAATGATTTGGCTGCCAGATCAGTTACAAATACTATATTTGATTAAAAAGATGAAATGCCATTCAATCAATTTGTTAGTATGGCCAAAGCTTAGTTGATCTATGCTAACAAATTATGTAAACATTATTTTAATGTGAAATTTCTGGGAGAGCAATCTCAGATTCAAATACCAAGATTGAATACTTCCAGTTTTATCTTGAATGATTAGGTGTTGGCATTACTTTAATTGAGTTCTCCTGATTTCAGTAAAATCAAATAATTATAATTGCAATTCTCATCATCTGTGAGTGAAGATGACATGGATCACATTGCAGATATTGTAATAAATGCTCAGAAACCATTGTTGTTCATATTCAGAAATAGAGAAGATGAATGTAAATATTTATTATCAATCTTATTAAGCATAAAATGACACTTTCTAACAACAAGTATTTGGAGCCTATATCTCTATTGATCCAACACTCGAAACTCATTACATCAGGAGAAAACTCAAGGATCCTTTGAATATTCTTTATAGTGATAATGATCCTAAGAGTTTGTATTTTGGAGATGAAAAGAGCTTCTTATTTTCATTGCTCCCAAAATATTAACTATTTATGAGTACTTTTGATCAAAGATCGAAATAATGTTTTGCTTATATAAACAACAGATCTTTCAAGGTTGATCAACCTTTGGGATTGGCATTTGGAGGAGATGGAAAAGGAAATCATAGAATATGGCTCGATGAAAATCTTAAGGGTAATGCTACTTGCAGGATCAATAATTAATGTGATCTCACTTATGAGATGGGCTATATATTGGAACCTCATATTGAATTCTTGAATGTATGGCATTTCTATTTATTAATTAAGTTAACATGCATTGAAATTTGGAGTGTTGAGGAGAAGGAGGCCAATACTTTATTACAGAGCAAGATTGTGGAAGCGGGGAAGGAGAATACACAATAGAAGGAAGTTGAACAACAGAAGGAAAGTGTCATTGAGTAAAAATGATAGAGGGAATTTCACTCTAATAAATATAGTAATCCTATTTGATCATGCAACGAGGCAAATCTTTTTCTTTGGTTTCTCTGTTTTTAATTCACGAATTTATGCATTTTCTCTAACTAATTGTTTTATTTAGAACATGCTGAGATTATTGACATCACTCTATCTGAATCACACGAGTTGCTTTCCAACTAGATACAAGGGAATTTAGATTAAGGTTGACGATTTCTAATTGCTTGTTCGTTATGGATATGTGAGATCAGAGTTTTGAGGGTCAAAATCTTATCATGCTAATCAAAATGCTCCCTCCTCCTTAAACAAAATGTCGGAGATCTATTTCAACAATTATAATACAAATTTGCTTTTTTCTATTCAATTTCCTTTTTTAACTCCTAGATAATGTTATCTAGTATTTATTCTTGAGTAGGTGGTTCTTTTATCCTGCTTTATCGTGGACTTCTCTGCATCACTTTGTCTATCATTTCCTCATATTTCGAATGACTGGTCGTCTTTATAAAGTTTGCCTGTCTTCTCACCTATTTTAACAACCTTGCTGTCGGACGATACGGATTCTTAAAAAATGATGGAGCCTTATTTCATCTAGGAACTGTACTAAACGTTGCTTTTCTTGGATCTCTTTTTCTATCCTTCGTAAATCGTTCATGAATTATTTATTTTTTTTATATAATTTATTGAATTATAGATATTATTACTATTCATTCAATTAACAAGGATACATTACAAAATTACCTACCTTTTCTTAAAAAGCTCTCTTTTTGTATTATAATCGACCATTACAGATATATTGTTTAGATGAATTGTTATTCCTTTATCATTTAACAATAGCCTGATTATAGTATGAGAATGAGAAATAATATTTAAAAAATGAAATTTAAGAAAGCCTTATTCAACATAGATAATCAATTTTTAAAGAATTCTCAATTAAATTGCAAGTTTATTCACCCTATAAATATGTCCAAAATTAATAGATCTATATATTCTAGTAATATATAAGTATAATTTCTATCATAAGGAGGAGTATAAATAAATTGATTTTCACTTATTTTAATAATAAAACCTAAGCTTTTTATTGTTATTATATTAAGGTATTGTTTATTAAAATTAGAATTGTTATATGATTTAATAAACAATAATATAAATATCAGATGTCTCATGATCCTCAGGTTGATTTGTTGAATATGGATCACGCAGCAGGAGAGTTTTTATAAATGCCACTAAGAAATAATTTTTTTTAAAGATTTGAAACTGAGTTTTTTGCAGAACCTTGGGATGCACCCATTGGACCAGCCAAGAAGAGTAACTCAAAAGTCAAAACCATAAAATTTAAACAACCAATATCTCGCATTCAACCCAGGTATCATACTACAGAAACACCGACTACTCCGAAAAGACCTTAGAGTTGCCAACAAACGAATTAATTCGTAGATCTAGGAATACCTCCTGCTACTCCTTCTTACACTAAAATCATGCAAAGGATTATCATTTCTACGCCACATAAATCATCAAGAAAAAACTCAACTAGTTAATACCGATAAAAATGTCTATAGAGCTTGTTGATGGCTTAAAAGTAAAATAGTTAATTATAATATTTGACACACTCATCAAGTACTTACTTCAATTTTATTTCTTAAATAAATCCTGTCTCTTAAAAACTTAAAATAAATTAAGAACCTTTGTTTAAAAAGTGTAAGTTTAAACTAAAAAATATGTTAAACTGATTCATAATATAATTTATATCTATTATCATTTTAGTTGAATTATTTTAATTGGAGTTATAAGCAATAATTAACTATAACATTTCTCTTTCATAAATATGTAATATTGTGTTTGAAAATATTTAAAGTTGCTTAATATAGATATCACATTGCATTAAATATTCAATAGCCAAAACATTTATTAATATTGATTTACCTAAATGTAATTTAAGAAAATCTTTCATACTCAAAAGTTGATTCAAATTGAATGCAAAAAGGACTTAATCTTTATTTAAAAATCTTAAACTAGATTTTTGGTTTTATGATCTACTGAAATAGAGTAATGACCAAAAAAATGAATCATATTTCTGCTTTACTGTATTATTTTAGTATATATTGAATTGAAGTTTAAAAAACTTAATATTAATTGTTCTCTGTATATTGGTTTGAAATAGAATAAAATCTTAGCTATTTTATTGATTGCGAATTTAAAAATATGGAAGGAAATAAATTTTGAAAACTATTAAAGCAATATATCTTGATAAATTATTCTGAAGTCTTGAAATACTCTATTTAAGTTAATCAATATAAGTTTAATCATAAAGTAATCATTATTAGTCATAATTATTCATAAGATCTCTTCATTTCTATAATTATTTCATCTAATCTCCCAAATAGAAGAGAGAAGACTATTCTTATTTCACTCTAAATAATGATTTCTTTATTTATTATTCTACATAATATTAAGACATTCTAAATTTAATTTTAATAATTATAAATATTATAAATTAAAATGGGAGCATCATGTGGTAGTATGAATTCCTCGATAGTAAGAAGAGATAGTGGAAATGGAAATATGGGATCTAACATTGTCTTTGCTTAAGTCCCTTTTGATCCAAATTTGAAGATAGATGATATTGGTATAAAAAATGTGTTAACTGATTTTGACAATTTGATTGCAGCTCTATAGCAAGTATTAAAATATTTTGACTTGATTAGTTGCAAGGGGAAGTACTCAAAATACCAAGTAAAATAAATGAAATATAAATATAATGAAATTATATCATTTTTTCTTTGTTAATATTTTTTCAGCCTCTTGCAATAATGATGATCCATCTAACCTTGTATTCCAATTCAATTTGTATTATTCCATCAATTTTTCAATTTATTCTTCATCTTTTTCGTTGATCCTCTTGACTTCTTGTTCAGGTTAGACTTCATCATCTAAATGAACTTCTACATCTTTGAAGTTGAATTCGTCTTCTTCTTGTATGGAATCTTTGTCTTCTTCTTTTTCAACTTATACTGGGTTTTCTCCTTTTAATCTACCAAAGATATTGACTTCTTAATAAGTGGTCATTCTTAATTCATATAGGGAATAATATCTAATAATACTTTGGATAGATCACCTATAAAAATAGCTTGTCATGAATTTATTGAATTCCATGATGTGCTCCTGAGTAAATATGGGTAGGTTGTATGTGTTTGTCAAAAGTATCTTAGGTCTGAGTAGCCTTTTGAATATTTCATATGAATCGATTTATGTGATTTTGCGTTCTAAACTCTCTACAAAAATATAAAACCCTAATGACATGAAGGCAGATTTCTACTCAAATGTGCAATTTTTAAGATAGTTGTACATCTGCAATAGGTATTCTGAGAAGACAGCCAATTTACACTCTTATTGAGACTCTTCTGTGGCCTAGGAATAATAGATGCCAAATATACTTTAGATATAGTTTGAGTTTGGTAATATTAAAAGGAGATAAGCTCATAAACTTGGAAGGTGAATACTCCTCCTTTTTTGTGTCCTGTTTCAAATCGCACGATGACAGTTTTAAGAAATTCCCTTTATTGGTTTTGTGTTTCCAAGGAGGCCAATTTAATTATGTCCTTTCTTGTGACAAAGGAATCGTAGAAAGAGTAAGATTTATTGGAGTCAAGTTTGGTCCTCTTCTTGGTTTGATGTCGATTGGAATTGGTGTCTGGAGAACTCATTTATTTAATTAATTTAATGTCGGACAACGAAAATATAGATATAACAAATCTTAGTGAGGGGAAGATCGAGAAGTACATCCAGTAATTAGAGACCTCTATTCAAAAGAGAACCACAATTTATGGGTTGGATGATTTAACAGTAAGTGATTCAAATTAACGAAATATTAGATGGTGAGGTAGAATCAAATATTGTGTAAATTGTTGAACCAGCAGGGTCTCATAGCCCTATAAAAATAAAATTACGAATAGTGCATTGAATATTTACGAAAGGCTGAAGTGGCTACAATTTACGTTCCAGAATTAAAGGTTTGATTTAACGATAACATAGGTTCAAACTTTTAATAATTTGGCTTGCTATTATAGAAAGATGGGCAAAACCAGAACAGCTCTTCAATATTTGCAATAGGCATTGGCAATTGAATTACAGTATTCATGATCTTACATTAGATAAAAACAATCCACTTCATTGCCTGACATCTACTTAAATCTCTGTGCAGTTCTGTCTTAATTAGAAAGACATGACGAAGCCATTCAACACATCTATTTGTCAATCATCATGTTGCAACATGAATTACTCATTTCTACTTTTCAAAAACCAGAGTTAAAATAGGATTAACCAAATGAACAATGTATACTTCGATCTTTTATTCTAAGCCTTCCCATCCAGATAATCTAGCGTTTAATATGTGAATACTGTCAAATCTCATTATAATGAAAGTAAGAAGGTGTAAGAAAGGATGTCCATCTTAGTTGTCGCATATCATAATCTAGGAGTTGAAATGGAACACTTAAAATTATAGTTTGAATCCAAGAAAATATTTCAATCTGCCTTATAATTATCGGAGTAATGTCTCCCTTAAGAGCATCAATTAAGACATGCTCTCGAGGATATCACCAAAAAGTATAATTCAGAATAACAACAACAATAAGGAAATGAGTAACTTACCCTCAAACCTCTTCTTCCTAAAGTTCACCAAAAAAATTCAGAACTTAAATAAATATATAAGAGTGTCTCTCCAAAACAAATCCTTAGACGAAGTACCTAGTTGCAATAATAAAAAATCAATACTAATAATAAGAATTTCAAGTTTATAAAAAAGAATTCGTTTAGTGAAACCTATAGACTTGAAAGGGACAGAATCATGAGTATCAATGCAACTACTGAAGTTATTATCAAAAACTAAGAAAATAAAGACATAAGCAATCTTCCATATTTAAGAACAGCCATAGATACCGTTAATTAAACAACTATATTTTGAAATATAATACTCAACTTTATATGAAATAGAATACATTTTCAATATATTCTCATTTTAGATTTGTATACATCTAAATACCACCAATCATATCCCATATGTCGATTACTTTCTAAAAATGTGTTGCTATTTTTAATACAGATTTTATTTATAGGATTTATATTTTAATTAAAATAGTTTATATTAGAATGCTTACCGAGCCAAATATCGATCGAAGTTTCGTCGAAGATTAAATTAAATTGCTCTAAAGAGATATTAATTGCATAATTGATTAGGTGAGTTGATTTGCTATTATTATAGGATAGAAACTTGAGGAAATAAGGATTAACAAAACTCTAAGATTTCTTCAAAGTCAAGTCTAATGCTCACGAGCGTATTTATATTTTTGATGCTTATGCACTTAAAAACCTGTTAAGAGCATTCGAAGACTAAGTAGAGAGAAATAGAGAAACTGCCATAAATATAGTGTTAAATTATCTTGATCTTCATGACTAGAATTTTAATACTGAGACTCTCAGATTAATTGTTGATACAATTATTAATCGACTCAATCAATTACCATTTACAGAAACAAGTGAAGAAATACGATTAGCATTAATTAAATTGTTACATAAAATATAAGTGAAACATATTGATGCTTATACAAATAATTTATAAAGACTAGCACATATGATCGGAAAGGCCCTTCAAGACAATTTCCCAGAAGTCAAAAAAGTAAATTACTCCATAAATTGATAGGATGCAGCCTTATTTGCAGCTGAGATTTCAAAAAAGTTACCCATTGGAGAGTATATGGGAGAAGCAGTCAAATCTCTAAGTTAAAATATGCAGCATGCTCATACAAAAATAAGAAAGGCAACGGTTGATGTAAGACTTTATTAAGTATCTCTAAGAGTATCGCTCCAATTCTCTTAAGCAGAACTAATGGAACATTCTTAGAGGTTGTTTTAACTAATTTAAGAAATCTTTCTTTAGATAAGTCCTCTGATGTAAGAAAAGGGACTCTGATTGCAGTGGCTGAATTACTAATGCACTTTTCTATTCAAAACTTGAATAGTTTTGAAAACAATTTGATTCTGATTTTAATGAACAGTTTAAGTGATGATAGTAAAGAAATATAAACTTTGGCAATGTAACTCTTAGATGAGATTGGGTTGAAAAGGCAAAGATTGGATGAAGAAGCCAATTTATGATATAAATTTAAAGTATGAATACTAATATATACAATATGTTTACAAATGGTGTTAAAACAGATATATAAGAATCTAGGTACATTTCTAGATACCAGATTGTGATTTTAAATAATTAATTGAAAAAATAGATAAAACTAAACTTTTTCACAAAAAATAGGTTGTTAAAGTGTTGCACAAATTGTTAAAATCTAATAAGGAAGCTCTTAAGGTTTCCAAAGTATTATTAGTCACTGTTTATTCAGTCTTACTTTTTTCAACTAACATTTATGCCATCACTTTAATAACTTCTTATAATTCTTCATTTCCAATTCTATGATAAATGACAATATTTACCTCGAATTTGATTTGGATTTCTTTTCACTTAAGCTCTCTATATACTAAGGACTATGTGCTTATTATATTGACCCTACAGATAAGTCATTATTTTGAAGTAGAGATACTTATTTTTTTTTGATTTATGACATAAATTTATCTACAGCATTGGCATCACTAAAATCAATTTAAAATTGTATTTCATCTAATTAAGATCTTGGACTTTAGACATCAAATTATTAATTAATTTCGCTTAAATCATCATAAAGAGACACAGCCTCTTTTTTTTATTATTTCTCACTGAATGAGAATACCGAATCTTATCTACTTTTTGACATTCTCAATTTTTATTATATCTTCTTGCCAGATTAACTGAATTTTGGTAATTAGTAATCAATTTCTGATGAATTGTCTTCTTCTTCATCACACTCGACTATAGCATTGTGTTAACTTCGTCTAGAATTTATAAATAAACTTTCAACTAATTAAGCATTATCTTATTTAGAAAATGATTTCATTTATAGCTTCAGATCACTATCTGGAGCACGACTGCTAATATCATCAGATTCAAAAGAGTTCAATTCGACTTAAAAAATCATCTTCTCTAAGACACTTCTAACGACTTCTTAACACATAGTCTCTTCCATTCTTTATAGAGATTATTAAGATCTCTTGGAGAATGATTCCAATTAAAATTTTAGTTAATCTGCCTCTTTCTATTATTGGGATCCTTTTAATTGAAGTTCCTCAATAATGGTTTCCTTCTATTTTAATTAATTTTACAATTAATCAATAAAATCTTCTAATTATTGAATTCGAAATTGCATCTCAAAAACAATTTGCCCTTCATTGACACCAGAAACTGTAATTGATTTTTTCAATTCGATATCAAAATTTTATTCATTTACATATGATTAGTTTGCTTGGTATTCGACTTTGGAGCTATTAAAAAATTGATTGTAGTTGTTGTATTGCGAATTTTTGCCTTGTTAGATTTACACTAAAAGTTCATTGTGCTTTTCAATTAATTATTAGACTTACAATTAGTAGTCAGCATTTTTATTAATGAGCATTTGATTTTCATGATTCAATTGCTTCACCTTCTACTAATTAATCGTCTATATAGTCGAGTATTATTCTTTGATCATAGTAATTTATTTTTAGATTTCAAGATATTCTACTTATACTTTGTTCAGATGTTCATTTTTCATTTCTAATTCTTGTTGATAGACAAATTCATTCTGTTGTTATTGATCCTTTTATTTTTTTAATTTAATCTCATATTATTCTAGCCTTTTGGTAATTTCATTATTGACTGCTTCAAGATCTTTAATTTAAGTTAATAGTTTAGATTACTCCTATTAGAAAACCTCCTTTTATTGTTGTAAACATTCATCAAGTTATTAATAGCTCTATAATAATTATTACTCCTATTCCTTCCATTGAGATAATTCGTATTTGTATTATTTAACTTATAAAATGAGCTCTTCATTTCGTTATCTATACTCTAAAATATTATTGTTCTCTTTTTCTTATTATTAGAACTCTAATCTTTTGACTTCTTCTAATTTATTGGCATATTATGAAGTAATCTGTTGTAATTCAGATCTCCACATTTGATTTTATTTTTCCTTTGATATTTTAATGATATCAGTGTTCTTTGTGGACAAGACTGTAGACTACTTTAATTCTTAAATTTCTCTATCCTTCATTTCTAATTTCTATTGTAAATGATTAATCGTATCTGCAAATTCATTTTTCTATTAAACTAATAAAAATCTATTACATTTGTCAAAGCTTCCTCTAATTCATTCTCTAGTTGCTATTGAACATTCTTAAACTCATCTATTTCCTACTCTAAGGTGTGTTCCCTGTTTTTGGAATCTTCCAATTCCAACATGACTCTAGCCAATTGTTTTTTGAGTTCTTCATTTTCTTATTCTTATTCGACCATCATATTATCAATTTCTTCCAAAAATGCTTTATGTTCTTCTTCTGCTTTTTCTAATTTAACTTTATATTGGTGATCTGAACTACTAAGATTACTGTTACTGGGTTCCATTCTGCCCTATGAAAGCAACTTGACTTATTATTATTCCAACTTTTAAATGATCTCATCCTTCATTTCAATTTCCATTTTGAGTTAAATGCTTAATTACTATGTGGATAAAAGATAGATTGTACTTCAAAATCAACATTCTGATTAATTTATGGAGTATTTGTAACTTTCATAGCTCTCATGCCAAATGTTAAACTGGATAGAGTCTCTTCTACATGTTTGCCAGCTGGACCAATGTTCACAATTAAAGCAGTTTTACAATTACCACCAAGAGCATCTTAGAGAATGCGAGTCAATTTTGAATCTCTAAAGGGAACAAATGTAGATTTGGGACCAGTTAAGGCATGAATGCATTTTCCCAAGGCTGTAAGTGAGTAGTTGATGGATCTGGCTTCACTAAGACGATCCCCTGTAGCTCTTGATTTCTTGATTCTCTCACTTCCTGCCAAATCAACAAGATATAGTGTTCCAACACAATTCCCAGATGGCAATATACTTTCATCAGTTTCTGTGATCATATCCTGAGAGTAGTTTTATAATTTGGAACTAGGTTTCTTAGAAATGGTCATAGATCTAGAATGTTATTTGGATTATCTCTTCTCTACTTTGATTACAAGCATAGAATGAGACCTGGAAGAATGGGCATTTAAATTGGTGAATGCAACCACTTTGTTTTTTTCTGCAAAATTCATAATACTTAGACATTCTTAAGGGGATTCAACTTCCATCCATTCCAATCCTGACACAAATACACCATTATCTGGACATTCTCTTATTTTCACATCTTAATTATCAGGTCTAATAAGATCCAGCAACTAAATTTATCATTTAAACAATACCATCTCCATATATATTTACAAATAACCCAATTACACAGTGTAAATGTTATTTGTGTCTGCTTAGATTTCATTAAAAATTTATTCAAAAGTACGTGGAGTGATTCCCTTTTCATCTGAATCAAGTTTTCCCATCATGGTATATGTTTTACCTGTTCCGGTTTGACCATAACAAAATATAGTACCATTAAAGCCTTTGACTACGCTCTAAATTGATTATAGATTATAAGTTTACTCCAACAACTCCTCTTGCGATATCGTTGTAAACCTGATTTTATGATGCTTTCGAATCAAATACAGAGTCAAATTGAAACTGCCTCTTCTCAAAATCCTTCTTGACTAATAATATTTGGAAGTGAGTACTGATGATTAGTTTTTTATTGGGATCAATAGTTTCGACACAAATGGATTTGTCTTTACAAATTAATTCCTCATCAATTAATGGTCGAAGTCGAACTGCTACTTTAACTCTTTCAGACATTTGAGTTTAAATTTAAAATAATTGAACGGTATAAATTATATTATGAGATAACGATTAATAAATCAAGGTTTCTTTTTAGTAGCTTGAGAGTCATCTAATATCTAATTTATAGTTTTGCTAAGCTTAATAACAGCATACACATTACTTCTTTAGTTGTTGCAATTGTTTATCCTACTAATTTTTAATGATGAGTTTCTGGATGTTGTACATCTTCAACAAGGAAGTGCTGTTTTGAGATTTCAAAATTGTGGAACTCTTATCACCAACCTTCTCCTGTGAAGCATTCATATTCACTTTCTCACGACTACTCAATACATTTGGTTCTTACATGTTTTTCATCATCATATATGAGTGCTGAGTCCCAGAACTTCTTCTCTCTCGTGTCTATTGACTATCACAATTCTGAGCCATTGTGACACAACCCTCTTGTTGAATGCCCTACTGTCTATTGTACACTTGGTTCCCCAGGATGTATGTTTTTTTGAACAAGCTGGGACTGGATTCTCTAGTTTGGTTTTGAGAAGAGATCTTTCGTTCCTAACCTGCAGTCAAACTTTTGTTCTTAAGGTTACTAACCTATTTTATACCTTCTCCAATAATTCTAACTTCTCCTTCTCCAATTAATCGATTTTCTCTTAAAGACTATCCGAATATAACTTCATTTGCTGCTCCAACTAGCAAATTACTGTAGATAATTACTCTGATATGATTTCGAATTTCAGCTTCCGCCTTTTAAACTGCCTTCTCCAACTGATCATACTCTACCCCTTTTTATTGTTGAACTAATTCGATCAAAATTGCCACCTGCTACTTGAGAATCTTGAGAATTTCATCCAAGCTAGGCTTGATTTCGATATCACTCTTGATAACAGCTTATATCTGTAAATTGCATCTTAAATTATTTACATCTTGCACGATCTTAAGTAATTAGTTATTTATGTTCATATTTATTAATATCAATTTATTTAGCATACAACAAAGAAATAATCTATACCTATAATCATGATTATTAATTTTAATTAGTATGATCAACACTTTCGAATTAAACAATTCTAGGTAGCATCTATGATTAAGCTCTCAGGTTACCAGTCCTATAAGAGTTCTTGATGAATCCCACTCCTGTAGATCTAAAGAATCTTGAGATGTCATAATTAATATATACCTATATTTCTGCTCTTCCAATACTATGGCTTTGATGTTATTTGTTTGGCGAGATTGCAATTTATCAAATAGTTCTGATTTAACTGTCTACCTCATCTGAGGGTGATCATTTATTTTTGTTAATCCAAATACTGATTTAGCTGAATAGTATTCCTTAGTATTTTCATCATGGAATAATTACTAAACTACATCTGTGAATCTTTGTCTTTGGGGAGGTTCCTTCTTACTAGGCAAGGTGGGCTTAAAGAATTTTGTAGTATTCAATTAAGTCTACTTCTTAACGGTTTAAGTCTGAGTTTAGTTTTGAATATCCTGATTTTATATCTATACATCCTCTTTATAAAATGAGGCTATATCAAATACATTATCAAACATCTGATAATATTTTAGATCAATTTAATTTAGGATGTTGTAGCCTAATCGTTGCTCAAAGATGATCAATAATTTGGTTACCAATTGATGAGTATTATTTAATCTTTGCAAGTCATATTAGGATAATTGTTGATATTTATTAAATTGTTTGCCAAACTGTATCATTTCCTTTCTTAACTTAATCAATTGCTAATGCTTTGAAAATAGATCATTTAGGAGTTCAATCGCCAAGGATTAGCAGGTAGATTCAACAGTCTAGACTTGTTCAATAGCATACAATTGAATTTTGGCCAAATAGAATTCCTTACAATCTTCTGTATTGATGATGTTATTGTATTTGGAACAATGAAAACTTATGACTTGTGAGTATAGACAATTTAATTTATACTTTATTTCACTGGCTTAATCAAACAACTTCAACATGGTTTTGTATAAATTGGCCATTCCTATAAGAATACTAAAGATGATTTTGCCTCTTTCCTTTTTGCTCTCATTGTATTGGCAAAATTCTTTATGGAACAAATTTAATGATTCATATTAATTGTTCATAATGTCCTTCAATTGAGCATTTTACTAGTAAATAGAAAAGGTCAAAAATTGAGATTTGTTCATTATTTGCCCAATAAAGGATCCAAGTTTAACACTCTCCACACTATCACTATTAATGCATACAAAAACAGTCTATTTTTGATTTAGCAGATAATCCCTAAAGTAGTCTAATAACTCTACACTTTTGAATGGCACATCTACATGTTTTCGTCTTTTTGTGGTTAAATCAGCCATAGTCTTATATATTTGTCCAAACTCAAAGGTACCACTAAACTTGACAATCTTAAGTTTCGAAATGATCACTTATTCTTTAATATCATCATTAGGACTGATCTCAGCCTTTAATTCGATAATGAAATTAGTTCTTTTATGTCTATCGGCAAACTTTTGACTAAGGATGTTTTACTCTTTATTAATTAGATTGACCATGGCAATTCTTAAGATTTTCATCCCCAGAAGGTAATTATCTATAATGACTTCTGGAATCCCAAGCAATTGATTTTGACCATTCTAAAATATCGGCATGAAGGGTTGTGAATCCAAAACTAACAAATCTTTGAAACCTGTTTCATCGTATTCGAATGCACTCATCTTTATAGTGATATTGTTCTCCAGAAATTTCTCTTCAATAAAATTAAAGATCTCTTGCATAATAAGAAGTACCAGTCCTGGATTTCTCATATTCCCTATACCTAGAGTTGCCTTACCAGAATGTCGATCACCCAAAATCTAAATCATATGAGATTCTCCAGCCAAGAAATGTGAAATCAAATCACGAAAAACTGCTTTGTAAATATCTTCATTTGAGTTCTTGTTTGCAAAAACACCACTGAATTAGTACTATTAATCTTTAACCTAGACATTATGTTCGTTAAGCTGATGAACGAGTTAGGTCTTTTCAGGCTCATCCAGTTGAGGTTGTCTTAACACCAAGTATGTTTTAAATGGAATATCACCTATTTTGAAGGGTTCGTTTGAGAGCAAAGATTGGCGATCTTTCTTCATTATTATAATTATTATATTGGTGTAATGGAAGTGTAATACATATACATTATCTAAAACTATTATGAAGGGTTAAAAACTATAAAACAATATATAAGTTTATTAATTATAACAAAAATACTCAACTGAGCAAAAGCATGTTTTAATTTAATTAACAGTAACCATAACAAATGTCTCAACTACCTCAATACACCAGTTAGACTGTTGAGTCCTAGTTAATTCAGCAACCAAGTCAACTTAACATCTAGCCATAGCCAATCAATTTCTACCCACCCTCAGTCACACAAATCTAAAATCCAATAGCATCAAATCAAAATTATTAAATGCAACAACAATTGCAATAGCCCCAATAATTGCAATAGCCTCAATAATTTTAATAAGCACAATAAGCTCTGTATCCTTAATATTAATAATAACCAATTTAACTACAAGGTGATGATTAATAGTTAAGATAGAGGTAAATGTCATAAAATCTTTAACAACACATGATGTAACAATAATGGAACGAATAATTTCAATAGATGCTATAGATGCATCATCATAATTATCTACTCTAAAATTAATTGCAAAATCTGATGGTCAATTAAACAGCTTAATCAGAACAAGCTCGAAGAGATATGATGATGTAACAACAATAGTCCTTAGCCGATTTCACTAACTTGTAACCAGAAACCATTACAGAATACATACCAGTCGAAAAGAAGATAATTGAATATGAAACAAGAATCAAAAAAATTCAAGTTCCTGTTACACATGAAATAACAGAATATGTGCCAGTCACTACAGAAACTATTTCACCAGAACGAACCGTTCGACTATCCCCTCCAAAAGAAGTTCACCTTGTACCAACTGTTGTCCAATAACCCCCTCTTTTATAATAAACTGTTATTCCAAGACCTTCTCAAATGTAGATGATTCCTGCCCCTACTTAAATAACCAGAATGCCAACAGTTCCTTCTTATTAACAAGCCCCATTAACATCAATAAGATCCCAACTCTAATCCTCCCCTCCTAGAGTTTTGAATAAGCCAATGGATATTCCTATACCTCCACCACCTCCTCATCTTCCCTTGCAACCTTTTAATTACACACCCAAAGACTTTCCAACAATGGCAATGCCTCCCCCTCCTTAATAATTTTATGCTTAAGCCTCCCTGAATTCCCCATTACCACCATCACCACCACAATTTGATTCACCACCTCCTCCTGCTTATTAACATTAATTTGCAAATCCATAAAATTAACTACCTCCTCACTTAATTCCTTAAGTACCTCAAGTACCACAAGATTTATTCAATCAGCATCAATTACATCCCCACCTACAACAACATTAGATCAACCCTAACTAACCATACTAACCACCATTACTACCCCATCCACCTTAATCAAGGCCTGCTCCTTTCATCCCAGAATAGTATTACAGAGATTAAATTGAGGATGAATAAGACTAATACTCTTATGAAAAACCACAAAGAAAATAACCAAATCATCCTGATTTCTAATAGACTAAGCATCCCTCTTAGTTAGATACTCCAACTTACCACATACCCAATTATGACAGTGAGAATGTATAAATCCTATCAATATGATATAGATAAGAGATAAGTAATCTGAGCCTATTCAACATCCAAAAAGAGCTCCCTTCATTCCCAAATCCTATGATCCTGATTTATACTATGAGAAACCTGAACGTGTCCAAATTCCATCCAAAGATAATTAGAGAAGAGAAATTCAAAGAGCAGTGTACGAAAAAAGACCATAGAATGCTCATTAACAAACCCTAAGGAGCAAAGAAAACTACTTCAAAGACAATATATTCTAATGATATACCAATATTTATATTAATATTATTAATTATGAGAACTTAAGAGAAGCCAAGCAAGTAGGGGGGATTGTACAGTTTGAATCTGGGGTAGAATAATGGTCCTTACCTTCCAAAAGACATAATGCTCACGAATTAAAAATCTCTAAAGGTTTGATAATGTAACAGCTTAGCTCCTCCAAGGAGATGAAGTCAGTAAATCAGTATCTAATGTTCTTGCCAGAGCTGGCATGGGATAACTTTATGAACCTCCAGACATCTATGATGAGAAATCGAAATAGTTTGTAAACTTAGATGAGAAATACAAAACCAGAATGAGTGCAAGCGATAATGTAGCAGCTATGAGTACATTATATACAACATCCATCAAATAGCTTTAAGATTCATTGGCTGAGTATAAGGAATTAATAAAGAAGACTGAAGTAATCATAATACTCAAAATCTAGGAAGAATTAAAAGCAATGAATGAGAAAATCAACAACGATAACATTACCAATATCAGAGAGCTGCAACCGATGCTCAAAGTATTTCATGGTAAATTGAAGGAGAGATTGCATGAAGAGAAAAATGAGAATTACAAACTCATGAGAGAGATCGAAGCATTAAATAGAGAGAAGCTGCAGATTTAGTATTCAATTGAATAAAATTTAGACAATCTATTCTATTTTCACATAAGAGAATTATGGACTTAGAAAAACTCGTTGGCATTTAGCACAAAACAGAATCACTATATGCTGAAAAAATTCATGAGGAAGAAGACATTAATGATGATGAGGATGAATAGCATTCAGAAAAAGATTTAGATTCTTAAATGTCAGAATCTTAGGACTGATTTTGTAATCAAATTAATGATTATAAAGTTAAAATAACTCTTAGAAGAATTGTAATTAAAGTATTTAATTATTCCTTTCTTAATTTCATAATTAAAATATTATATGCTACTTTAAACTCTATATTTTCTCTTGTTAGAGTAATTTATTCTGTAAAATTACTATTAAATTGAGTTGAAATTAATAATATTTTGTTAATTAAATTTAAATTCACAAAGATCAACCTGATCTGAAATTTGTATAATTCATTTCAATTGATTATTCTGGTTAAGGAATAGGCTATTAAGTTTAGGCTTCATATTTAGCACTATGAAATTAGATAGTATATTTTACATTAATCTAAGATCTCGATATTTTATGATCAACAAGAATAATGCCAATAATAACAATGAAAGGGTTATGATAATAATTCCTCTTCTATTTTCATAATAAATATTATAGGTAATGACATTTTATTCTAAAATTTGAGTATTATAAAAGTATGATAGTTGCACGGTTTCATAATGATTAGTTTTGATAGTTACTAAAAGAGTACATATATTAAATTACCTCTGGCTTGAATTGAAGCTGATATTTTTTGATATTCATCTTCTCCAATATAAACTCGTTGAGTTAGGATATTTTATGGGTCATGTTAAATTCTTTTTACAATTAATGAATTGTATTGTGCATTCAAATTGCATTTATCCAATTGTGAGTTATCATTTATACTCTAATTTTAATAGATGAATGTATATTTGATGCTTTACAGTACGTAATCTTAGCTGGTTTTCTCAGAAGATTAAATTGGTGAGAAATCAAAATGCAAATGATTTTCTACTATAGATAGTTTGAACTCTCCACCATTGCCTGGATAAAAATGATCTACAGGTACAATAGTATCTAATTTTAGAATATCAATATATAATATGTAAGATACAAAATCTGTTTAGGTGGTATTTTTAATAGTTTGAGTATTTAAGTAATAAAACTCTGGTTAAACAGATGGGATTGTTCCAGATAATTGCTTATTGTGTACAGATTCAATTTTGTCCCTGTAAAGACCCTTTGTAAGATCATCTCTTGAGGAGCTTCCATATGCATGCACAATTCCTCCACACAATTAGATTTAGACAAATAGTTAGGAGAGTGACTTTAGATGAATTTCCCATACTTTTTATTCTCCAACTTTGGTTCTTACTAATCTCTAAGTTTTTGGTGATAAAATATTCTAGTCTTTATTCCCCAAGGTAACATAGATGGTTGAAGAAGAGGCAAAGACAGAATTAATAGTGAGAAAGTAGGTGCCTGCTATGCTTGGTATTTAGATATAAGTGATGTCGTCTATTTCTTGAAAAATAGAGATTTAAGCATCAACAAAATCATGATGATCTGATAATATATCAGGATTGTTGTATCTATCATGCCTCAAAGTGAATTCTAATACATGATTTGATAAGTGTAAATGCCTTACTGATTCAAGCGTTATTGAATAATAATCATCACTTGAATTATCCACTCCATTTGGAATAACAAAGTAAGTTTGAATATAATTATTTTAAACAACTTAGAATTTCTCTGGTTGCCCTAACTTCAATTGCACAGCCTGATTTTTATCTATGATTTCAATTTTATAAACAGATTCATTTGTGAAATTGGAAAACACCTTTAATTAAACAACTGAAGAAGTAGAGTTTTTATAAGAATCTATGAGTATCGTTCGATTGGCATGAATGCCTTCAAGACTTTCTATTTAATTTTACTAATGATCAAATAATCCATCCTTTTCATCAAGGACAAGAAGACAATTCGTAAAATTCAGATCTTCATAGTTTATATTATTGAAAATATAAATTTTTCCATAAAAAACAGTAAGTTACAAATAGAACTCGTTGTCAAACCTTGGAAGATAGACATAATTTTAAGATTCATTAGTTTTAAGCTTATGCTTAATCTCCACATTATCAAATAATTAAATTTAAGCATCTTTTCTAGCGATTGTAAAAGTTATAAAAGCGTCTTAATAGTTATTTTCCACATAAATCATCATAAAGCAACGGGAACAAAAATGCTCTTAATCGCTTCTGATTTCCAAATAATAATCATCCATCTTCCAATGATATCTAAATATAAATAAAAGTACTCTGTTGGTATAGAATTCATAACATCTGGTAGTTCTTTCATTTGATAGGAGCAGATATGAATCTTAGGCTTTAAGTGTTCATTCATAACACTGGAACTCATTAGAATTACAAAATCCGCTGGATAACCTTGAAAAAATGTCAGATAAGTTTTTGAATCCCAAGGGTAAGTGTGAACAAATGATTTTGAAGTTGAAATGTGATAAAAACGAGCAATCCCTGTCTTTACCTAAACCGAGATAATTGATTGAGTAGGAGCATTAACGCCAATACTATAATAGTTTGAATATTATATACTAGTAAGTGACAATTTGTGATGAATCCTTTTTTGGAGGGATCATTATAAAGTCACCAATATTAATGGTTGAAGTAAATTCATAAGTATATCCTGTAGGCATTTAATTGATGCTAGCAATTATCAGAACATGCCCCTTATTTTTTGACTAAACAAGAATTTACAATCCCACTGCTTCGTTAATGTTCGTAACTTTAAAATACTTCATTTAACCTCCTTTAAATAGCCCGGTATAAACAAATCCTTCATCTAATTTGAATACTCCAGAAGAACGGGAGATAGAGTATACTGTAGAATGATTATTTGCTGAATTTAAATTAATGCAAGTTACTGCTGCATAGCAAGGAGTTTTATCACAATTCGCCTTTAGTACTTCCTATTATGATATAAACACAGAGCTTTCAATTTCGATGTCATCATTTAAGGATTGAAACAAGGAATTATCATCATTAGTAGGAAACTATTCAAGAGTTGGTGGATCTAACTATATAATACTAACCAAAATTCTGATATTGGTCATAGGAGAAAACACAGCTATTTCTGTCTCATCTGTTAATAGAAATGTGAAATAATTGTAGTCATTCTTGATTGCTTTTGTAATTCTCTCATCGTTATATAGTTTAATGATTTAGAACTCCTTTGAGACAATTAAGGTAAAGTAAGTATCCTATTTTGATTCCACATGGATAGCAAGTACACATTAAACTATTTCTTCAGTTTTTCTGCATTTATCGAATTTGATTTAATCACTATTTAGTATAAGACTTTGCTATTTCATATCAATAATATCATCATTAAGATATATAGTAGCCCATATTATAGTTTAATCAAAGAATTCGGCATGAAGATTAATCTCTAAGTCTTCCATTTTATAAAAGTTTACGAAGAATATTTATTTCTCAGACTTTTCAATGAAACCTTAGTAACTATCCCCCACAACCAATTCAATTGGCTAAGAACTCTCTCTGTAATGAATAGTATATGAGTATAAGGGATAACTTGAGGATGCATTAACTTACACCCTCACATATAAATATTATGGATATTTCTCGATTTGATCTGTGAGTATTAATGAGTTTGATCCTTTTAGAATGGCTTTATTGAGATCGATTTCGGGATGATCAAATCCATAAATTTCAAATTCACCAGAATTAATCCTCAATTACACCTTTACCTGATTATGAGATATTGCATTTTGATTACTATATCCACTCAGATCAATTTTGAAAAGTTGAACATCAGTTGAATGTTAGGTATTAATTTCTTAAGGATAACCTTCAAGTAATTGTATATATTAATGGGCATATTTACCAATCGTTCCCCAATCATCTTGTTCTCTGAATACGATTGCAGTGATAATATATTAACTAGCTGTCTCCCCGTAGACTCCAATGTATACTGTTCCATTAATTGGTGCTCCATTACTTTTAGCTCCATAAACGATGAGATTCTAAACACCTTGGTTGTCATTCTGTTCTTTTGTTGGATACATCTGAGTTTTAGATGAAAATATCCTGGGATAACCCTAAATGGGTGTTAATTAAATGAACAATCTTTAAATAAGATCACCATCGTTTACTATAAATTTGTAATAGTTGTAGAATTCATGGAATACAAACTATTTAATAGGAGTGTTTTCTATTAATAGAATGTTATCTTGTTTAGTAGTGATTAAAACAGAATAGGTTAATTCATCTTCAACATTATCCTCCCCTGGAATAATTATGATCGCATAGAAACACATGTGAAAATTTTCATATTCCCTACAATTAGCTGGTTGATAATCAAAAAGAATTATGTCATTTCCAGGACTATTATAATATAATTGTGTCTTACTTTAAAGAGTAGAAGTATTGTGTATTATGATTTTTGAAATCCTAGGATTTAATAAGACTCTATTCATCTTCATTAAACTTACAAGTCCAAAATTCATTGCATAATTTTAGAATTATATCAGCATCTCCTCTTATATTTCTTAAACTCACACTAACACTTTATTATTTATTGCTTTTAATAAAGAATCTATATTGATGGTATTTTGATTTGCTCATCTTCCTTATAGCTGGCTTATTTAATTCCATAACCATTAAATCTGGATTCAACATTTATGTTTTCAATTCAAATGTGGCAATGGATTCTTTTGCAAAAATTGCAATATAAACATAAGATCCTTTAGCATCCAATCGTATCAAATCTTCATTAGTAATAATCAGATCATCTGAAACTCCATCACGTAATTTCCATTGATAACTTTCTAATTCTGGTGGATTCTCATCAAGATTAACATACATCTCAGTGTATCCTTTAAAGGATATCAATTAAATATTCAAGATTAATTCTCCTTATTAGAACAGTTCTTGCTCAGTTGTAACATTGAGCACATAGAATTGAAATTAATTTTCTGAGATCACATCTTCAATAGATTCTCCTACATTAATAAACCTTGTCTATCCATAAGTTCTTGTTTTTATCTATACCAATGCTCCTTATTGCGCTTCAACCAAAAGTGTATAACATTAATCTGCCTTTATATTTTGAATTTTAAACTTTTAAATCCCAGAGAATGTATCCTAACCCTTATATTCATACTTTTGGAGGGTTGGCTTTTCATACCCCGAATTCATATAAGTTTGGAAAGATTCCTGCAGAATTTCAACATTTTTCACTTTTATAGAAACCTCTAAGTTGTAATCTTATTTAATCTCCTATATTTTTAATTAATCTATAGAGATTCTAACTACTTCAATCCAACTGGTATTATTGAGCTTGAACTCCAAATCATCGGCTATAATTCAGATTAGGATACTTACAATTACTCATCTTTAAATCATTTTGACAAACAACTTTTAAATTATATCGACAATATTCCTCACAATACACAGCCAAATAATAAGTCTGCTTGCTTGGATATTGTAGTATACAAATATCTACAACAATTTATTAATTATAGTACCCATTCCTTAAGAATCACATATGATTTCAGAATTTGTTCTATTAGGCTTTGGATTTTAGGAAGAAATATATATATCTGGATTTCCAGTTGTAGATTGTTATTTCACTACAATGATTAGATCTAGAAATGGAAACTAATCTGTTATAAAAATTTCATAATATTTGTAATTCTAATCTTCTTGCCAAGGCATAATAGCACTATTTGAATTTTTATGAAATAGAGTACTCATTATAGGTCTCGCCTAATTCTATTCTCGTTTAGGAGTAGACTTGAACTATGAAACCAAGAACTATTAAAATCATAATTAATTATTTGCTCGATATTATATAAATAAAATCAAGAATGAGTCTTGTTTCTGCTCCAAAAAACTTGAAAACTCATCTTTTCAATTTAATTGAATAGAATAAGACTTAAGAATTAATCGAGTTCATAAAAAACCATAGGGATTATATTTAGAGTCTCGTTGCTCCAAATTATTGGACACTCGGAATGTATGCAGTCAGATACAGCAATCACGACCTAATGAGAGATCTCTATGAAAAGGATCTCCTGCTTGAACATCCACTCTCTCAATACACATTACTATCAACTGCCTTTCTTAATAATGATTTTGAGAGCTTTAAGTTATTATGTGACGAATTCGGAAAAGTATATAGACTTGTAATCTTTAGGACATTAACAAACCTGTGCATCAATTCCAGGATTAAACATTTCTATAATATGCCATCAAATACAATTTAAATGACTTTGTAGAAATACTATGCTCTAGAGGAGCCTACTTTATTATCGAAAGATCGTCCTCATCCTTGATTGATTGTTATGCCAACAACCTCAAAGTGGAACATGATTCCACGGGAGTCAAGTTTAAAAGCTACAGCGATAATCGAGATGTGGTTTAGTCCTCAATATTCTAGTTGAAAAGAGACAAGCTTACTGCTACTCATTATTTTAGATTCAAAAACATCCTCTTACTATAATACCTATTACAAATGAAGTACTTGCAAACTCCTGAAGGTTACGGAGACTTCTTGTTAAACTTTAATAGAATACTAGAGTACACCGCCCCTAGTAACATATTGGATTGAGTAAATCACAATGAGATATGTATAAATTATTGATATTATATGATATTTTCAGTCATTCAATCCATTTTAATCTTATAAAACTCACTCGCCTTGCGATTCTCAATAACTTTGACCATCAAATACGTATTCGCCAAAAAGAATATCACGCATTAAATAAAGATCATTGTAAATACATCATACCCTTAGATCTCCAGATAATACGATCCAAAATTCCATTGCACTTCCAAAATCAGCCAAGTAATCGACAACATCAAGATCTCCTTATTGCTCATCTTGGTATTTTGGAGTGCCAATGGGATCAAGGCAATCCACCACACAAAATATTAAGCTGTTTACACTTTGTTAAATACAACAAACCCAAGAGTTTGAATCAACATAGCAAATGGTAAATCTCTGTAATATTTCAATCCTGCCAATAGAACTATCAAAAATTATGGTAAGAATGTTAATGTTGCTTGAGTCCTGGTGATGGATTCAAAACTTAAATAAATCTGATAAAAATAAGGAGAGAAATTATGTCTATTGTCCTTCCTTGTAAAATGATATAGATATGTTTGGAATAGGAAATCCTCGTATATAAAGTGGAAAAATATCAATAAGGCTATGAACAACCCACCTGAAATCAAGGCAAATTTCACTTTATTCTTACTAATTACACCCAAATATCTTAATATATCATTTATCTTACATTCTTTCAGGTTGATGAGAATCGATAAAGAAGTACAATGGGATTGCGTATATTATTGGATAGATGCGCAAATGAACCATGAATCCATATATGATTGCAGCCCATGTATATCTCTCTTTCTTCAGTAAATACAGCATGACATAAATTAAGAGCACGATTATGGTGTCTGATGATCCCCTGGTTGACACTTAGATTGTGAGAGGATTGAAAATCCACAAATTCAATAAAAATGTAGACTTGACCATTTTTTACATAAAGTAACATGCTAACATATCGACGAAGCTGAACAGAATCTTTCCGAATGATGAAATCCACACATTGGGTATTAAAATGTATGCTAGAATAGGTGAATATCTGTAGGTGTGTCTATCATACGGTGAACCACCATCCACAACATATTAAGCTCCATCAGAGTACACCTACATAAGATGCTATAGATACTGAATAATCTATGTCTGTGTATTTGAGATTGAAATATTTATCCTAGATCTCAGCATAAGCAATTAATCCTAGTCTTATTAGAAGCCCTATGATAATTGCAATTTTTGGACTCATAAATTAATTAATGTTTAAATTACGAACTCATACTGTCAAACAATGGCTACTCCAAAGATTTCGTAAATCCGTCAATAGTTAATACATCGTAGATCCATAGGAAGAAGTATTTTAATATCATATTCAGGAATACAAATAAGAACTAGCAGAACTCTTTGCTAAATTTGATCAGGAAGGAAAAGGAAGGATTTAAAAATTTGAATTGCTTTCGCTTCTTAATAAATATGGAATCAGCATCAATGAACAGGAATTGACATGTTACATCAAGTAAGCCAATTGCAAAAGCGGTCGTTTTATAACAACCGAATAATTCAAATAGTGTGTTTTATCTGAAAAATCAAAACTATTTATCAGAAAACTAATTCGTAACTCTAATGAAAGAAATCCCCAACATTACTTTCCTACCGAAATTACTAAAGTCTTAAATTAAGTCCATTACTTAAGTGAAAGAGGTAGGCTCTTATCACAGATTGAAGACAAATAACTTCCTGTTGAATAAAAATTAAAGCCTCTCAGTAAACTAATGAACCTCAGTCGTGAGATCACCATAACCGAACAAAGACCATAATCAAAATGTCCATTGAGATTACCAAGAGCAAAATCTACTTGTACTACAAATTATAACAGTATATCAACTGCAATTACAATACCTTCTTCATCCAATTCGAGGTTTGGAGAGAACCGTATTTCTTTTAGGAGGCATCCTACATAATATTGCGAATGATATTAATTAATTAACTTTAATTTTAGTGAAAATTCTATTTATATTATATACCCATAAATCAAAATTTTATAATAAGAGTGAAAGAGTCAAAAGTAATTATTTAGTTAATGTATTTTGATAATTAAGAAAATTTAGTACATTTTTTTAAAGTCTAATTTGAAAGATTATTATCAATAACTATTATTGAATTCTAAAAGTAACATTTCTTTTTATATTTTTTAATCGCTACTATCTTTGTTATCCAAACAAGTAGATTAGATGAAGCACTTTATTTAACTATCTTATCTTAAGAAAATAAATTCCTATTCATAATAAATATGATTTATCTTCTCAATTATTTATTTAAATTTATGATATTAAATAAATATTATTAGAATTGTTGTTAGGTGTATTGAAGAGAGCATTGGAATAAAGAGTTGTTTTAATAATGAAATATTAATTTAAAAATAAAATATTTAATGGAATCTAACTCCTTAGATTTTAAAATAAACATATAACCCAAGAAGTTAACTGAGCATGTAGAACCAGATGTTGATTTGACAGTCGACAAATATGATGCTGTCTACTAGAACACCTAATAGGAAGAGGAAGTGGAGACAGCTAATGTATATATGTTGTATATGTTTTCCATAGAAAGATTTATTAATATAAGAGTATGATATTACTGAGGCAGCTCATCCATATTATTGTGCTGCTGCTTTGGCATTAACTTCAATTCCAGGATTGACATTTATCCTGTTACAGGATGTTATTCATGCTTATCCCTTAGTTATTTTACTGCAGTTGGCACAATTTCTGGCGTTGAAAAATTATTTGGGCTTGAAACTGATTGGATTGCGTTGGTGGATTGAGATGGATATTAAGGGTGAATAGAAATGGATGTTCTAAACTCAATCATAAGAATAATCAAATAAAGTTGACAGGTATTTCTTCTGGGCTTGTCTCATTTATGGAACACTCTTTTGGTGCATAATGTGTCTTGGAGACTTCTTTGGATTCAAAATATTCTGGGTATGATTGTAAATAGAGTATAGTTACCTTTGCCAATCATAAGTTTTGTTTTGTCTTTGACTAATTTGCAGGGATTCTACAAATGCAGAGGGGAACATCAGAAGAAACTATAACAATTGAAAAGAGAAATGGCGAAGGGGGGAATGAATATAGTGGGAATGATAATGAAGTGATATGAAATTGTTATTTTTAATATTTTTGAATTTAATATGACTGATAGTGTGTAGGCAATTCAAGAAAGTTACACAAGAATCAAGTTGCTTAATAATGACATCCAAATAAAGGATTAGACAATTAATTTGTTGCAAGAGAGGTTGGCAGAGATGGAGGAGTAAATGAATTAAGCAATTAAGTAAAAAGATTATGTGGATCGTCAATTTTCGATTCTGTAAGATGAACATGATCAGATGTTTGAGAATCAATAAAGGAAAACTAAGTAATTGTAATAGTTTAATCAATAATTATTGGTTGCTTTAAAAGAAGTATAAGATAAAAATTAAGAATTATTAGAGTAAGTTCAATATTACAGTCAAGAAATTCAATCTAAAGAATAGGCATTATAGGAGTTGACTGAATAAATTGCATTGATTAAGGATGCTGTAAAGGGGTTGGAGGAAGAATTGTCATAATTGACTAAAAAGAATTAGCAATTAAAGAAGGAGAAACAGGATGCTGAATAATAGATGAGACAGATTGTTGCTGAGAAGAATAAATTTGAAAGCAGTGTTACTAATATGTTGAAATAGTTGGAAACAGAAAATGATTTACTAAAACAAGAGTTGGAAGACTATAGAACCAGATTGGAGCAGTAGCATTAAGAGTTAGTTGAATTAAAATATGTCAAAATCTAATTTGAAGATTTAGAGAAAAAGCATTCTTAATTAAATGAACAATTCAATATTTAAATTTAAACAGCTATGGAATGTGAAAAGAATTATGCACTATAATTTGATGAAATGAATAAGGCAAATGAGAAATTAAGAAAACAATGTGAAGTTTTTAATGAGCAATATGAATAATAGAAGGATTATAACTCAACTATTGAGAATTAAAACAAAGAGTTTTAAAAATTGTTTGGCTATATGTAGAATTAAATCGATGAAATTATGTCAGAATGTTTATAAATAAATAAGAGTTACATTCCTTAAGATCCAATATTGGAAAGCAAGAAATCTTCGACCTCCAACAAACACTCGAGTTCAAAAAAGAAAAAAAAGAATAGTTACAACATTTCACAAATTGAAGATTTTTTTGTTGATATTAAAGATATTTTGATGGATCTCATTGAAACTAATGCACATTTAAAAGAAGAAAAAGATTAAGTTAGTGAGAATATTCTTGATATGCATAAGGTGGGTGAGTAACTTAAATTAAAATTTGATTAATTAAATTAAGAATATACAAAAACAAAAGAAAAGTTATAATAAGAACACAAATCTATATAAGAATAATAAAATGATAAAATTAATTAGCTTGAAGATGCTTTATAATAATAAAATCTAAAAGCTTAATAAGATAACCAATATATAAATTCATTAATCGACAAATGCTATCACTAAGATCAACAATTTCTAGCCTTTGAACAACAAATTTAATAATCAAAATGGTAAACTTAAAATATTGTTTAAGAATTCGAAGAATTAAGAAATGAACATAACCAATTAAAATCTGAGTTCTCGGACTTATAAGTAAGAAAAGCCATTTCTTAGAATAAAGTTGCTCTAAGTTATAGTGTGATATCTCATCTATTATCAGTTGAAAAGTCACAAAAAACCTTCTCATAATTCATACAATATTCTAACTATTTGCATTATTTTGTTTTAATGAGAAATGAGTTTAAAAACAATAGTAATCTCATATATAAACGATTTAGAAGAGCAGTATATGCTGTCATCTTTGTTAAGAAAATTAGATAATCAATACTCCCTTCAAATGAAAAAAGTTAATTGAATTTTGATAAAAATGAAGAGTTGGACATTGTCCTAGAAAAGTATATCCCAATTTTTCATAGTTTAGAGGAGGGATCTGGAGTGGAATACAATGCATTTGATAAAATGATTAAGGATATGAAAATCTAAGTTAATAAATACAGTTATAGAAGTTAAATCAGATCAACGAATTCATAGTAATACTATTAATTGATCAATTTAGCCAAAGAAGATATATCAAAGAAAAACTCTGGTAATTAACAGATTGACTATTATAAAAAATAATTAAGCATCTTCTAAAACAAGATCACTTAATTAGATTAATATGTGCAATAATTGGAACAAGAATTATAGGAGAAATCAAGCTAAATAAAAAAACAAAGCAACTTATAACAATCTGAAGAGAAATAGGTTAGTAAATATCGAATTGAACCTTCTTCTCCTATCACAAATAATCTCTCAGCTGTTCTTTAAAATGAATTAACATAAATTCTAAGTAAAAAATCAACTATAACGAATAAAGCTGGCTAAATAGTTAAATAAGGTTTTTGATTTAGTATTATAATAAATATATATTCTAATTGTCATTGTTTATTTGTACTAAATGTTTTTGACAAAACATGTTATTTTTAATTAAGAGGATGTAAAAGAGGAAGCTTATGTTGCAGTTTATAGTTTCCTTTCAATCTTTGTGAATTGTATTAATCCCTCATTCTACCTAACTTTGGAGTATTATTTGATTCATTGTTTTCTATTGACATTTAATAAGAATAGAAATTTATTTTGCTATGCTTATAATTGAAATTTGGATTGATGATAAAGTTTATTTCTTTATAGATTGAGAGTTCCCCTTTTGGACTAGCATCAATAAGTTTTTTCCAAGAATCAAGACATCTTAGATTCATTTAAATCGCTGTCAATTATCTATGAGTTATTGAGGCATTTATGGAATACACAATACATTTAACATGAGCAAGAAGACTATCTGCCATTAAAACATGTTCACTTCCATTCAAACAGTAAATGTTGTAAGTGTCAAAGAGTAAACCTATAAGTCCAAGTCTAAATAAGATGCTACTCAAGATTACAGGTGGAGCATTAGCCAACACCAACGTGATGAATCTAAAATTAATAAATATTATACTTCAAAAAGATATTCTAATACAAATTATTGTTTTGGCTATTAAAAAACCAGTAGATGAGGATATGAATAACTGTTGAGTGAAAAAATTTATGAACTCCAAAATCTTCTTTGGAACGCGGATCTAAATGAAATACCGAATAACCTTGTTTGAAAGTAAGAAGCAAAAATGTTTAAATTTTTTGAAGTCCAGAAATAGTGTCCTAATTTTGATAAGCTTTGACAATCAATTTACACAAATATTCTGCTGTTTTTAAGAATGTATCTTATAAAATTGGTTTGATTTCTTGTAATTCTTAGTAGAGCAAAGAATATTTATAAATCTTGTTCACAATAATTCCACATTCTTCAGCTAATTAATATTCTATAGTTGCTTCATCTTTCAAAATTCCATATAAAAAAAACTAATGGAGTTTCATAACAATTTAAGTTGTCAATAGGGAATTAATGATAGGCTTAATATCAATTTTTTGTTGTTCAACTTTAATTTTATTTGTGTGTTGTAAATCTAAATAATTGCATAATGCAGTAATTTAGAATTTTAGTAATTAGATTGCTTCTTCAGAATAAAGTTTATTGATTTTAAATTTAGTTTCATTCTTTTCAAAATCACTGACATACAAATGTAATTTATATCCAGGATAAATTTTAAGCTTCCTGGGAGAAATCGATCCCAAATCTTCATCATCCTCAGAATTTTATTAACTAGTCCTAAGACTGCTTGGATTAGATTTATGAAGTTTCAAATCCTCATCATTATTAAAATCCTCTCTAATTGCATCCGATTAAAAATCTATGCTCTCGCAATATCTTCTATGTCCATGGAAGCCTCTCAAAATGGGTTTATTAATTTATATATAGCGTATAACTTAGGAGGATTTTCTTGTGATTTAAGTTGTGATTTTAGTTGACTTAATCATTTATGAAGTTTTAATTCTATGTATAGATCTTTAAAGGTTAGAATCCCTTTCTTCTACGAACTTTTTTAATCCATCAATATCTTAAACCTCTATTTGACTATACAATATATGTTCCCTTTAAGTTTAATTGATTTGCCAATTCAATTAATTTGAATTATAATATTCTTCCATAGTTTTGCCTGCTTGCAATGTTCCTAGTAAGTCAGTTAACTTCTTCTTTTCATCACAATCAATGATTGGCGGAGTCTTTTCTTTCTCACTTAATGCAAATGATCTAAGCAATTGAATGTATTTCTAGTTTTCTTTTTGTTCCAAAGTTTAGAATTAAAAATCTTTGTTGATCAATAGAATTGAGATAGTTTCGAACCAATTAATACGGTGAAAATATTTCCATAATTATTCTTAACATGGAGATCCAATGCCATATCTATCAATTTATATATCTAAAACATCTACCAATATGGTGGCTAATTTGTTATTGTAGATATATTTTCCAAGGATTTAAAATAGATTCATTTCAGTCATTAATAATACAGTTGATTTTGGATATTTCTGTAGAAATTTATCCAAAATGCAGCTAATATGCAATAGATTAACTGACTTATTCTTCTCTTCCAAACTCACTTTTATTTGATAAACTTAAATATAATTAAGATACTATACGAAGAACTGGGATCAATTTAGGAACAGTTTGAATCATCACTTAAAAGTTGTCATCCGTCAAGAATATTAATGTAGTTTTATAAGATCTTATCAATTCACTTTTAGATGGCAATTACGATTCAACTTTATAATCCGTCTACTCAACTTCAACTTGTAAATTATTAAATTTATCCTCCTAAAATAATTTATGTCTATACCCAATCTTTAATTGGCTCATATTTTAATGGATTAAATATGAAAGACATTAAATAGTCGAAGTGATGTTCATCACTCAAATATTCGGTTCTAGATTTTATGGAAGGAGTTCCTACTATACAGAGCCACTTCTGCATATTCACATAGAGAGTTTCGAGTTCTTTTTTCATTATGTCAACTTCATCCAAAATTGAGGAATCGTTGTTAGAATTACTCATTGAAGTGTTGTTTTAGATGGTACTCAATTTAATATCTTATCTTTACTACTCCAATCCTTTACTTACAGCAAAAGGCATAGGTATTTGGCTTTGTTCAAAATCTAATAGATTTGTTAATAAACTTACATTCTATAATTTCATCATCTAAATCGTCAATCCACTTGCGATTTCCAAACAATTCAATTTTGCATTCTTCATATTTTTATATTACAAAATGAATAAATTCAGTGTTGGTTGAGTTTTTAATCATCAATTTGAACACCATTGAGAAGTATTGAATATCCTATTAAAATTATATGGCAACATCAAACAACTATTTCAAATATTGGCATGCAAATTTCTTTGCCTCCAATATGTTTTCATAAACAGCTCTACAATATCTCTACCCAATTTGATGAGGTAAGTGGATTGACTTAGCTTATGGAAAACTCAAATAATTAAAAGAAGTAATACATATCCATTACTTTTGATTTTCGATGTCCAAACATAGTGTTCAGTTCTTATATTTATGCCAATTCCATTATGGCTGAAAAAAAGGTATAAATAAATTGTTCATCCTAAAAGTGATCTAATAGACTAGTGATTACAAGTTCTACAGTAATTGGATTGAATGGATAAGCACATAACACTTGTTTATGGCATAAATATTTTACAATATTTAATGGTTGAAACTTGATTAAAAGTTTTCATGTAAGGCATTTCGTTTGTTATTTGTTTTAATGCCTCAGTTAGTTTTTGCAATCTCAAATATTCCCCATCTTCAGACAACTAAATTAAAATTATAAATACTGCTTGTTCTAATGTCATATGTTTGCTGAAATAATAATTAATAATTTTTATTTTAGATAATGTTACATCTGTGAATTCATAGTTATATTAAATTAACTAGTTTTCTTAGATAATCCAATAATATAAGAGCTAGATCAAAAATTTAACCTGAAATTTTACTCATTTTTTTGGAAGTTTAATGCATATATATTCTTAAATATTAATATATTATTGAGACAAAACATGATTTTACTCTAATCAGTAGATAAAAATAAATTATAGATAAAAATAAATATTGAAATTAGTATTTATATTATCAGTAATTTAAAATAAATAAATACCATATTAAACACTAATCATAACTATTGAAATATCGAATATTAATTAGAATGGATGGACTATTTATTAATCAATAATTTAAGTGATATTCTCCTTCAATTTTTGAAACTCAATTTTAATTATTATCAACAACTGATAAATTGTAAACTTTAGGGACACATCAAAATTCTTGAGAATTGCACAAATTATACCAATAAAGTCTTAATTTTTAATAATAATTATTAAATATATTTTCAAATGGTATGTCCTGAACAAACCCAATTCTATGGTGCATCTATGGATTCAAGAGCATTGATATTAGTGCATTGACAATTGTATGCATTGCATTGATTGTCCTCTGTCAAATACTTTTATAGGATTGCCATATTATTAAAATAGTTTCTGAATATTAAATAATCTGCATCTTTGTTCCATTTTTAGTTAATATGACATTTAACTTAGAGATCACATTTAAGACATCTGAGATTTGTGCATGTTCGAAATTATTATTGGTTTCCAATTTGGGGGGACAAACATTTCCTTTTCTATTGTTAACTTTGATTTGGCTATTGTTCTAGCTAATAGTTTTATTATGAAACTGGTTTGCTTTTTGGGTTATCCATAACTGAATTGATGTCATTTATTAAATCGTCCAAATCATCATCAAACTTATTGTTTATCATCTTGAATTTGTTTATAATATATATTATATTTTTTATTTGATAGCCAGAATGAGATAACGAAGTGGTTAGATATTGTCACCAGCTAGAGTGATTCAAAACTTTTAGATGAGCACTAAGAATTACACTAGCAAAAATGCATCCTAATCTCCTTTAAAATTTCTACAAAGGAATTTGTCACAAATAATATTGAAGGACTTAGCGAAGCCGGATCCAAATCGCAAGGTGAATCATGGGAGTATAACTGAGAGAGTGCATAGTCAATAGCGATCTAACTCAAGGGACAAAGTAAAACCACAAATAAAGCAACCGAAGGTTCCAACTGAAATTAACCTTCCTTTTCAATAACTAACCAAAGGAATCAACTTGATTCTGAATCAAAAACTAACTAACAAAAATAAATTGATTTTAGAAAAAGGATCCATGACTCGTCGAAATAGTGTTGAAGATTTATTAATCAATTCGGTTTAGATAGGAGGTAAATCTTCCTCAATTGATAAACTACCGAAATCAGAAATTTAGATCTATGTTCATTATTCGTCAGAAGTAACCTAAAATTATAAATTCTGTGCCAATGTAACAACAGATAAAGTCCTGAATATGCTCAAGAATAAGTCTGGAAACTATTAAGTGGTAGGATTTGCGACTCTGGATGAAAATATTGGATTTGATTATTACCTTACAATTCCTTTTTTGCCTTTGACTCACATGGTAGGCAAGACCATCCGCATGAAACCCATTTTTGGAATCTCACCTCCGAAACAGCTAAATTTAAGTTGTTTCTAATTTTTACATGTGATTGGAAGAGGTGGGTTCTCAACAGTGATATTATCTCGATCCCTAATTGATGGCAGTTTTATTGCGCTGAAATTAATTAGCAAGTCTTTTGTAGTATAAAATGAAAAACAGGATTTGGTTTAAAATGAAAGAGACATTTTAATTGAAACTACAAACAAAGGTTCATTATTTACATCCAAAATTGAGTTTGCTTTTGAAACTAAAAACTGGATCATTTTTGGCATAGAATATTGCCCTGGTGGAGAAATGTTTAGTTATATGAAGCGAGTCTAGAAAATGACTGAGTCTCAAGCTAGATTCTACATCACTGAAGTTTGCCTAGCTTTGGGATTCTTACATCATCAATAAATTATTTATAGAGATCTAAAACCAGAAAATGTTCTTATTGATATTACAGGACATATCTAATTGGCAGATTTTGGATTGGCCAGACCAAACATGCAACCAGAATAAAATGCTTATTCATTTTGTGGATCCCCAGAGTACATGGCTCCAGAAATGTTCCACAATGATGGTCACAACAGTTTAGTTGACTATTATTGTTTAGGAGCCTTGCTCTATGAATTTGTTACAGGTCTTCCACCCTTCTATTGTGAAGATAAGAACATCATTTATACTAGATTGCTAAACGAATAAATCTAGTTCCCAAAAAAACTAAGTCCAGAAATAAAGGATCTAATTAAATTGCTTATGATAAAGGATCCCAACAAAAGATTAGGTTCCAAAAGTGGAGTCGATGATATTTTAGCACATCCTTGGTTTCAGGATGTAGATATTGCAAAGTACATCTAAAAATAAGTCGACCCTCCTTATATTCCTGATCTAACACAATTATAATTTAAATCACCAACTACTAATGACAGAATATTATTCGAACAATTAAATCGTGAACAAAAGTTGATCAATCAATTTATTCCGATGTTTGAGACTTCGTTCTTTTATCAATAAAAAAGATATCAGTGTTACGAATCTGATAAAAATTCTTCAACATAAGTGACAAAGGACACTATAGATTCCTTGGTGAGGAAGAGATCCAAAAATTCTCAGAATAGTTAATAATCCTTATTATCCCAATAATCTTAGTCATAATTGTCTTCAGTATTAGGTTCGAATGAAACACTAAAAAATACTAAAAGTGTAACAAACCTTAAAGTTTATTAAAATTTATTAACTGAACCATCTAGAAAATGAGTTTATATTTAGGGTAATATTTTCTCATCATATTGTAAATTGATATAATAATCAAAACCATTAGATTCTCTTTTAATTATATATTTAATCTTTATCAAATATCTGCATTTGATCAAATAATTTTAATTCATTTATAAAAACAACAACAACAAATTTTATAATTTTTGAAATCCAGCTAATTTTAGAGATTTTTCAATTTTTCTTTGTTTTAAAGAATATTATTTCTTATTTTTGAATGCTTAATAATTCATAAACTATCAAATTTGAAATTGCTAATTATTAAAGTTGTCTCCAATTTAAATATCAATGTCAAATCTCTTAAAATATAGAGAAATCAAAATAAAGTGATATAAATTTTATCCCATCTCAACTCAAATAATATATAATTGGTAAAGTTGAGATGCATATCAAACCAATTTTATTTGTAAATGTTTGTCAAATATATAGATAACAATTTTGTTTTTATTCTTCTTATTTAGTTGTTGTTTCGGATTAGAATATCATTTAATTATTTCTACTCATACATTATATTATTAAATTTAGAAATAAACTCTTTATGTCGTGTAGTATAAGTTAGAAATAGGATTCTTTTAGTAACTAAGACACAATTGAAAAAGTAAGTCAAAGAATTTCTAAGAAAGAGTAAATAGAGATGAAACGATAATTGGATGTTATGATCAATAGAGTCAAAATGTTGGCAGTATTTCGATAGCGATTGTAATTTTTCTGAGTATTTAGATAAGGGAAACAAATCTAAAATGAAATAAAAAGTGAACAAGTAAATAGCATTAGAAATGAATATAACGAATACTTGAAGTAGGTATTTAATCAGTCATCTATTTAGTAAAGTAAACATAAAGAATCTAGAGAACAATCTCTGGAACTATTCAGAGAAAAAACCAAGCATTTGAAACAACAACAATAATCACTTAAAATTTAAATTCGATAAAGTGTGCAGCAATAGAAGAAGGAACAATTTGAGTTAATGAAAAAGTAATCGTTGAATCACGATAAAGTTATCATTCTCTAAAAGGAAAGATCAAAATCATACAATATGGAGAAGAAATAAAGAGTTCAATAATATGAATAGTAATAACAAGTACACTTAGCCATGTACAAATAATAAAAATAAGAATAATTTAAATCTTAACACAAGAAAGCTGTTCTTGATAGCTTTAAGAAAAAGGCATAAGACTTCATGAAAATATAATAATTGTGGGAATAGGAATAAGATATTTTGGATCTATTGAATGATTCTTATAATTCTAAGTTAACCTCTTCGATGATCAAAAATTGAACATTGTTAGTATTTGTAATTTATTTATAAAAATTATTATTATTATAAAAATTCTTGAAATTCTTCCAAACATGATATTACTCGATTAATAAAAAAGAATCATTCCAAATATACTACTTAGTAAATTTAAGAGTTGATTTTTAATTCTAATTGACTTAATCACTTAATTATGATTGAAATATTACAAATCATTTCAAAACCCTATGATTTTTTATTGGATAAAGGAGTTTATATAGAATTTGTACTACTCCAATAAAGAATGTTGAAGTAAATTTCAAAATGTTCTTTAACTAAAAAATAACAATGTATAGAGAATTAACTATTATTAATTTTCTAACATATTATATACACAAATCTAAAAATTGTGAATTTATTTGGATATTTAAGGTTTGATTCTAAAATAAATAGTCCTTCTCGGAATGATGAATGCTAATAATTAGTATCTAATATTTTAGAGCTATATCTAACTTTTAGTAGATGAATGTATTTATGATATTTTTAATAATCTGGACATAGTATATGTAGTACTAAATCTTAAATCTACATACTTATTATAACCTACATGTTTTGCTTTATACAATTTCACGAGTATCTTTTACTTAATTTTATATTTAATTAGACTAAAAGTTATAGGATTAAGCGATTAAATAGGATATGTTGATAAATATAGAAACTTAATGAGGTGATAGACAAAAAAATTATTTTAATTTAAAAAATTCAACTTTTATCATCTATTGCTTATGATTATATCTTGTTTGTATATTAATTTTTTATTTCTAGTCTTTTTTAAGCTCCTCTAAAATAAAAATAATAAAGAAAAATTCAGGATTAGTTATACTAAATCAATGGCTCGGAAATGGAAATTAGTGTTAGAATTATAAAATAAATGTATTTATAAATTTAGATTTTATGCTAATTTTTCATATACTTTAATAATATATAGCGATCATTAATAACTATATCTCTTCTAACTATAATTTTTAAGTTAATTAATTAAGCATTCATATTAAATATATTGAAGTTAAGGTGATTATATTCCAATAGGTTAATTTTCCGTAATAATTAATCTACTAAATTGATCTCATAATGCTTTCTTAGTATTTTAAAGTAAGTTATATTTAGATGAGATTTCTTTTGAAAGATCTAATCTAAATATTGATGTATGCGAGTTATTTTCTTTTTCTTTTCATCTAAAAATAAGATTAAAATGAATATAGATATTAAAGGGATAGAATTAATACTCTGTTAATATTCCCTAAAGTGATTTCTGTTGAGGATCAATAGTTTATACATTAGAGGTAAAAGTAGACACAGGAATAAATTTCATTTAATTATTTGCTTGTCTCTCAATGTCATAAATATAGAACCTATTGACTAATATGAAATGTTGCAAATATAAATTCTTATTTGGATCTTTCCTTTCATTCGAATATAAGCGAAAAAATTCTTTTTAACGTGATTTGATTGATTAACTGATCTTATAATTTCAGAATCATTAGTTTTTGTTCCTATTTTACCTTATGATTATTTTGAGATGATTGCCATTGATTCTAACTTGATTACAAATATGTTCATTTACATTTTGAAAAATGTGATATTGAATAGTTTCAAATTCAATAATTTTTTTTAAGAAATAAAACGAGATATTTGAATTGTATTGTAAATAATTAGATGTATGATGCAAAGTAATGAAAAAATTAAATCTATTATTTTTAAATGGAATCATAATTAAAGTTCATTTGCATTAGATAACACATGTTTTTGGATTAGAAGTACGTTCTCTTACTTTTACCAAGCAAGATAACTTTGAGTCAAGTATAAAGAGTTAAATAAAAAAGTTTGGAAAAGAACCTAAATACATTTTAGAATTGAAATTACACAGCATAATTTCTTGGCAACTCAATCATTAGAATTAGCTAGTTAGTTTTGGAATCATTTGGAATAGAATTGAAAAACTATTCCATTCTACTCACGAAGACTTAATGAAGCTTAGAGAGGCAATAAAGAATCAAATAATGTTTAAAACTGTCCATCAATTGTACAAACCTCTCTCATTGCTAGGAGGCAGTAATTTAGATGAGGTAAAAAATTAAAATGTATTTAGTTGTATTTATGTTCTGATCTAATCGATAACAAATAATTTTAAATCAAATGCCATGCTAAAAATCAGTTTGAAGATTCAATGGTAAAATTTTACATTTTATTTAGTCTCGTATTTACAATGAAATATAATGCCTAAATAAAATAAAATCGGATTATGTTTAAAGGTTACATGAAGTATTTACAGGAGAAAATACTGTCTATTTAATTTAAGAATACTTGGATGGTGTCAATTTAAATGAATTACTTAACAGAGTGACGCTGGACAAACCCTAGATATTAATAATAATGAAAGTAAATACTATTTAAATTCGTAGCAATTGCTTACTGCAGTTAAACAAATTCATTCCCAAAACATAATGCACAGAGACTTAAAGCCAACTGCAATTGTCTTTTAAAATAAAGATTCAATAGAAGGGCTTAAATTAACAGATTTTCATCTTGCTGTACCGATCAACTCTCAAATAAACTTATCGGATTCTGGTACTCCAGGATATGCTGCCCCAGAAACATTCAAAGATAATTACAATGAAAAAGTGGATATATTTAGTGTTGGTTGTATCTTTTTTAAATTGTATAATTTTTCTTGATTGTATAGAGTTACAAAAAGAGATTTATTCTATGGAAAAACAACAAATGAAATTCTAAAACTTAATAGAACTTGTAAAATAGACTTATAGATTCTTTAAATATATAAATTAAGTTAAAATGAGCTGAATTTATTGAAAGACTTATTAGAATTAGATCCAGAAAAGAGGATAAGTGCTGAATCAGCATTATCTCATCCTTATTTCAATAATGATACTATTCAAGAGGAGTAATTGGTGAATAATTAACAACAACCCTTATTAGTACAAAACCTTCTAGAAAGAAGTAATGGTTTTTTTCAAGCCAAGACTGATAATTTTGAGAAAAACGTTGAAGAATTTTTAGTTGATTCTGAATCACCCAATATTTGTGCAGTACCAATTTTCAAAGTTTTAATGAAGGATTCAATAATATCAAACCTTCAAGTGAGAAAAAAATCCAAATTAAAGAAAAGTGAAACATAAGAATACTCTCAACTAAATTTTCTTAATCATTTCTAAACTAGAAAGTCAGTTCACTAAACTATTGTTTGATTATCAAACAAATTAATATTATTTATAATTTTAGATGCCTTGAATAATTATATTGATTCATCATTTATTTTAGTTTTCCTGTGTTTACAATGTATATTATTCTAATGCTTTTTTCTAAGCCCTTTCATAATTGTCTTTTTCTTGTTACTCTCTTCTTAATCTTTCCATTATAAATTTATCATCCTCTATTTATAAGTTTTAGATTGGTTTTACAATCTAAGCATTAGTAATAAAGGCAACCTTATAAATAAATTAATAAATTTACTCTTTATTCTGTGGTTCTTTTTTCATTTTAATTCTCTTATGACAATATTTCAGTATTCTTTTCCAAACCTAAGTCTTTTCTATATTTATCATATTATTATTGGATGAAACTCTCTTTGTGTTCAAATTTTTAGGGACAATCTGAAGTTGGATGAGAAAATTCATGACAGATTTCACATTTCACTCTTGCTTTTTCAAATGGAATCTTAGTAGGACAAGCATACGTTCTATGACCCTTTTCATGACAATACTCACAGAAGTCATCTCTTAATACTGTAGCTATAACTTATCCTTATAATCTTGCATTTCTTGCTTATTCATCTTCTTGATTCCCAGATAATATCTTCTCTATTTCAATAACACCTTATTGAAGTTACTCATCATTGTCTGCTTAAATTAAGACATGCAATTTGTCATCCATATCCCAATCCACCTTCTTAGTATTAGAACTTCCTTTGCCTCTAACAGAAATTTTGCATCCAGTTTTCCCTTCCAAGAACTTTTGAGTATTTCCTCCTGGTCCCAAAATAAGACCAATGTAATTTGTATCAGGAGCATTAAGAGTATCTGTTAAATATATCTTTTATGATTTCTTCAAAGGTTTAAAATCATGAGGAGGAACAAAATTTTTATTTATTTTAATGCATTCTTCAGTCAAAGAACATTTAATTCTTTAAAAATTGTCTTTTCTTCTAACTTCCCTTGTGTTCACCCTCTTACCATGTTGATCATATACTGGTTCCGGAGAAGGAGACCTTAAATCAGGATCGTCCATTTTACTATCTATTGGTTATTGTAGTTTTTAATTGATATCATCAAGACAATACAATCTGATTATATATTCTAAATCATCAATACTCAAATCAGGAGGTATGCAATTTAAAGAGGGAGGTTGAAAGGTTTTTTCGTATTCAGGACCCCATCGAGTATGCTAATTATTAATCAAATCCCAATACAGAAGTATCTGTTCGCACAAAATTGTAGCCATATTGCTGAGGCATAACTTGCATCACAGGCATTTGTTACATACCCCATGGTAAGGCCATACCAATGGGTACAGGTGGGGCTAAGCTTTGGGCTCCTACAGGTAAGATGCATTTTCTATTCATCATCGCCTCTAAAGGATTGAATTGCAAGTGTTTTTACTCAGGTCTAGCACACTTTCTATCAGGTCTTCCTCCCCATCTTGATTTACGTGTGCGTTTTTAAGGCTCTTCAAACATCTTTTCTGCTGATATTGTGAGAATATGTTGATCGTCAATAATAATTTCATCAGCAAAATTCATCCTTGAATCTACATCGAATACTGATTTATACCTTATTTACTTTCATCAATTATTATCCCTTCTTGCTATTCTATTGAAGCCATTTTATAAATTAATTTTAATAAATCTAATAATAAAAGACTTTCTTAAGGTTTTATGTATATTAATACAAAGCAACTCTTACTACCACTAATATATATTAGGATTAAATCTAAACTTAAAAATTAAATTGAATACTTCATTTCAGTATTGGCTCTTTTATGTTGATTTCTAATTTCATATAGTTCTCAATCATTTTTTCATTTGAATACTAGAAAAACAATATTAAATATAATATCAAGTATATTCATCCATTTTAAAGGCATGAATAATTATTTTATGTTGATTGATAATTAATTTCTACATAATCATGTCCAAATTAAACAAAAACGATAAGCCCCAAAAACTGAAAGAATGTCCTTGAAGTTGACTAATGTGTCACCTATTCGCAGTTTTCATGAACGTGACCAATTAGAGTAACTAATTAAATAGAGCATTTAAAATCCAAAGAACATCAATGTAAAGTATAACTAATAATTAAATATAGTGTCTTTTGAATGAATTTTTATCTCGAAAATAAGAAGAAAGCAGAATAAGAGTCTATTCACAACCTCAGATCTAAGCTGGCGAATGTTCACCTTATAAAAGAGTAATCAAGTAGAAAGCAACAAGCAGACGAAGCAGCAAAGAAAAACAAATAGATAGTACTCCCATTTCACCCAACACTTCGCTTACATTTAAGAAACAAGTCACTATTCACATCGAATCAACTTATTCATAAAGAAAATAACTAAATATTTCTAAACTATCAACTAATGATTTGATCTAATATCATAAGCAACTGATTTAAAGGGCTTAAAAAATGTTACTTAGTGCATAATTTAAGCGATCAAAATGAAATATATAATTCATTAATATGTCCTCATTAATTTCATAAATCTGACATTGAATCTCTAGTCCTGAATTTAAAGAATTCCTCAAAATTGAGAAAACCATTCATGTCTTTATCACCGAATCCAAATAATTTCCTAACTTATTGTTCTGCCTCCCCTCGAAATGATTATTTTAGTTCATCTATTCTTAAAATGCCATCTAATTATTTCTCATAATCTATACCCTCATCTAAATCGTAGGAAAGAAATTCTTCATAAATTTGTCGTTTATTCTCCTCACTAATGGTTCCTTAGTCTTAACCTTGTACATATTATCCTTTTTATTAATTATTTGCTTAATATAATTTTATAATATTACATCCAGCCTAATTTATTTGAACATTACTATTGACAATTAAATAATCTCGTTTTTATTCTTAATCGAGATTCAATCCCCAGTCTATTTCTTGGCCATGAACTAAAAGAATTACAAAAACTATAACTAAAGTATTCATTTATAATAATTTAATTAACACGTATAAACAGTAACAAATAATCATTTTTTAAATTATTTGTATATAGTACTATTTAAGCCAACCTACGTATTTGTTTATATTCATTATTTTAATGTAAATATTTGGGAAGTATTTATAGCTTAGGAATAAAAGGCTGTGCTTCAACAAATTCTACTATCTTTTTCATAAAATATTTGATTTCTATCTACTTTAAACGAAATTCATCTTATAAATAAACAGAATCATTCTATTTTAACCTTAAAATTAAGATATCCAAAAGTGATTTCCTTAGTCCTATAAAACACTAAATATTTTAATAACATCAAAATAAATATTTTATTAGAGAATTATTTAACTAGAAATACCTATTTTACTATTGAACTCATATAACAGAGTTGAAATTGTATTAATAAATGAGAAAGTCATTTGAATAATATTATTTATTTACTAAATGGATTAAATTTATAATCTATTTCGATGTTATCCTATGGTTTTTTGTTATAATTATAGATGAAGATAAATAATTATTATCATCAAATTTAGTTATTCTCCTTTAATAAAGTACCATAAATCAAATTGTAATAATTTTTAGGGGTAATTTTATTTGAAGCTCATATTGAAAATTATTTCATTAATTGTTTAAATTTTAACAATTGATGTGATTATTCTCAAACAAACTCGAACAAAATAATTAAAATAAATTGAAATATTTGACAAGCCAGAGATTTCTATGACTATAAATAAATAGTCATGATATTCTTAGAATTAAATAATTAGAATACTAATTTATTTTAGTAATTATAAATATAAATTATAAGAATCAACAAAATATCCTGCTAAACTCGTTAAAATTAAGTAAGTTATTTTTGCTAACGTTGTATCTGTAAAAGATTCCTTTTTAAATATTGATTTCCATAAGATTGTCCACATAAAGTAATAAAACTTGAAATTCTTCGAATGCAAGCTTCTTGTCACCGTCCATATCTAAATTATTAAATAATTGTTCTAATGGAGTGCCTCTTCTTTTCTGAACTTATCTTATTTAATTAATTGCTCCCTAGAATTAATAAATTAAAATACTTAGAGTTATTCAATTTTGGTGTAATTCTTTTAAATAACATATTTAGTTTTAAATATTTTATGTTCGATTAAATCATCCCAATTATATCGATCTTTTTCATCATATTACAAGCAATTTTTTATAAATTCTTTGAAGTCTTCTGAGATTGGAATATGTGAAGGAAATTATAATTTTTGAGATTTTATGGATTTTAAAAGTTGTGCTGGATCGTCTGCTACCCAAGGGTGGTCTCCAGTTAACATTTAATATGCCATGACTCCTATACTCCAAATGTCACTTTTCACCGAATAGTGTTTATTTTCAAGTATTTATGGAGCCATATACAATGGTGTTCCTACATTTTCTCTAAAAAGTTGATTGCCCGAATAATCGGCCTTTACTGAGAATCCAAAGTCTGCCAATTTCAAAGTCCTTTAGTGAATCAAGATATTTTCAGGTTTGATGTCTCTGTGTAAGTAGTCCTTTTTGATTAATTCGTTTAGAGCCGTCAATAATTACTACAATACTATTTTCGAGACATTCTCATTTAGAACTCCTCCAGATTGATAGATGAAGTTTGCGAGGTTTTAACTATCGCAATATTCCATTATTAGATATTCTCTATTCTAACTGGGGTCATGAATCATATCAATTATTTTAACTATATTTTCATGGTCGAGATCTCTCATTATTCGAACTTCTCTCTAAAACCCAGAGATATAGTATTTATCCTTTACTCTACTCCAATCAATTACTAAGATGATGCTAAATTCTTACCTTTAACAGCAACGCATTCATTTGTTTTATCGAATAAACCTTTATAGACCTTAGAATACGCACCTTCTCCGATGAGATCTTGTTATGAGTAGCTATACTTGTTTTATATTTTTATCATTAAGTCCAAAACGAACAATTGCGTAGGATATCAATTAATTATCATTCATAACCCCCATATTTTCAGTTTATTGGCATTTAGAAATTGAATGTCAGAAAACATCAATAGTCAATAATAAGAGTTCAAATTTTGCTTAGAGCCAGAGATTTTAAAAAACACGTTAGAAAATGATGATTAATTGAGACTTAAACTCTGATTGAAATTTAAAATATTTAATTTAATCAAAACATACCCTTCAGCAAAAACCATGCTCAAGTCGTTTTACTCCTTTTCAATGCAATAATGAATGTTGTGCCTACTTAGAATGCTAAATTTAGATGATCTCTTTCTCATTCACTATGCCCAATAGATTTAATTGATTTAACATAATTATATAAATTCCGTAGCTTTTATAATGTTAAGTGTTATTATATATATATAATTATTGATGATATCAAAAGTAAAGTTAGGCTTTTTAATTTTTCTTTAAAAAGTTATTCATACATTGACCCAGGATGCTGTTTTGCTAGGTAGATCTGAGTTCATTTGGCTATAAAATTTTATTGGACCCAGATTTTTATTACAACTTTTTATGAAGTTAATGATTTTCTTTATTTGAAAGGAATTCCATTTGCATTCTTTAAATTTTAATCAATCTTCTTTTTTCATAGTCGAGCAATCTGTCTTCAACATTACTAGAGGTCGCCACTGAAGTCTAAGTCTTTTGTTATTATTTTTTAGTAGTTGTTGATAGTGTAGACAGGTTTCTTTTTTTGGGTACGTAATCATCATAAGTGAAAGAAGTTCCTCCTTTGATTCCTTAGTAGGGTTAGGTTGAATCGTAGAGCATATTCGTTAATAAATTTATTAATATAAATCACAATTCTAATACATTGTTATTGGGACTTTTTCATTTTAGATATCACTTTCAATAGGTGGATTACAGGGTATTCTAAGATTAAAATATGATTATTAAATAACATTGATTTATTTTGAATCAAGAAGATGCAAATAATTGATATTATGTAATTTAGTGACTCTGCATTATGAGTATTAATTATATTGGCATATGATTTACAATAATGAGTCACTTTTGATTTTGAATATTCAGGTTTGATTATTACAGATGGAAATTCTTTTGTGAAAAAAAAGAGTAGAGATAGTTAAGTTATAATAAGAATTTAATATATATTTATATAATAATGGGAAATTGCAATATCAATGAAAAAAAAGAGGATCAAATGGAAAACAATGGTATTTAGAATATATAAGTAGTGATGTCTGTTTAAAATTTTCAATTTATAGATGCCATTGGAAGAGGTGGTTTTGGTAAAGTGTGGAAAGTTCGACAAAAAAAGAATAAACAATTTTATGCCCTCAAAGTGATGTCGAAACCTAAGTAATTTATTGTGAATTATCTAGGATCATAAACAAGAAATCTGTTTAGTCAGTAATGAATGAAAAAGCATTGCTCTGTGGTTTAAAGCATAAGTAAATATGGAAATTAAAAACAAGTTTCTTGATCAATATGCAAAACTCATTTCAAGATAGAGAGTATTTGTATTTAGTTATGGATCTGCTTTCAGGGGGAGATCTGAGATATCACATCGGAAGACATAGAAAGTTTAATGAGGAACAAACAAGTATTTTCTTGATTCTAAATAATATATAGAGTTTTTCAGTGCATGTATAATAGTGGCATTGGAATATTTACATCAATAAGGGATATTACACAGAGATTTGAAGCCAGAAAATTTAGTCTTCGATAGCAACGGTATTTCAAAGTCATTATTAAGTTAGGATACTTGAGATTAACAGATCTTGGCATTGCAAGAATTTGGAAACCTGAAAATTCTCAAGACACTAGTGGAACTCCAGGATACATGGCACCAGAAGTTATGTGCAGTATCATATACATAATTTATAATTTTATAGGACATAATCATGGAGTAGCAGTTGATTACTTTGCATTGGGTGTGATAGTATACGAATGTATGTTGGGAAGAAGACCATATTTGGGAAGAAGTCGTTAGGAAATAAGGGAATAAATGCTAGCAAAGTAGGCTGCCATAAAAAGATAAGAAGTACCTCCAGGATGGAGTTTGGAGGCAGCTGATTTTACAAACAGAGTAAGTCATTGTGTTTAATGGTTTAGTTACTTTAAAGAAAACCCTAGAATAGGTTGGGAAATAACGGACCAGATGAAGTAAAGGAACATCCTTGGTTTAAAGACTTCAGTTGGGAGAAGTTGATTAGCAAGGAAATGATTGCACCTTTCATACCGAATGTAAAAGATAGTTATATAATGATTATTAGGGTAATGAGGACAATTACCTTCCATCAGACAGTAGAAGAGATTCAGACGATACGATGAATGAGGATCAATAAATAATGTTAAGGAGGAATTCTATACAAAGTAAGAGGAAACATAATTGTTAGATTTATTTAATGGCTACGATTTTGATAATAATGCCAGTGTTCCAAGCAGTTAGGTTGCTATTTCGAGTACTTCGTCATCTCGAGTCACAAAGTAACCAACGACTACTAACACACCAAAATCAGCAAAGTTGGCTTAAAAGCTAAAAAATTGATATCATTTTTACCTTATAAAATATTATATATCAAAATTTTATTAATATATTTGTTACCTTTTTTAAACAGATTCCACTCTTAATGCAGTATTTATTAATGAAGATTATAATCAAATATAAATTATAATAATAGATAGATTTAAGACAGTGAGTTTGAGATTATGAAAAAAGGATCAGATTCATCGATTCCTGCATAGTCAAAATCTGAAGGGTATTAATCTATCTTTCTAAAGGAATTATAATACTAAAAGTGATATGATATTTTATTAAAATTAAAGATATATAATGGATAAACCTCATAATCAAAAAGATATGCATAGAACTGAACATTAAAGAAATTAATGAATCAGATTCTTACTTAAAGAGTCTTTGATTATAATTTCCTATTTATAAATAAAAAGTAATAAAATTTCAAAAATTATATATATATGGTATCGTGTGCACAATATTGCATGTTTATTTCAGCTCCTGGGTGTGTATTTATGACATATTTGGGATTCATGATCGCAATAGGATCAGAAACGGTTTATGTTGTGCCTCATAGCAGAGTCGAGGGATCTTTTGCATTGTTTATAACAGCAGTGGTATATTGAATTCATAATCAAAGTTATATGCTATATTCTTCGCAATCAGTTATAATAATGAATACTCTCAGGTATAAAGATAGCAGAATGTAGATGAATGGATTAATTCACAAGCAATCAGAGAAGCTGAAATGGAAATGTAAGACCTTCCCAAAGAAAAAGAATAAGAATAATAATAATTAGTAGAATAACAATGAAATATTAATTTTATCAAAAAACCCAAAAATATTATCACTATGATTTAGCTTCATCTTCTGAACATTCTGATGAATTATTGTGACTGTTTTCTCCCAAGATGTTCATAAAATCATTAGCTCTATCATCTCTTTCACAGATTACTCTTGTGTAATCCTATCCAATGAGTGTACTTGAAAGATGAGCATTCAAATTATTGGTTACACTTCCTTGAGCATCCAAACCATCCATCATTCTAGTTAATTCATTCATCATGTATTCTATTTTATTCAACATGTCCTCTTATTCTACTTCTTGTGGTGGTGGATGCTAGTTGTTATTATTATCTGATAAATTTAAGAAGTTCATTGTCTATTATTATTACTATTGTTATTATTATTATTACTATTAGGGTAGTTATTGTTTAGTTTACAGTTGAAATCTAAGATATTACACTTCTTATTTAAGTAATTAAATAATTTATTATTGTTTTTTCACTTTTATTTGCAATCGAGTGCAATCCAAACACCCAGAGTCATTATTCTTATAGCCAGACTTAAACTTTAATTGATCTTGTCTTCCAGATATAGACATCTGTTTGGTCTGATTGTTGGGTTCAAAAACCCCAAATGACATAACTGGACTTTCTTGATCAGATATGACTGACAAAAGGTTTTATGGAATGGCAGAAACATTCACCAAAATATTCTCATTTTCCTCTTCTATTCTTTATTCATGCAAATCATTCTTAGTGTTTTTGTTTCTGATTAGTTTTCTGAGAATCTCCTTTTAGAATTATTGGGTAGTTCCAAGGTTTCTTCGAGTATCTAAACTAGTGATGGTAGTATTTTTATCAAGTAATTAGATTAGGAGTTCGAATCCCTCTTTTTAAATAGCATTGTATTTCAAATTTATGGATTTAATCCATCGATCTCTTTCCAAATAGGGCACCACATCTTTAACAAACTGATCATTTAATTTATTGTATGATAAATCTAATTCACCTATTCCAATCTTAGATATGTCTTCTTCTGGACTTTCACCTTTTGTTCTATACAAATAATCTACGCTGTCTCTTCTCTTGCCATGTTCTTATAGTAATTATCCCAACATCACTCCAATTTGATGAGTAAGATAATTATGAGAAAAATCTACGATGTGAAGTGAGGAATTCTAAAGTAGAGACGGCTACAGAATGCTGAAATGATTAGAGGTCATCAGACACTATATAATCCTTAGCTCCTTTAAAGATTAAACTACTGCTATGCCCTACGAAATTATTTGCATATGTTCACTACTCATCCTTATGTCTCGAATTACAAATGTTATCACGTCTAAACTCTTAGTGAATAACTTGGTAATCACTCTCAAGATTTCTAGCAATTCATTTTTATAATTATCATGCGCCATAGATTTATTTAATTTCAAGTTCTTCTACATACTTTTAAGTATGATTGTTTTGAATTTACATTAAGCTAGCAATAATTAGAGAGGTTCGATGTCTATTAATTTTTCATTTTCATACCTTATAACCCAATTTATTCTAAAATTAAAACTATTTCCGTCTCTTAAATCCCATTCAGTAATCCAGACGAACAAGGCACATTCAGGTGTTTACAAATTTGTTTGTATAGGTAAGTGTGAGATTTCTATCTTTGCTTCATATTTTTACAAATTCTAAGAAACTAATTAATTAACTTATTAATAATTGTTCTTTATCTATTAGAACATTTTGTGACTTAAACAAACAGAAAATTATTTTTCGGTAAAAATCATACAAGTAAACCTGCTTTAAAGGATAATAACAATAAAACAACAAAATACATTAGCATTAAGTTATTTATTTATATAATTTTAATTTAAATACTCCTATGTCAGAGGAACAACCTATATCAATTGAACTCGTGATGGCCAAATTGGAAGACGGAGGGAAGACCCTGCGATTAAACATTTTAGGTAATTAAATGTTTGCTAAGTGAGGCATTATCGAAATCAATTAATGCATAAAGGATCATATGAAATTGGTTCAGACCTTGGAGTTACATCACAATTTACTGAAAAGAGTATTCATTTTCTAATCTATTGATTGATAATATAGATTCTGCCATTCTGGAGAATTTGGGGGTTTCCAATAATTAATTAGAAGGAGTGCACAGAATTCAATTACAAAAATTATTAAAATTAGATTTATCTTTTAATAGGATAACAGGTCTAATATTGGGAAGCCGATAAATTTAGCATTTGAATTTGGAAAACAACAAATTACTTAAAGTAGCGTATTATTTGTAATTGTAGATTGATTTCCTAAATAATCTAAAGGATTTAAAGTATTTGAATTTAGGAGGAAACCATATAGAGAAAATAGACTTTTTGGTATTCAATGTTTAAGTATTACTTCCACAATATGTTTAAGTTGGAGGAATTGAATATTAGAAGAAATACAATATCAACTTTAAAAGGTTCATTCAGTAATACAAAGAAATTGAAGATTCTTGATGCTAGCAACAATCTAATTAGTGATACTCAATTTATTGATACTATAACTGAGTTGGAGGAATTGAATCTATCTAACAATTAGATAAGTGTTTTGAAAATAGAAAATTAGAATGAAAATCTTAATATTCTAGATTTAAGCTATAATCAAATTGAGGATTTAAGAGTGTTAGAATTCAAATTCCCATATTTGACAAATCTATATGTGTAATCAAATTAGATTTATGCAGAAAACTGGTTTGACTTTTTAAAATTGATGTCAAATTTGATTGATATCTAGTTTCAAGCAAATCCATTTTGCAGTCGGGATTACGAGGATAAATTTATAGTTGACTGTCCTTGGTTAGAACTGATCAACGGTAGAGAAGTAGGCAAACCTGGATAATATATAAAGTAAGAAGTCTTGGCTTTGAAGGAGAAATTGTAGGAATTGGATATCGATGTGAACAATTATCATATGTCTGATTTGGATAGTGAAGAGGGCATTGTAACTGAGGAGAGACTTAAAGCCATTCTCAGAGTTTAGGGATTCCAAGACGAGGAGGATGAGATAGCGAGCAAAATAAATTAGGAAGACTAGAAGGATGAAAATATTATGGCTGAAAACGAATTCATCAAATTCGTCACAGAATAGAATGAACAAATGGATAATATCAGAGCTTAGTACTTGAGAAGGCTTTTGAAAACTTAATAATCAGAGTGTTCTACTGAAAGAGGTCATTAAGAGGAGCAGTCTCTCCAAGATTCTTAAATAAAGCAATAGATTGTTGAGGATTCGAATGAGTAGGCAGTTGTGAATCAGGGTAGTAAGGATACAAATTTACGATAGAAACTATTGATAAGATCATTACCTAAACCACAAAAGAAGCAGTCTATTCTTTCTGAGATTAGTCAACTGAAATAAAATATGAAATCAAAGGAATTTTATCAATCCCTAGGATTTACTCAACCACAGAATAGAAATAGAGGTTCTCAGCAGAGGATGAATTCGTCTTCTGAAAATTTTAATAAATCATCAGAAATCAGAAGCAGTTCTAGTCGTCCTCAAATGACTAACTTCATAATTGAAGTTACCTAAAATTTGATTTAAATACTATACAGTTATTAATAAAAATAAAAAAATAAAAATGGAGTTTGAAAGTCGGTAATTCATTTCTCAAAGTGAATTCAATCGCAGTGAAAAGTTGACATTAACCACAATACAATAATATGTTTCTATAATTGTATTGTTGTTGGCACTAGGAGACGCTGTAATGTTGTTTGTAATCAATGGATTTGTGTTAAATTACATTACTTTAAGCTATGCCATCATAAATGTGCTCATCGTTTTGATTTGCATCGGGACCCTAGTTTGGAATAACTAGTAATAGAACTATCTGAAGACGACTGAAGATGAATGGGGAGAATTAACAGATAACTTTAACGGGAGGTAATACAAATTAACATATGAAGGTTATTATTCTTTTTGACTATCCTTATGGCAATCGCAGAGTTTGTGTTTTTTATCTTGATTATCCTGTCTAGTGATTATATCTAAGGACTGTACTAATCAGAGAAGATTGGAAACGATTACCAGAAATTCGATAAAGTTGTATCTGTTATGAAACCAATTATATTGATATTTTCAATCTTAATTGTTGTTGGATTAACATACACCATACACAACTTTTATCAGATGACAATCTCCTCAATAACAAGTCGATTCAACATATACCTCCTCTGCATAGCTGCATCCTTGACCTGTTGGGGATCTGTGTACTTATTGAAAGGAATGGACATCTATCCTATCAGTGCAATTTTGAACCTCATCATACTGGGACTAATTGTCTTTGCGATCATATCAAACACTTGGAAAATCAAAGGATTGCTGATGATTTTGGCAGCCCTTCAAATCCTTATAATTCCAGTACTTTTAGGATTCTAAGCTCAATACATACGAGACTTTTAAGAATAGCAAGAAAGTAATATTGCAAATTGTTAATAATAAATGAATAATTTATCTGAATCTTATTTGTCTCAACACTCCTGTGCCTCAAAATATATCAAAGACATTTAAACTTAAAATTGCCCTAATGGAGAAAAAGAATGTTCTGTATATTCTACAACATGTGATCGTGATGCTCAAGTCTAGAGATGGGAAGAATAAACAACAGATCCTGCAGATCATCCATTGGGATGCTTGAATTTGAATTGTTGTAAAACAGTAAGTAATATTTACACAAAAGATCTGTTGATTCTAATAATGCTATCTTTGGCAACTCCATTGTTTTTATTTGCTTTAATTTTATTCGAATTCCACTTATCAAGAAGAACAAGATCTGATAAAACATTAGGTAGAAACATAGAAACATTATTCCTATTATTATTCATTGGTACCATAGTTTTTGGAATTCTCTTATTAGTAAACAATTACACACCTATCCCATTAAAAAAGGAAGTTAATTTCGATCAACCTGCAAAGGCTGTAAAAGCAAAGGAATTCACAAAGATCTAAACAAGAATGTGTCAATCAATCACTTAATTGGTTGGTAGCAGAGTTGAATTAAGTAGTGAATGTAAGTCAACAACTAATTGTCCTTTGAATAAAGTAGAAACTGGCAAGAAAGAGACAAGTATGATTCTAATATAATAATTTAGATATCTTATTTGGATTGTGGGTTAAAGGAGTTTAACAATTTAAGAGGAAGGAAGCAACTACCTATCAAACTTTGGCTGCTGCTAAATTCTTATGGCCTAATTATGATGGCAATGAGTTAGACTTCTTTGCTATAATCGGCAAATTGGAGTATGTCTAGTAGTATTTGGATGATGTTTAAGTGTGTTATCAAGTGGGTTCAAAAGACCTAACCATAAATTTATATCAAAATGTTGTCGATATTCCAATTGAAGAAAAGAATAGCAAAGTTTATCATTATTCAATGTTCTCTCATTTTGCAGATGCTGCAGCTAAACCAACTGAACCAAGTAAGGGAAGTCCTACTAGTCCTACTACTACAGATAAGGGTAGTAGTGATCCAAAATCATCGGCAACTTCAACATAACCTAAATGTGAGATTCCTAATTGTTAAGAATGCAAAGACTAACAGTGTGTTACTTGTAAGGCAGGCTTTGATAAAGATGATGAAAGAGGGTGTAAATTTACAGGGAAATTAGGAGTTAGTGAATCTATATAGGTTTAATTGTTCAAGGAAATGAAATCAAAGGTGAGTGGATTTGTAGTAGGAGAAATAAAAAAAGTAGAGGATAAGTTATATACTCAATATCCATTATAAGAGGCTAAGATTTGTTGGAGTCAGGAAGGATTGGAAAAACCAATTTGTGAGGTAGCATCTCCTAAGGGAGAATATAAATTACAGATATCAACCTTTGATGTAGCTGATTATAGCACTTAACTCTTTTAACCAACAACTGGATTAGTAACTGTGGCTGCCATTGGTTATGATGACTATGTATAATCTTAAGTGGTTTAATTCTAAGAAGAAATTAATTTTGGAACTATCTTGTTAAGATCTAATGTGACAATACCTAAAGTTTAAGCAGCACCACCTCCAAAGAAATATTAACATGAAGCTGAATCAACAACCACTACTACTACAAAGCCTACCACAACTACAGAACCAGCCAAGCCTACAACCACAAAAGAACCAGCTAAAGAATAACCCAAAGAACCTGCAAAAGAATAACCAAAGGAACCTGCAAAAGAATAACCTAAAGAACCTGCAAAAGATTTACCTAAAGAACCTGCAAAGACTGAAGGTGGATGTAAAAGTGGAGAATATTTGGATGCTAGAAAGAAATGTTAACCTACTGGATGCACTAATGTTCCATTTTGTAAATTCTGTGATAAAAATAATAAGTGCATTAGTTGTTAAGCAGAATATCAGTTATAAGCTGATAAATCTTGTCTTCCAGAAAATGGATGTTCTAAACCTTACTCTTAAAACTAATGTTTGAAATGCTCAACAGACAAGGAGAAGTGTGACCAAGATTTTTGTGATGCTTTCTCCACTTTTGATAATGGTTAATGCAAATAAGCATACAAATTATGCACTACTAAAATTGCAAATTGTGCCATCTGTACTAAAGAGAACAAATGTGCTGTGTGTGAACAAGGATATAAGGTTGTAAACGGAGAATGTAAATTAGGAGATTTCTCTCAGATTTTCTAGATCAATTACTATGAAACTGAAGTATATGTTGTAGATGTTATGGATTGGAATCATTTAGAATCAGTCAAAGTTGATTTGAGAGTGGGTAGTTGTGGATCATTTTAGGTATATGGAACAGCTAAGACTGATTCCAATGGAAAAGTTGCATTTACTAGATTGGTTAAGGGTTCACAATACAATTTAATTGTCACTCATCCAGATTATTCTTAAAATTGCTATGAATTCTAAGATAATGAAGTTACTATTGTCCCATTATCCAAGAAATTAAAATCTGGATAAGTTAGAATAGTATTGGAATGGCACAACCCAGATATTAATTTAGATCTTTAATTGTCCTTTAATCCAACAGATACTTCAAACTGTTTAGTGGGATATTTAGATAACGAATGCACTGGAGCCAAGTTTGGTAAATCCTCAGATGAAGAATATAGTTTTGAAGCCATTGAAATTAATGCTCTTGTGCTTAGTAAATACTTGATTTTTGTTCAAAATTTTGGTGACAAAGAAAATTATTAAGAAAAGTTGATATCATCAAATGCTCATATCAAATATTATGTGGCTGATAAAGATGATCCAGCTGTCACTTTTGTAGTGCCAAATGACAAATAATCTGAAATCGTGGGAACTACAGAGGCCCTTAAAACTGAATGGTTAGCATGGTTAGTAGGATGCATAGATGCAAATGAATCTGAAATTCCTGAATCCCTGTTTTCTTAAAATGGTGTATGGTAATACATTACATTAATTTAAATAGGTGGACGGCTAGTTTAAATAGATGGTATCCTGAAATCCCTCAAAAAACTTCTCAAAACTATTTCCCATCACCAAAAATTTGTGACGTTTGATCAAATACAATAATATATATATATATATCATAAACCTTCATTAGAAAACATTTAATTATCACTTATTAGAATAGTAATTGATTATTATTAATAATGAATCCAGAGAATAGAGATCATTATGGATTTCCGAAGCAAAACACTCAAACACCAAGTAAGGAAGAAATGCTAAAGATTAATGCAAGGATTGAAAAGTGGAGGAAAATGATCCCCAAGATTCCCCAATTGATGGCAAACAACGATTCGAAGCTTAAATCTCGATTAAGAAAAGGCATACCTGAAGGTATCAGAATGCTCATTTGGCCTTGTTTGGCTGAAATAGATTAAATGAAGATACAAGCAAAAGTAAAATTTTCATGTTTCATTTCAAGAGAACTTATAAGGAGCTCGTAGAATCTCAAGAAATATCGCCCCATGATAGCCAAATCACCTTGGATGTCATGCGTACATTCCAAACAAATGATCTAATCAAAATGGACACTATCACAAGTCAATCTCTCTTCACAGTGCTTAGAGCAATCAGCTTGACCTTTTAAGACATGGGATATTGTTAGGGATTGAACTATTTAGCAGGCTCATTTTTATTATTGATGAATGATGAATTGGTCTATTGGCATTTGTATAGTTTGCTGACTAAATATGGTTGCCTTGATACTTATATTAATCCTACTAATACATTAAAATATTTCTATGCATTGGACATTTTGGTCAAGTAATTCTTGCCTGATTTACATGCAAAGTTCACTAAGTTCAATATTGTACCCTTTTATTATGCTGCAGAATGGTATTTAGTTTATTAACATTTTCAGGTTTATCACTCTCTTTAGTTCAATTCTGCCAATGCAAATCTTTTTAAGGGTCACCGATATCTTTTGGCATGAGCATCACAAGACAACCTTCAGAGCCTCTTTAGCCATACTTAAGATAAGGAAAGAAGAGATTTTGACTGTAAATTAATAGTTTAATGATATTTTATAGGCCAAAACAATGGAGTAAGCCATTACTATTCTCAAAGACTAGAAATTCTTTAATAATTATGATCCAGACAAGTTCATTAAAATAGCAATGAAGGATTTCATCTTTTCAAAAAAAGATCTTCGCAAATATTATGATCAATTTGCTGCTTCCCAAAAGAAATGATTATATTCAATTAATAATTGCCATAAAAATAAAAATGCTTAAATTAAAATTTCTTTTCAGCTCCTTCAAAACCAAGTACAAGATATTCAAAGAACGTATATTTACCTTGCAAACCAGCTTTGAACAATGTCAATCGCTGCCTTAATTAAATTCCATAATGCAGGCATTCCTCCATGAGAAGATTTATGATTAAATAATGCCGATGAAATTGTCAGACAGTTCTGCAATATACAATAGACTCAGACTAGAAATAGAATCAATTTAAAACACAGATGACTAATTATTTGAAAACATGATTAAATTTCTAGAAACGCAATTCCAAAAACCCAATTTTAATCAGTATATTGAGTGGTTAATAACACAACCAATCAATAATGAGTATTAATTTATCCTAATGCTTCAATTTTATTCTGGTATGATAGTCAACAATAAAGAGATTTATGATGAATTCAAGAAATAAAAGCATTAATTTAACACTATTTTAATTTAAGTTATGGAGTATTGCATCAACAAGAAGAAATTACCATAATTAAAATCTGATAAAATTGATTAATTAAGAGAGTATTTAAATAGTGATAACCACTCCTTAAAACCATATGCCCTACTATTCCTATCCTAATATGATACATCCATTACAAACTTTCCTGATGCTACTTGTCACCCTGAAATCCTCTTGCAAGTCCTCCAATATTCAGAGTTAAATGATCATCAATTATAATTCGTCATCTCCCAAATTTACCAAGGTATAAATCAATGGCATCTCTACTATCTTGCCCAACTCTTTGTACAACTTAATAAATTCAAGCCTTCCCCACTGTTTCTTGATCTGATATAGAAGGTGTACGTCGAACGAGTTCTGGATTAAGAAGGGAATTACTAATTCGACTTTAGAATCTTAAAGAATTTCATCCAAGTGGCTCAAAAAAATCAAGCTTTTAAGGATTACAAAATTTATATGCAACTGCTCAAAAGAGTTGTAGAAATGTCCAAAGAAACCAACTTCAATGAAAAGACACTAGAAAACATCATACGAACAGTGTATTTTTCATTGAGAGAACTTTGCATTGAAAATGAAATAATCTTTGATGAGATATCCTAATACATTATAAGTGAAGAACTTATTGAATTAAAGAAGTTCCTAGAGGAATGGTTATCAAACTCTATCATTTTAGAATCACTCTCCATTGTTAATCTATTCAAACTTAATATCCCAGAAGGATTTTGCGAAAAATATATGACAACTATGCATATTCAAGAGAAACATCTCAGAGCCATTATTAGATTAGTGAATTAAAGCAATTAATTCTAGTTAAATGAAAGAACATGTGACATATTAGTCAGTTTGATTAATAAATTCAAAGTGGATTACTTAAAATACTTATAACCAAACAATCTACAAATTTATCCTCGTAATTTGATAAGATAAGTAGTTAAAGCTGTTATTTCTAATTCTAATGATGAATCCATTATTGAATTCATTCATAAAAATGTGTAGCATCTGTAAAATAACAAATCTACTTGTGAGGAAATAGGACTTGATTTCTAATTTATTGGACCATATATCAAATTTCAAATTGAAGCAGAATTTACAGCCAAAGTTGATTTTGACTAATTGTCCAAATGGTTATAGATATACAACTACTTAGCTACAATCGATGATGAAATTATAACCAAAGTAAAACAGAGTTTACCAAAGTTTACACCATCTCAAATTTCTAGTTTATTATCGTAATGTGATCAATTGCGAGATAAACTTAAGGATTTCGATAAAATACATGAATTAAAAGGTCAAAATAATTTTATTGATGTATATTTAAATCATAAAGGTAATCTTCCTAAATCTATCTAAACAATCGATGATATTTTATTGGCTAACTCAAAGTGTCTAGATATGAACTATTTTAAATCAAAAAAAATTAAGTCGGAACTTTTAAGAAAGCTATAAGAAACAAATGAAATACCTAATGGTAGATAAGCTTATGAATTATTATTGGGGTGGAGAGCCTCTGATTTTAGCATCGATACTTTTGAATCATTAATTAAAATTGTCAAGGATTAAATAATGGATTATGATTTTCATCACACTCACAAATTGATTTCCAAGTTGGTTTAATAATATCATTTACATCCGGCAGTGTTATTTAATGCATATAAAAAATTACAAAATGTCTTGTCGAGTAATCTGAAAGATGCCAAGGATAAGGTTAGTATTATTAAATTAGCTATCATATTAAAGCGAATTTATCCTACTTTGACAATTCAGTTGACAACATAAGAAGATGAAGAATGCTAATTTGTGAATTAGATAATTGAAAACATCTACTTTAATAAAGGGAATGTAATCACAGAAATCAAACCTTTTATGCAGCCCTACAACTAGTTTTATCCTTATGTTTGCTAGAATTTGAAAGACTTCACCAAAGGGTTTGCGACATTCCAAGATAAATTGAATGTTGCTATTCCGGCCTATGTATAGGGAGTGAACCTCAAGGTTAACACTTAGGAATTAGTGAAGGAATTGGAGAAGCCGTCGATTAGTGCATTGTAGTAATTGAAACTTGCATGTTTGACAGCTGGTGTAGAGAAGAATGAGTTTCTGAAAAGGCAATTAAGATGGAATTTTTCTCATATTGATCCTAGCACCAATTATCTCTTTTAGGACGATCTAGTCATCTGCTTTGACGTGATGAACAAACTGTTTCCGAATGAGGAGATAGGGAAGAAATTAGAATTACTGGTCATCAATGCGCATGAGTCCTTTTATGAACCCACTTTGATATATTTATTTACAGAGCATTTATTAACTAGAAGAAGCATTTCCATAATGGAAGACTGGATAATAAAATGGAAAACTTGAGTAATGTTTTTTTAATTTAAGGATTTTATTAATTATTTATCAATTCATTTTTTGATTGGGTTATTGATGTAACATCTAATGTGTATATTCGAATTTGTATAATTTAAATAAATAAGTCATCTTTATATTCCTGTATAAATTAGTGATCTTGGGGCAAAATGGGGTGTGGATGAGAGAAGAATAGAAAAGTAGGTTTTTTAGTGTGAGTTTATTTAATTTGAGATTCAGAATGTTTGAATCGAAAACTTTATTAAAGTGTAAAATTTAAATATGAGTTTTAAGTGAGTATGAAAAATACAAAAGTGATAAAATATTTATTTGATTTAAAATTTAATGTTTGTTACTTAATTTGTAAAGTTGTATTGTCCAGACCTGTCCATTTTTGATAAGATCTCAAGTTTCGCTAGTGATTGTGATGTCAAAATTGGCATGGTTAGCTTTGGGAAGTTAATACATAAAAAACGTATTTAAATTTCTTTTTGTGAATTAGAATATCATAATTAATATGAATATAATAGTTTTTGCGCTATTAACATTCTTGTTTGATTTGTCTTTCGAGATAAGCACAACAAATTATGAGACTGATACAAAGTTTAACTATTGTTTGAATGTAGTAAAAGGGAATTGTGAACTTTGTTAATAGCAGTATTTTTTGTTTTCTTTGCCGCAAGATCACAATGAATTAGGATTGAAGGCAGGAACAAGAGTATGTGTAGAATGGTATATTAAATTGTGCCTATGATAGTCCTTATTTGAAGTTCAATGAAGCCAACAATTATTATTGTGGAGACTGTTTGGACAACAGTCAGACATGGTAAGTATTGATGAATATAAAAGGGATAAATCTAGACTGTGCACATATGATTACAAGACGAAATCGACGGGAACATCTGTGTTTCACAAAATCGAAAGGCCTGCAAAGCAATTATTTTATGTAGTAAAGAGTGGATTATAGGATGTAAATTAAATAAGATGATATGTATAGTTTACGACACAAAGTTGTGATGGATGTGACCATTTCTGCAAATCTCAAAATTAGACTTGTCTTCCAGTTTCAAAATAATTTTCTTATGATTTGAATAATTTGTACCTGAGTTGTACAGATGGATATGAGTATAGTGATGTGATTAGTGGATGCGATCCCTGTCCTGAGAATTGCAAGTCTTGTTAAATAAACAAATATATCTCTTTGGACGATTCTGGAAAGACAATAGTGACAATTAAAAAGAATTGTTTGATTTGCAATACAGGATTTAGTTTACTGACTACTCGAGCAGAATTGAATGGAGTGGAAACATACAGTCAATGTGTAGCATGTTTCACAGGTTGTGATGCCTGTTATTTTGGAAGAGATGGGATTAATCTGAATGAAAAACCATGGGATGATTACAATAACAATCCTGTCCTCCTGACATCCAATAATGAGGCAGACGAGGTCTAATTCTTTGTTGATTTGTTCAAGTTGTACCGTATAGCATAACGGTGTGAACAATGTACCAGTACTACTTAGAGTACGTTTGTTCCATCTTTGAGTAGAAGAGCGTGTATAAGATGTGGCACGAATTGTAAGAGATGCGAATACAAATTTGGATCAATATTGTATATAATATTTTAAACCATTCAGACCAACAAGGGATAAATATAAAGTAGTTGAGCCTGAGACATCAGAACCAACAACTGCAGAGATCGAGGCGGTAGAATCTCAATACACACTCAGATGCAGAGAATGTGATAAATTCACACAGACTTTCTATGCTGTTGGAACTGGTTGCACTGATTGTTCAATTGTAAATTGTAAATTATGTGCTAAAGTTGGCGATCCAACTCTTGGTAGCGATTCCTCCTTCTCAACAATAGCCTTAGATTTTGTGCCTTTACCTAAAGAAGGTATTAATGCATAAAGTAATAATAGAACAATCTTTGGAGAAGTGTTTGCTTTGTGAAGATGGATACTTCTTGTCAGATGACTACAAGACATGCACAATATTTGATACAATAAATAAACCTATGACTGGTTGTCTGACCTATTACAAATAGACTGTTTTGATACAGCAATGTTTGCAATGTGATATTGGATACACTCTTTACAAGAATGATAGTTCAGGTAATTGGGAATGCAGAATGGATTGTTCATCCTTAATGCAGGATTACTTATGTTAATCATGTGTCATAAATGGATTAAAATAACGTTGTTTGAGATGTCTAGATGGTTTCTATGTGGATATGTAAACAGGCAAATGTGCTCAATGTGCAGAAAATGGACATTGTAAAAAATGCTACACCTTGTCCCTGGTCTCTGTCCATCATACTGAATATTTCGATTACCTTTTTGATGGCCAATCCAACACCCTTTCTGAAAAGAAGATCCTAGGTCCTTATTGTTATGAATGCACCCCTGGGGATGCTTTCAAAGGACCTATTCTAAATGAGGATCTTAGGTATTGTGAAAAGGGTGGCGAGAATTGTGCCTAATTCTTAGCCAAAGGAACCAAAGGATACTGTGATTAATGTGATTCTAGTCTAGTTGGAATATCCCTTAGTTCCTCTATTGATGATTCTGATTGTATTTAATGTCCAGAAATCACTATTGGTTGCAGAGAACGTACCAGTGATGAAATAAGACAATTTAATCAATTCTATGATCCTACTGATGCCAAATATAAAAAGTATGCACGATTATCATTCAAATGCGATGATGGTGGCAATAATTATTATGATAGTAAAATTGGCAGATGCATTTCTAAAACTGATTGTCCTACTCCTTGTGATCGATCTGATGAAATCACTATAACAGCTGATTGTCAATAAAATCAACCTAATGCCAGTGATGAATGGAAAATTAACTCTTAATACAGCGATATTACATCCAAAAATACCTATCTGATCCTAGAAGATAAGATGGATTCTGCAACCAGAGACGCTCTCTTTGATGAGTGGAATAAGAAGGCAGTCACAAAAATCACCATCATTCTTGATTTCTAATACTTCTCTGGAGATAATGCAAAATGCTTCTTCCAAAAGGATACCTATTTTACTTCCAATATTAGAAAAAATGTGTTCTCTGTTTAAAATTTAGAACTTAAAATACAAACCAATGCTCCAACTCCCAACCAGAGGATTTAATGGTACATTTAAAAGACAATCTACTTTGCATACTTTACATCTATCTCTATAAATGGAATTGAATTATACCCAGCATCAGACAGAGGAAACTTGTACTCAAATATACCCAAATATGAAACACCCTTTGGATTTCAATTTCTGAATAACACTGGGTCTGTATTCTATCTAGAGAATGTCAAAATCGGAAATATCAATGCTGAGGATCATTATTTAGACAAGTCAGCTTATACTACTCCTTATAGTGCTGTTGCAGTCACACTTAAGAAGTAGAAGCCATTCTTTACAATACTGTTGAACACTTATGATATCTATTTAAAAAATGTTGTCATTCAATCCCAAAACTATTTGGTGAGTTCTGATGTTACATTCTAAGCAAAACCATTTGGTCTAGTGTATGATTCTGACATCACTCTACCTTATTTAAATATTAGATTAGAAAACGTGAAATTTTATGATATTGCCGTTGAAAAGTAAGCACTGTTTGAACTATAGTCAGTTAGCTTTTTAACTCCACCTCAGTGGAATAGTAAGATTATCATCACTCAAGTGCAATTTGAAGATTGTTACTTTATTAATGATGGTGCCTTCTTAAGCACAGCCGTTCTAGATGAACCGATGGGTATTGTGATCATAAACTCCTTATATATGAAAAACATGGAATACAATAATTCTAGAGGAATTGTTGATTTTACAACTATGTAATAGATCAAAGTGAATAATTTTTAAATGCAAGATTCTAAAGTTAACTCAACTGTTTTGTTCCACATAACAACAATTGAATTGAGTGATGCCTATTTGTAAAATACAAAGTTCACATTTAAGGGTAGGTTGATTTAAACCCAATATGAGCTCAAAACAATTAGAATTAATGATCCTGAGTTTTCAGGATTGAAATTATAATTCATCAACCTAGAATTCGATTAGGTAATCTGTCTAACTCCTGCTTGTTTAATTCTCATCACAGAAATCTAAAATGATTACTTTATGCCCATCAACATTACAATGAAAGGATTATTTATTAAATAAATAAATACTGTCGGATTCGATGAAACTATTTGGGAAGCAGCTACAAGTGCCTCTATCAGAATTGAGAAAAGCAATAGATTGTAGGTTTCTGATTTTGAGAGTATTGAAAATGCTGATTTAGCCATCTTCTATGTTGAGTAAGTGTGGACTACCAAGTTTGTCAACATCAACTGTCATTAAAAAGAGGGATTGAGTATAAGGAATAATTACTGTCTCTTTATTAACAATCCATACAAGGGTGTAGAATTAATTAACATATAATTAATGAATCTGATGGGAAGAGACAATTCATTTATTGGAATATCGTCATGGAGTAATCTAATTTACAATACTTCAACTTCTGAGTACTAGGAAACAATTGTTATTAATGGAGTCTTCGTGACATAGTGCACCATTATTACTACTGTATTGGCAGTGCCTTCATCAGCCATATTGATAGATTCCACTTAGATGCAAATTGTGTAGGTCAATTTTATGTATTTCTTCAAAAACACTCATTTAATGGAGATATAAGGATCCTTGAGGCCAAGCAATCCAACATTCTTGATTAGAAGTGTGGTTGGCACTTTGATGTTATAGAATAGTCTTTGGAGATCCAATTCTGTATCAGGTTATGGGTCAGTTCTCTATTTGGAAGTGGGAACTTAGATCATTTTCAATGTCTCAATGGTGAATAGTAACTTTGATTCTGAAACCAAGACACCATTTCCTTCTATCAATGAAAAGGCAGAAGGTGGACATCTCTTTATATCTACATTCCTTCTAGACATGAGTGATTGCACGTTCTTTAATTCGACTGCCAAATTGGGTGGTGGATTATACATAAAGACATTGAAAGAAGGAAAGGTTACTCTTAAAAACATTTCAGTTCGATATGCTTATACTCCTTTGAGTGGAACAGTCTCATCAAGAGGAGGATGTGTGTACATAGATTCTATGGCCTCAGAGTTGGATATGAAAATAGAGAATGCTGAATTTAAAGATTGTTTCACAAGAGGAGAAGGAGGAGGCATCTTTTTGGTAAGTTATGACAAGAAGTAGCAGTTCACTATTTAGGATTCGACAATTACCAATTGCTATGCCTTAAGTGGTCTAGCCATAAAAACTCTATTTTACTCAAGGACAATAGAACAATAGAAGATGATGCTTCAAGATGTGAAGATATCAGGAAATTCATCAAACTCCTTGGCTTATTTAGCATAATTAGGTTCCTTTTAATCAATTGAAAAATTTCTATTTATGAAGAGAATTGCTGCTATTGAATAAGATTTTGGATAGATTGAGGTCTAGAATGCTTATTCTGAGGGTTTATTCTATTATGGATTTCTTTCAATATGGCAATCAACACTTATTAAATTGAATACGATAGAATCTTAACATAGTATTCTATCATACAGACCCTACATAGAGATATAAGAACCTTTAGAGAATCCGATAACAGTTGATTTGGTGTAGTTTAGAAATATTTCATCAATTTCATTAGCAAATTTGAATTGCACTAGTATTACAAATAATGCATTGTGTAGATTACTTGAAATTAGAATAGAATTCCCAGAATATTAAATCAATCCAGCATTAATGTTGTTTGATTTGATTTCGGAGAAGACACCTTTAACAATGAAGAATGTTGCAATCAATCGAGTGATTTGTAAGGAATGTCATGGTGGTTTGGTCTAAATAATGAGAGTATCAAATTCAAGACTGATTCCGTTGGTTTAAATGAGTTCATGTAGATGTTCTAATTCAGAGTCATCCTATTATGGTTGTTTTTCTGTCTCAAGTGATTAGTACTTAAGAGAATAAAAGACTATGGATAAATTAATAGGCACATCTTTGACTTCTAATTTAACTTTAGAAAAAATAACTTAATAAACTAATATGAGTGATTCTTCAAATAGACTTTTAGTTAGTGATACATCAAATTAGATTAAATATAATTTTAGTTATGCCATTCCAAATCCATCATATTTATCTCATGTGATCGTAGAATCCTTAAATATAAATGATGTCAAGGCTATTCATGGAGGAGGTATCTCATTTTATGGACTAACTGCCAATGTAACATCCAGTTATTGTTCATTAGCCGTAGTTACTGGCAGAGGAGGTTGCATATATTTTGAATCCTATCCTAAAGATGGAGGCAGCATTTAACATCGGTTAAACATAGCTGACAGTTCATTTTATAGGAATAATGCTAGTATAGGAGGGGCAATTGCAGTTGTGGAAAGTGGAATCAATAATTATGCACGAACTAGCATCACTTTAATTCAAAATTTTGCCTCAAAATACGGTGATGATGTTGCTCAATATCCTACCTCATTAGGTATAAGAGTGAAGTAAGTTTTACAAAAGTAAGGAAATTTAGATTCTCACACTGGATGGTTGCATTATCCCCTTGTTATCAAGAGTGGTTAGGAATTAAAGAAATTTGAAAATTAGACTGTTATTTTGGTGTTCCTTGACAAGAATAACAATATTATGAGCTATTAGCATGATACTGAATGCAGTTTATCAAGTAATGTCACCAAAACTAAAGACAATTAAACCTCAACTTTTCCAGGGGAAACAAATAGGAAGTTTGAAATTAATGATGTTCAAGGATTTGACTACTCGAATCAAATCATTAACTTCGATCCCTACAATCAAATCACACTGGATGCAGTGTTTAATAGTAGTCATATTAACATACCCATCTACCATGACTAATATCCCTATTAATGTAAGGGTTTTGACACTGGATACACTCTGTAAGTCAGGATCAGATCAGTAGAATGTGAGTTGGGAGAACAATATAATGATTAGTAGGAAACCTGCTCTCCTTGTTCAGTTGGTACATTTGCTTTGGAGTACAAAACTGATACTTGCAGAAAAATAGATGAAACTAAAATGAATTACACATTCATGAATAAAATTAGCATTAAGAGTAGTTATTGGAGACCACATTATTAAAGTGGAGAGGTTGAAGAGTGCAAGAATAAAGTTTACAATTGCAAAGGAGGATTCGATGTTGGAAATGATCTTTGTCAAGAAGGGTTTATCGGAGCACTTTGTGAGGAGTGTGATATATATGGTAGTTATTGGGGAGAATCTTATTCCAATTCTGCTAAATATGAATGTGGACTTTGTTAGGAAAAAACCAGAAACTAATTAATGATTGCCTTCATAACTATCTTTACAATTTATAGCACTTTATAGTCAGTAAAAGGTCATGAGGATAGAATGGAAAAGGTTGTTACTATGAAAGTCTTAAGATAACTTAAGTTACTATCTGCCAAAGCCTCCTTAGATTAAGCTGCTATCTTGATGAAAATATTCAACAATTTTGTTTAATTACTTTCTATCCTTGAAGGCTTTAAAATTGATATACCCCAAGGTACAGTAGATACAATCAACACTGTCAGTATGCCTGCTAAATCTATGGGAAATGCTCTGGATTGCTTTTTAGTTGATGGAGCAGGAGATGTAGATATGATTTATCTGAGATTGATTTGGTCTTTGGCTATCTAATTGCTTTATATCATTGCAATGACTTTGATCATCCTTGTGTTGATTTTCAAGAATCGTTTCAAGTGGAAGAGTCTCTAAACTATGGCCATTTACATGTTCATCTTTTTATAGCCAACCTTCTTGATTGAATTTGCCAACCTTATTGCATGGAGAGATATTTCAGGAGAAGGTTATATCCAAGCCAATGTGTCTTATAAGCACGACACATAAACTCACAGTGTATGGTTGTCATGGTTTGCATATCCTGGATTCTTCGTATTTTTGTTTGTGATACCTTTTATCTTCTTTTATCAATTGTTAGTTGGTAAATGGTATGAAAGATTCGATTAAATTGCATTCATGCAATCATGGGGGTACTTCTATCATGAGTATTCAAATGATAAGGATAGGATTATTTATTATTGGGAATTCGTTAGAATCTACATCAGAGCATTTATCAGTATTCTTATTTGTCTCTAAGCTTAAAATGTCATTATGATGGTACAATATTATTATCTATCATTTATAGGGTTCCTTGTCTTCCATCTTGACTTTTATCTACCTCCTCTTGAGTCTGTATGTGCAACCGTACAGTAATTAGAAACTGAATAAGATAGACCAAATCTCTAATGTCATCCTGACTCTCACTTTTAGCATTGCGACAATCGTCTACTCCACCATTTAAAATGAAAACTTCTAAATAACATTAGCAGGGTATGTCATAATGGGTTTTTTGATCATTCCATTTTTATTATACATAATATTTGAAATTGTGGGAGAAAACTTTGAAAGCAAAGCAAACATACTTGATAACATTAGAGATAAAATCAATAAGAAATACCCTGCACTTATCAAAGCCAGGAATTGTTTGACCTGTTGGAATTGCTGTGATTCATTTAATATTCCCAAATTCGTATTACAAAACCGTACTACAAGTAGGAGAAGAGCAAAGGAACTTTGGAAAGATCTCATGGCTACTGTGAATGAAAGCTTAGAAGAATGGAAATTTGATAGAGACAGACCATTTAAAGTTAAAAAATGGTTTAATGATCCTCTTGTTCTGTAAGATGAAGGAATGGATGAATATCAGATATACTGATGATTTATATATATAAATCTGAACAATATTATTCTTAATCAATTTAAACATCTTATTTATTATTTTATTTAAGAAGAAGTTAATATACATTTAAATGATTTAATGATACATATCAAGATAACGTTATATCTTGGATATTTATAAATAATAAAAAGAGAGATTTCTAATTACAGGATCCTAGTAATTAGAAAGCAATATTGAAAGAACAATTGATGAAGATTGATTTATGTATGTGCATTCAAATATCAAATTTCTTTAAATCATCAGCAACAGTCAATTCAAATCCGGTGTTTGCTCTTACCCATTCCAAATCAGTATCAGCTGCAATTTCAGTCAAGACTAATTCACCATTTCTCTTAACGAAGACAGCCTTTTCTAAAATGTAAATATAACATTTATTTACCAGTGATAACTTAATCAACTCTTCTAAGTCCAGTTGCTGGAAGAGTGATGTCTTTTAAGAACTTCTTTTCCCCTTTGGCTGTGTGTTCCATAACCACAAGGACTTTAGAACCAGAGGCTACCAAATCCATGGCTCCTCCCATTCCTTTAACCATTCTTCCTGGAATAACCCAATTGGCAATATCCCCTTATTTATTAATTTGCATAGCTCCCAAAACAGTCAGATCAAGATGACCTCCTCTAACCATGCCAAATGATTCACTGCTTGAGAAAGTGGATGCTCCTTGATTCAAGGTGATGGACTCTTTTCCTGCATTAACTAAGTCTCCCAACTCTTGTCCTTCCAATGGATAATTGCCAACTCCCACAGCTCCTATTTCTGTATGGAAATGGATTGTGATGTGTGGATCTAAGAAGCCAGGAATGAGTGTGGGGATTCCGATACCCAAATTCACATACATGCCATCTTTGAATTCATGGGCAGCTCTCTTGGCAATCCTGTTTCTCAAACCTTGGTTCTTGGCTTTCTTGAATTTTTCTATGAAATTTATATATTAAAATACCAGGATTTTTTTAATAAACTGATTCGTCATATACTAATCTCTCAATAGATTTCTTATAATTGCCACCCAAGTAGAGATAGTCAACATAAATGCCATTCACATGTACATGATCGAACCCAAAGGAGCCAAGAGGTACGATAGATTCAACTTCAGCAATCACTACCTTTGCAGCCTTGACCATATCTTCATTAAAGTTTCTAGAGGTTCCTACGAATCTGAGATTTCCGTTGGTGTCTGCAACACTCGCCTTGATAATGGCATAATCACCTTAGATGGCTTCTTCTCTGATGTATTTCTGTCCTTTGAAATATTCAACCTGTATTAGATTACAACACAAATTACATGTTTTGGTTGAGAAGCGATATCCACTTCGAAGTCCTTTGAGTGATTCTTATACTTGATGGGGATGCCACCCTTCTCAACAATGGTGTCTACACCTGTTCTGGTGTAAAATGCTGGGATTCCTGCACCTGCAGATCTGAGCTTTTCTGCCAAAGTGCCTTGTGGGATCAATTCGAGTTCCAATTCCCCATCAAAGTATTTTCTTCTATAATACAACACACTTACTCAGCCAGATGATGATTTTCTCCAGCATATGATGCTATCACTCTCTTCAATTGTCCATTGTTCAATAGTATCCCAAGACCTTCATCATTAGTACCACAATTGTTGCTCACAACTGTAAGATTCTTTGTTCCTGCCTCCTTGAGGGCATTAATACTGTTCTCTGGAATGCCACAAAGTCCAAAGCCTCCGACCAGAATAGTCGAGCCTGCTGGAATCTATTTGACAATCGAAAGATCCTTCAAAATCTTGACATAGTATTTATTCATGTGATGAAGGGAGAGTGTCTTGGATAGAGCAAACATTATTTAATATATATTTTAGATATTATGATTCTTCCTGTTCCTAAATATAGTTAACTTAATACGAATTATCCAATTATGCATTAATTGAATTAAACCAATGAATTAGAAACTAATAATTAATTCCTCATATCACGAATTTATAAACTTAATTCGCATCCCTCATTACTCATTTTTCGATTCAAATTAGGGAACTCCCTTAGTTATCAACTTATTTATCTATATATATATATTTATAATCATTTCAAAAGAATTATGGACTCCTATGGAACTGCAACGATTATTGAGTCAAAGGGTAATTGCTTCTGCTGCTCGTAGATATCTGAGGAATGATTCTTCTAGGAGTGGACCCTCCATTATAGATGCTCTTTAAATCAATGCTATTCTGTCTCTTCAATTGCGGACTCTATTATATGTCCTCGTTTGTCTTGAGTCTAGTGTTTTCCTAGATTGAATTCAAGATCAACCCCAAAGACGGGGATGGCTGCACATCTGGCTATTACTAGGAAATTGATCTCATCTTACTCAATCTTGGAGTCGATAATTACTACAATTAGATGTAATACTCCTCCAATATTGTGTCAATGTTGAATTTAGAATTGCATTCTGGACATTCGACTGTTTTGTTTAAACCATACGTTATTATAGATTGATATTAAGATTAAAGACAGGATTTACAATAATAATGTCCGCATTTGTTCTTCACTCCTTGTTCTTGAGTCTTTTTGCAAAAGTCACAGAAATCTGATGCCTTCTATTTAATTGAATTGCTCCTCTACAACAATTGATTAACATCTATCTCCTTGCTGTTGTTCTTGATTAGTTCATTATTCAAGATTTCGGTGCACGAGGGTTCCAAACAAAAGTGAGTCTGAAAGTACTTTGATTTATTGAGGGAGTCCTTGATGCACTTCTCACAATGGGTGTGTCCACATTTATTGGTGTAGAGTGTTCCTTGTGTTGCTTTGCACTAGAGACATTTATTGACCTAGACGGAAGGGTCCATCAAAGGGGACAACTAAAGAAATGGGAAATCATCCTTACTGAGTTCTATTTTGCAATAGAAATCTCGACAAATGAAGTAGGATCCCAATTTGAAATACAACTTCAAACATTGTTTACAATATGTGTGACTACATGCTATTGATTTATTCAATTCAACTTAATCAAATGATCTCAAACAACCGTTGCATTCCTGCTTCATTTCCAATATAAAATCATGCTATAATGAATTAGATCGACTCCTTTACTTTTCTTAAGCCTCCACAGTGTAGTGGCTTTGAAATTATACAATCTTGAGTATCAAGGGAAGATTTTCACTGTTTGAAAGTGAAATGGAGGTGTTATACGTCAAAAAGATCGTGTCCACCTTGAAAGTCTGACCCAATCTCTAGAGAATGTCCTTGTTACAGATTTGTGAGGCGATTTTTTTGTACTGGGCAAAGATGTGCATCTTCATTATTTATGAGGATTCTTCTTGATTAACTAAAGTGTAGAAGAGATCGATATTGGGACTCCTTATCATTTGGTTCAGTAATTCTACTGTCTTGTGGATCCTAATAGGAGCAAATTGATTTGCCAGAGGTAATAGTAGTTTGATCTGATCTTGATTTTTGGTTTTAATTAGTATTTCTACTAAGCCACACAGAAGGGCAGACCAACAATCATTGCAATCGTGAGTCTCTTGCTTCTTAGATGAATTTTACATTAATAAATTAATGCACTATCACTGATAAATAACTCATTAATATATGTCTGATCTATAATATAATCATGACTATTAGAGCTAACTTAATGAAACTCGATAATTCAATAACAATAAAAATTAATAACTAATAAAAATATATAAAAACTAAAATGCATAGGGAAGAACTCTTCTTAAGAACCCCACAGCAGAAAAGAACTATGAATGGCATCTCCTTCTAATAAAAAATCAATTAATTGAACAAGAAGAACAGCATCAAATTTTCTGAACTCTTAAAAGAGCGTAGATTTGATTGCAAAACCACTCAGAAAATTACATGCCGAAGACCCAGCTTGCCTCGTAAACCTGTGCAAAGAATTTAATAAGGTATCAATAACAAGTTCTTATTATAGCTGTCAGTATACAGAGACACTTATCTTAAGAACCCTCGACACAAGGCACATATAGTGTTGTATTTTCCAACTATGCACATTAATTTTTGGAAAAGAGGAAGATTTAAACCAGCAATTGCGATCCAAATGAGGATACCAAAATTAATTAGTAGAAAATATTGAAAGCATGCTATAATCCATCAGATACAAACAACACAAGATCGATTCTAACCAGTCTATTATTAGGTATGTAACATAGAATTTCTGCAGAAAAAAACATGGGTGTCCTTGGCTTTCAAGTAGTACCATTCACTAAATTGATCGAACAAAATGCTATAATTTCTCAATAAAGCATCAGACACAAGGCATTCTCCCAAGATAAAGAAAGAGACAAGTCTTAATCATTCACCGAAGAGCTAGACAAAAGGGTCAAGTCGAAGATTGTACAGAATACCAAATAAAGAAAATCTATTAATCAAGCAAATGCTAGTCCAGTCCCTCAGAAAGTGATTGTTCCTCAAAGCAATTCAGCTTAAACCAATAACTTTAAGTTTTCTTTAACTGAGTACTCTTAATTGTCAAGGGAATAGTTGTTTTAAACTAAATTGCAGAATTACTAGCACTTTTTATTTTTAGTATCTTGTCAAAGTGGATTTTACACCTAGCCTTAAGATATCTTGACAGATTTGAAATTAAAGATCGGAGGAGGAAATAATTCATTTCTGATTAAGGAAATATTAAAGTAACGATGGTGGTGGAGTCAATAGAAATTCAATGAACTATCAGATGAAGATAGTAATTTCATATGGACCCAAATAAAAGTTTAAGGATTCATTAATTAATAATAGCAATCCAACAATTGTCTTCAATAACAATAGAAAAAGAAAATAGTGAATCAATAATCAATTAATACAATGAAGAAAAAATAAGCCATTGATCCATTTCTGAGATTGATGAGAGATGACAGTGAATATAAATAAATTGATAGAAATCCTAAGACCTACATGAAGATAGTTAATATGAAGAATCTGAATGTGCTACAGGTGGATTCGAATATCAAGGTATGATATGTATAGCATTTAGATTCATAATCACATTGATAGAAACTATCATTTAGGGAACAAGAAAGCTCTGTATCATAATCTTAAGAAATATTTTGAATTGACCAAATAAGATTTGAATTCCATCATTCCAAAAACATTTCACATTCAAAAAGGGGCAAGAGATAAGACTTACTTGTAGTTTCTTGAATTCTATAAAAAACAACCAAAGTATAAAAAAGATCACTATCTAGAGGCTCTACATGGATAGTAAAACCTGGGGAATTCACAAATAGGGGCACTGGTATCACTGTATGTTAAAGTTTGTCTGAAATTAATAAGATCATCAGTAAGAAGCAGGTGCATTCCAATGGAAAACAATTTACCTATTTAATATAAAAGTATATTGAAAAACCCTTCCTGTATAACAAAAGGAAATTTGATATTCGTTGTTACTTTCTAATAACTCAATTGAATAATATAATGAGAGCATATTGGTATGAAGATGGGTACATCAGAACCTCATCTGAAGAATTTGATCTAGATGACCCAGCCAATTTGTATGTTCATCTTACCAATGATGCTATTTAGAAATATGCTGACACTTATGGCAAATATGAGAATGGTAATAAATTATCATTCTCTGAATTTCAGCGTTATTTGGATAATCAACCCAAAAAATTTTATTTTTATAAAGATCTCTATCCTTAACTTATCGATATTGCTACTACAAGCATTAAATCTGTATATTGCAAATTGGCTCCATATAAAAAGGAATATAATTTTGAAATATTTGGCCTGGATTTCATGATAGATTAATAATTTAAACCTTATCTAATTGAAATAAACACAAATCCTTGTTTGGAGACAAGCAGTCCTGTTTTGTAAAGAATAATACCTTAAATGGTTGAAAATGCCTTTAGAATGTCAATTGATACAATAATTCCACCACCAGATGCTAGTTTATGGCCACCCTGCAAAAAACATCTCCTCTTTTACGATAATCTGCTTGAGAATAATAAATTTTAATTAATCTTTGATGAAAGGGAAGATTCAGAGGAACTAATTAAATTATATGGAGCAATTTTGATGCATGATGAAATAGATGAGATGGATGAAGAGGAAGAAGAATATGGGAGTGACAATGAAAATAAGAATTTTGATAATTGATACATATTGAATAACTATATATATATATATAAAAATACAGAACTCATATTCACATATTCTTAATTATCTTACTTATGTCGATGTCAGTATTAAAGCGTTTGCATTATGATGCCTATTTGAAGGAACTCTAAGTCAAAGCCTTGATGTTTGATACTCCTTTGACCATTGAAAGTGGAGATAAGGTAATCTAAGTTCTTTACTAAGGCTTGGGCAATCCTTACTATCCTTATATCTATTACTGCTTTAATGTGAGCTATAAAATAGCCTCCCTGCTATCACGAATATTCTAATTTGTGTACTCAAAATTTGGAAAATATCTACTAAATTTACTCTAGTTGTTATAAAACTGATTACCTGTTTTTCTTTCTTCAAATTTTCTTAGAGTTTTTTTTAAAATTCCTAATCTCCCTTGCTAAATTCAACTTCATCGAAATTATAACTTAATGGCTTAGGACGATAACTGATGTTCACCCTTCTTTTAGCTAAGGCTTCTATATCGAATCCCTTAAACCATCTGTGTTATAGGATCTCTTTAATTCCATTTTTGGATCCTAGACGCAACTAAGGATCTTTGATTAATAATTTAGAAATCAAATCTTTAAGATCTGAATGAATTTGCAATTAAGGAGGGAATGATATTCTATCATTCAAGATGCTATTGTAAATCTACTCAATGTTTCTACTATAGAAGGGAGGAGATCCACATATAAATTCATATAACAATGCTCCCAGACAGTAGATGTCAACCATGAAGTTATGGCCATTTCTCATGAGCATTTCAGGTGACATGTATTCAGGAGAACCGCAAAAGGAAAAGGCTGTTTCTTCTCTGTCCATATTTGGTTTGGCAAGTCCAAAATCAGATAGACGTATGTATCCATCCAAATCTAATAGGATATTTTCAGGTTTGATGTCTCTATAAACAACTCCATATTGATGTAATTCTTGGATTGCCAAACAGACTTATACAAAATACTGTTTGGCTAATTCCTCATTCAATCTTCGTAGTTTCCGTAAATGATAGAACAATTCTCCTCCTGCGCAATATCTATACAATATAAATAGTAATTTTACTCCAAAACAAAGACCAAATAGTACTTGGTTTCAAAAGAGTAGAATAGTTTTGCTAAATAAGGAGAATTCAATTACTCCATCACTTATCTCTCATTATTAATAATTATCTCTTTATTTGAATTCAAAATGAAATTCTTATCAATCAATTTCATCGCATAAAAATATCCGCTGTCTCTCTTACGAACCAAATAAACACGGGAGAATCCACTAAACATATCAAATTTGAATGATTACCCTACTCCAATACATTTAAGTATTTCGAAATCATCGATGCTTAATTAAGTATTTACTTTTTTTGAAATATATGGTTCTAATTTCAAATGTCTTTATTCTTTGAATACATCTAACGGATGATGCTCTAGTGATAAATAGTAATCAATATTGTAATTCTTAAGGCTACTGTGAGTTTAAAAATGTTTAATTTAATGCACGATTGCAGGGTTTACTTGATTCACTTTCGCTATTAATTTCTTATATAAATCTGTGGTGCTTTGATTTATTCCTATTGGTACAATCAATCTATTGTCATTCATTCCTTTTACTTCTAACCATCCACCATTAACGTTATAGTAATCTCAACAGGATCTCTATCACTATTCAAAGTCTTGACTGTGGGACATCTTCCAAATGCATTATTTGTTGTACTTCCGCAAGGTGATTGTACTCTGACTAAATGTTCTAAGGGATTCTGGAGCTCAGTAGGTTTTTTTCTATGGAAAATTGGAGATGAAGGGAGTCTTGCAGATTAAACTATTTATTTCATATTAATATTAGTATAAATTCAATTTAGTAATGTAAAAGTTTATACTTCTACCCTGAAATTAGGTGAGAACACTTTATGGTTCTTGTCTTTGACAGCCTTATCTAACATATACTTATCAATAATTAGTAGACCAGTATCATCCAGAAAGGAAGTATGAAACCAAAATTAAAACATGATCTGTTTACTGAGTAAAGATTTATTGTAACATATGATACGAGTATCTCCTTCGACTACTGCATCAGTCATAAAAATAATAAAGCTGTCTTTCACAATTTGAAACTTTGAAACAAGTATTTTAGATTGGTTGTTTTGTATTAAGATATATGGATTGCATGAGTTTTAACAATTCATTATTGGTATTGTAATTAACCTAATTTATGATATTTAAATTTTATTTTATGGAATATCTTGAGCTTCAAAACCAAATGACAACGCTTTTTCAAAATACAAAATGTAACGAATTTAAGAGGGTATCGTAACTCCTTTCTTGTTCTTTGTTCTCATTATACCATAAAAACGCATAGCCTCATAACTGTTGTTGAACATTCCTGAAAAAAGCATGTAACAACAAATCATAACACCAGTTCTACCTTTACCAGCTTTGCAATGAATGGCAACTACATTCTACTTGTCTTAACAAATGAAGTTGTGTATTTCATTGCATAATTCAAAAATCATGCTGAATTATGGTGCTTAATGATCTTCAAACGGGTATTCTGACACATTTCCGTCAAAATATGCATGATTGTATTTACGCTCAGAACATAAGTTGATAATTCTATAATGATCTTTGTGTCTCTGATTAAAGAACTTCTAAACATCTTCCATAGAATTTCGATAAATAGCTTCATAGTCATTTGCAGGATACCCCATAGCTATTATTTATTCAGTGATATCTAAACTTAACTAAAAATCTACATGACAAATCTAAATCGAAACCATCCTAAACAAATCTATTCTTCTGTTTGCTCACCAATTACTTAATAGGATTAGTGAACAACCCCTTATTATTATGGACATTGTTCTATAGATTTTATTTAATCAATTCACTCAATTCTTCTGAACGCCCTCGAACTCCGTAGAATGGTAACGTTTCCAATTGAAAATCTAAAGTTGATGATAGATCAAAAACACTTTCTTAGTCCATAAATTAAATAATCATTTTCCTATCAAAATTAAGTTGAATTAAGAATTTCAATATGTTTAACTACTTATGAAATTTGGAAGATCTGGCACAATACATAAATATTTGTTGCCGAATCAAATAATTCAATTTAAATCAAAAACTCTATCATTCACTTGGTAAATTAATTTTATATCTCGCATTCAATCTCATTGAGCCAATACTACTAGTATTTTTACAAACTTTATTTAATGCCTTTAAATTTCAATTAATGCAAAATCATCCCATCATATATCAAACTCAATTTCATAAAGTATGTTCTTTTGGTCTGAACAATACTGAAGATCACAAAATAAGCTTAGGTTTTCTAATACGGACTTGAATTCTTATTTATTTTTTTAGTTTTGTGTTCTAAACGTTAATATAATAATGCATAAAATATCAACTTCGAGATCTGCTTCATAGAATAGAATTACCTTAATTAATAAACTCAGTTCCCCTCTACATACTCAATAAGACATACTCGATCCTAAAATCAACTCCAAAGAACTGATTGAACAATTACTCAAAACCATCAAGAGGAAACCCACTTAAAATGAGAAACCACAAAAAAGAATACGCTCCAATGCGAATTCAGGTTAAAAATTGGTTGAAATCAATAAAAATGTCTTACACATTAGAGATTATGAACCTGAACAATAGACTGTCAAGAAAATGCACAATAAAACTATTTTACCTAAAGCACAACAAATATCCAATTATACTATGTTGTAATTCTTGGGCAAAGGAAAATACAGTGAAGTTAAACTGGCTTGTGAGATCAATACTGGAATACATGTTGCACTTAAAATAATGAAAAAAGAATAAATTTCATCAATTTGGAAGAGTATTGCATAGGAATTAAAAATTTAATACCTCCTCAACCATCCCAATATTGTTAAACTGTACACCTTCTTTCACACATGTTATTATTATATTTTATATCTTAGCTACTGAAATTGTGTTGGTATTAGAATATTGTTGTCATGGACAATTACACAAATTATTGAGATCACTAACAGAAACCTGTTTTACTGAAAAGGTGGCTGCCTCCTACATCAAACAAGTGGCTTCAGCCCTTAACTATCTTCACAGAAATGGCATCATTCACAGAGACATCAAACCAGAAAATATATTTCTATGTTACAATCAAATTAAATTGGCTGATTTTACTCATTCAATCTACTCTCCTCAATAAGAAAGGTCTACTTAATGTGGATCATTGGCATATATATCTCCTGAAATTGTCAAAGGAGAGACCTATGACAAAAGTACTGATATGTGGTCATTGGGAGTCTTAGCATATGAACTATGCACTGGAGAAACTCCCTGGGAGGACCTATCATTTCAAGAAATGTAGGATATGATTATAAGTGGCAATATTAGATTCCCAAACAAATTTTCATCCGAATTAAGGGACTTCATAAAAAATCTCATTCATGTTGACCCAAAATATAGAATGAATGCAAGACAGGCCCTTAGTCATCCTTGGCTAATTGATAGTAAATAGGAGATTTCGTAATTCACTATTGATGTATGATTAATTTACTAATTAGTATAAAATTATATTATATAATTATTATATTTTAAAATTTTAATATTAAATTTATTTAGGCATTATTTTATTTATTATTCTAAAAATATTTATTTACCAATAAAATTATTTATTGAATATTCTTATAATTATTCATTTCATTTATATTAGCAAAAAAGTAGTATTGGTTGGGCTAATCTAAATTTAATATTAGTTTGTGCTGGATAAGAAAGATCTAAGGATAAAATGATATAATGATTAATAATATCATACTTTAATCTATTGATATCTTTAAGATATCTTTCAGTATTACAATTAAACCTTGACAATGGGAGGCTTTAATATTAGAGGTTTGTTTAATAAACATAATTTGAGTTAAACAGCTTAGACCTCAGCATACCAAAGGTATTATTTACGATTCAAAATTAATAAACTGGAAAAATTTACTAAATATTAAGTGTTTCATAAGGATTTGAATGTATTAATAAATTTAGTTAATTCCATTCATTTAAAAAGGGGATATAATATATTTAAATGTATATAACTTGTGCTTATCTTAATTTAAGTTTAAATAATTAGGAAAATAATTCAATATAATATTAAGCATATTGATTTCTAGAAAGTAATCAAATATATATTTAATAATCTTATTTGAAATCTATGCCTTTATTCCAGTAACGGCAATTAGGATTCTTTTATTGGAATAGATTTCAATATCATTTAAGAAGCATCATTTATAGAATTTAAATTAAATATTATTAAAGGAATCAGTTGGTAGAATTGAAAGAGAATGAGCTTTTGGAAAAATGATATATTAATTATGATAACCAAGTTTGTATGAAATCGACAAATGTATTCTAAATTTTGTTCAGATTTGTTAATTTTGTAACTGTATTGTATTATATCTATGCCTATATTGGTTCTATATTATAGAGTTATTAATGAGTTTCATGAATTAAAATATAATTGATAAGATCAACTCTTTCGGTCAAGCTTCATGTATTCAAACCAATTAACAATGAAATGATATCTTTGAGTCAACTAAAAGCTAAGAATTTTTTAGTTACGACTGCTTCGAAGCACTACAAAGTACCTGAAATAGAAGAACCTAAACCAAAAAAAAAATATTAGAATTTGGCAAAAATCCAATTCAAGTTCTAAATAGAAGATGAAGATTATCATTCAGTTTTGAAGGAGATTGTTCAAATGTAGAAAAACAAATTTCCATTGATGCCCTTGCATTTGCATTAGAAACCAAGTAAATTATGTTTATTATATAAGACCCATCGATGAAGGGGTTATCAATAGGTAGAATCACAAATGGATAGGAAATATAAAGACCAATGACTTTAGAAGATTGCAGAACTACAATAAAAACGTAGAAGATGAGCAGAGACACACATAGAGATACAAGTCAACCTATTTTGGAAGAATTCAATAAATAATTATCTAGTACTAAGATAAAGGAGAATTAACCAGCAAAAGTATTTACTGATAGAAGTAAATCAAGTAAGTTGCATATGGGATCAACTTTTTAACATTTCTAAAATTAGACATAGTAATTTGAAGTAGTTTTTGATAACAATCAGCAGTCATCTCAATTAAAGAAGAGAATAACGTAGAAATAATTTAATCTCTACAAAAACAGGAAGATTGCAACACCTAATCTATCTTTGTAATTCAAATAGCTAAAGGAAAAAGAACAAGAAATGGAAAAGAGACTTCTTTAAGATATGAGGAAGGAATTTGATAGGGAATATGTTGAAAAATTACCCTGAATATATATATATTCATAAACAATAAAATTATATTATAATGCAATCAAGGGAATCAAGGTTATCATAGAGAGCATTTTCATCGAACTCTCCAACTATGAGTAGTGCTTATGCCTCAGCTATGAAGAGTATGCAGGATAAATTGAGGAATGACAATTATAGGAAATCAATTGATTTGTCTCCTTAAGATATCATCATTGAATAACTTAAATAATAAGTAAACGAATTGTCAGTTGAAAATGATCGTCTTTAAATGCAATTAATGAAAGTTTCTTAAGAAATGGAGATGAACAATAGAGCCACTTCATAAATAGAGTTGTTACAAGTTGAGAGATTATAACATCTAAAGGATTATCAAGAGAGAGTATCAGAATTGATAAGGAAGAATGAAGAGCTTAAACACGATAAGCATGAAATCCAAATGTCATTAGAGAGTCTTTAGAGATAATTGTAGGCATATAAAAGTAATGAAAAAGGGTTGTTGCATAAAGTTGAAATGAAGAAATTCGAAGAAAATTCAATACTATTGAATACTGTTTAGGAATATAAGCAAAAGATCGATATCAAGGACAACATCATTAAAAAACTAGAAAAAAGAGTAGAATATTTAGAATTAGAGAAATAAAAAGTAGAATAAGACTTTGATAATTACAAATAAAAGCATTCAACATTTAAGTAACATGAATTCGAAAAACAAATATCGAATCTCAAATACTAATTGGATGAGAAAGATAGAGTTTACTTAAAAAATATTGATGAAGCTCAATCCAATAGACTCTGCAGAGAAGAATAGATGGCGAAAAGAATTCAAGAGTTGAGTGTGAAGAGTTCTGAGTATCAAGATATTATCTAATAACTAACTATAGACTATAAAGATTTAAACGTTAAATATCAGTCTCTGAAGATTAAATTGGAATAAGAGGAGAAGAGTCACAAATATTTAAAAAGAAGAATATCTAGATAAGAAGAAACAGAATTTAATTAGGGATACAGAGAATAGAGGACAATTAGTAAATTAAACTTAGATCAAATCTCTCCTACACTTCCCAGTCCCAGAGATGATCAAAGTTTAAGATAGAGTCAATTAAAGTAAGCAATTCGAGATTGTTTAGTGGATATGAAGAATTCAGGATATAGTCCTGATAAAAAGATTGATTCAAGAAAAAGATTAATATCTCCATTATCACCTCAATAACATAGTGAGATTGAAGCTAAATTAAAGAATTTAAATGAAAAATATGAAAATTTAATTCGTTAAGCTTAGCGAGAGAGTGATTTCAAAAATAAAGCAGTTATCAGAAAATAATTGTTGGAAATAGCTGAATAGATGAAGGAGACTACTAAGATTGATAAAATAAACTGAATGGCAAATTGATTTATATTTTGTTGAAATAGTCTAGGAAATTCGATGTTAATATTGATTTGTAGTTAGAGATAATATATATTAATTGTTGTCTAAAGATAGAAAATAATAATTAATTATGCTTATGATATAAATAGTTTATCTTTTCTATCTAGCATTGAGCCAAGAGGATGGTACACCTAAACAGTATTTGACTCTGGGGGATTCAGTTCAAGGGTAATTAAAAGCAATAATTTAGATTTGTTTCGCCAAGAACACAGAATCATCAGGTTTATTTATTCAATGTTCCTGAAATAAAAAATCAAACAGATCTTGTACTTCAGCTGAAGACTTTGAATCCTAATTCCGATCCTAACTTATACATTTCGAAGAAAGTGAAAGAACCATTGTCGGTTGAGGATGCTGACGTACAAGCATGCGAAGCCTAAGGAATGGGTAAAATTTACATTCATATCAGATATCTGTGTGATAAGCAACGAAAAGATTTAGGAAAATGACGTCTTATACATTTCTGTAGTGTCTCGTTTTCCCAGCAGATACATATTAAGAATAGAATTAGATTAGGAATAAATGCTCAAGGTAGATAGTTTCCTAACTTTTAAATTGACAAACGAAAAATAATCGTAAATCATAGATTTTATGCTGTCTGAATTCAATACAGAACAAACAGAGATTGAGATTAATGTTCAAGTGGTGAATTAGGAATATCTAGAAGAACCATTTTAAGTTTTCATGAATAAATGGGAGAATGGGGTTCCAACCAATAGTATGTATGATTACAAAGCTACTGATACTTGGGGGAATTAAAAAGTCATTGAATTTAATTAACAAAAGCCATTTGAGTAGTATAAAATCCTAATTCAAGGAGAATAAGGAGCAGTGTTTAGAGTGATGGCATCTAAGAGTCAAAAATTGAAATTTTTTAACTTCTATGAAACAATTGTGTAAGTAGTTGAATAGGGAGAGTTTGATTTCTATCAAGTAGAACCTTAATTGAACTGTGATATAGTATATTATTGATTTTATTATTTGCTTAGGGAGTTCGATTGACTCCATTTAAAGGTTATGCCAAATTGTATGTTCACTATAATAAATAGCCACCTCTATTAGAGAGTTATGAATGGTAAGAGAAAAATAAGGATGGCGAGGTTATACTCATCACTTAAGAGGAGTTGAAGAATAAAAACATCACACTCAAAAATTTGTACTTGGCTGTGATGGGTGAGGAGTTATGTACATATGAGTTATAACTAACATGTATATACGAGAGAACTATTTTGCCTGGCATTAATCATTAGAAGTTTGTGTCAGAATCATAAGTCACCATTGTGAATATATTAGATTATAGAAATGAAGGTCATTATATTTAACTTAATTTACATACTTTCGAGGGAATCATAAATTTTCTAACTACTAATTGTGCTGATGAGTCCATCTGTCCATACACTGAAGAATTATTCTTGAACTAAGATAAATATGAATTGATGACTCAATATACTATGTTATTTACTAATAGAAGGAAGGAAGCATAGTTTATTTTAAATTGTGATGGCATGTGTGCATTTTTTGTGGTAGCTGTGCTTGATAAGAGTAGTACATCCCCTGGTAAGTTTACAATCCAATACAAAATAATTGAAAAGACGATGAGTTTACTTTAAAATACCCCTCATAAATCATAAGTGGAGAAAGACAATTATTAATACTATAAATTCTTTGTATCTGAAAACGAGTAAATGCAGAGATTGCACTTTTTAGTCACTCCAATATAAGGAGATGTGACTATGTATGTATCGACTACTTATCAATAACCTAATGAGTGGAATCACGAATACAAATCCTAAAATAATTCAATTAACTTTGGAGGTAGATTTGCTAATTAGCCTTAACCAGGAACCTATTACCTATCAATTTATGGCCAATCATTCTCAAAGTTTATAATAACAGTTTGGGCAATCAAAAATTTCTAAGACTTTTAGTAATTTGGAAAATTCCCATGGCATTATATTTAATTATATTAAGGAGATTAACAACAACATTCGTTAGTTGATGAAGATTTTGTGTTGTATAAAATAGATATGAAAGGGTATGATATGAATAGGAGGGATTCATTGAATGTGATATTGCAAAAGGAGTATGGATAGTTTAGGATGTTTGGATTTAATCGACCTGAAACAAATGAATCTATAGCTATATGGCAGAGTGGGTAAATCATTAGCATTCCGTTTGATGATAAGAATTATCCAGAGATTCTATATTTGAAAATAAGATTGGACCATACAGGTGGCAATTATGGTAGTTTTAGAATTGCTTATTACTATTACAAATATATGATTGAAATATTTTAGGATGAACCTTTTTTTAATTTCTTATCTGCTGGTTATTCATAAGGTTTCGGATATTTGTAAGCCAATACTGAAGCTTTTGTGATTACAAAAAGAACTTACGAATTCGATCAATCCTCCTTAGATATCAGTATCCAACCTTTGCATGGTCTTGATATAAGATATTCTAAAAATAATAGCACCATAATTGTTCAACAAAATAAAGACCATTATTGTTAAATTCTCTCAGCAACATGTAGCGAATACTTTTATTTCTCTTTGACAAGCAAATTCGATGCCTTTTATACAATATTAATCTCAAAAATTGATAAATCTAAAATTCAACTTGTAGAGGATTAACCAATTACAAAGGCATTACCAATAGGAGAGGATTACTTCTATTTTTATTCTTTAGGATAAGAGGCTAATATTTTAGCCTTCACTTATTATGGAGAAATAAAGTTATATGCTAAGGTAGTTGCAACTCTTGATTCACCAGAACCTACTGAAAGTTTACATGATAAGGTTTCATAAAAACATAAATCTTATTCTTAAGTTTCAATTTACTTCTCTTAAAACGACTTAAATAAACTCGATTGTAATGGCAAATGTATTATCAAAATAACAGTTATTGTAAATAGGGATGGCGATTAGGATTTCAATATCAATGTACTTGATTACACAATTCAATATAATTCAAAACTCATAATGTTAAGGGAATCAGAAATCCAATCTGGAGAGCTTGTACAAAATGAATATAAATACTATAAAATTCATGTTCCAAGAAACGATACAAATTTGATGATCATGCTCAAACCAGATATCTTTTGTGATGCTGACCTATTAGTTTCAAAATCTAAATTCCCTGATCTTGGGAACTATGATTGGGGATCCTTTGATCTACAGAGTGATGTCCTTGTAATCGAGCCTGGCAATACTGTCAATCCTGATCTAACTGGAGACTATTAGTAAACTATTTATTTCATTATTTAGTGTTGGAGTTCATGGTTACGAAAAATGCTAATATGGAATTCAGTATCATCTACAAAATGTGGAAATTTATGAAATCTTCTTAAATCAACCATTTAAATTGTAATTGTTAAGTATTATAATAGTTTTGTTAATTCCGAATTCACAATTTTCTTAAAATTGTAAACCTATGGGTTAGAAACACCATTTACGATCTTTGTGTAGTCTCACTCTGAAACAGCTTATTTCTACGTACATGAGACAGACCTAGAATCAGCAAAATTCAGTTCTTTTAGTCAAAACCCGGCTTAATTTAAATACAATAATTTTGGAATGGGTTATTAAAAAAGTTTTATGACTGAACCCTTATAACCGAATAACATTTTAATAATTGCACTTAAGACTTATACGTCTGAAATTGTTAGAGTGTAGGTTAATAATAATGATACTGAAATATTTTTAGAATCTCAAAGTCTATTCTAATATTTCCTTGAAAAAGGCAAAGAAGTTACAATTATTTTAAATCCAAAAAGTATGTCTACATCAATTTAAATTTACATGTATAGTGGCTCATTAGTTTGTTCTTATTATTTTGAAAAATTCTATGAGGTTCAAAATTTTACTACTTTAATTTTACTAGATATTCGACCAGACAATTACAAGAATATATTTAATATCTCTAATTAAGAGAATTCATACTTGAAGCTTAATTTTGAAGCCATATCGAGCGCTTACTTTAGTATTTTGTATTTTACAGATGTTGAGGAGATGAATAAAATTTAGTAAATTTATCATATAATCTAGTTCAATTTATCCTGTTTTCTTTTCACTCAAAGCCTAGAGCGAAAAAGAGATGTATTACATGAATTATGAATTTTCTCCATTATTAGATCAAGGAAAAACATTTTCAATATCAGTCTAAATTTAGGACCTTCATGATTATTTACAAAAAAGTCCAAAGCATAGATCTATACCATTAATTAAAGTCTATAGCAATTCCTCACAACTTCAAATACTGCCCATAAAATAGACAATATTATCCAATTTGATCCAAAATGAATACTTCTAAATTGATAATGTATATAGGATTGTGTTGTAAAGTTAATCACAATAGGAGCAAAACTATTAAGTTTAAGTTGGAACTTCAGATCTCAGACCTCTAGTCCCAAGGATTAAATAACTTAGACAAAATGAATTGTATCAAAGTTCATATTGGGCTGTGTAATAGAATTTTATGTATCTCTTTTATGAGATGTAATTTTGTAATGGAATCTTTTCTGTTTTTACGGGTAAAGACTACGAGTAACTAAAGCAAGGCCAATATGATTAGAGAATAGACATAAGGTAAAATAAGTAAGTATTTGGATTCTTCGATTAAATATAGAACTTAGATATTACATATTTGAAGTTCGATCTCATTAAGACTCTTAATAGTTAAATAACTAATGCCCAATATACAATAAGGGTCTATTATGTAGATGAAAAAGAGGAAATCCCTTATAATGACTTCTACCCAGGACTTTAGGGATATTTAACACCTCAGCTTTTATAGAATCCTGATGATACTGTAACTCTATATATTGAATTTGCCCCTATTCAAATCACTAATTAAGATCTTAAAGATCCATATTTCGAGTTGAAATAGATTGAATATTTTGTCATATTACAAGAAAAAAGTGAGGGCGATGATTTATCTCTTGATTTTTGTTCTGATCCATCCAATTATAATAGTATAGTTCGAAACTAAACGACTAATGAGACAACACTTTTTGCTTCTGTGACATTGCATGATGTGAAATTCCCATAATAGAGAAGAACCTTAGTGTTTACTATTTTAGCGACTGGTATCATATATTATTTATTAAATTATAGTGGATGTTTAATTGTATAAAGATGAACAATTGATTTAATTAGACTATTATTATGAAACCAATTCAATTAGATGGAATCCTAAATAGCAAGTAATTTAGGAGACAGTATCAATTAACTATTAATGGGTGGGAGTTTCCATCGTCATTATCATTTTGATTATTGCTCTAATTGTATTTGTCAAGAAGAGGAAAGCATAGAACATGTAAAAATTAATGTTATAAATAAGCGAAAAATATGAGAATAAGGTGATTAGCAATTACTCGACTGAGGGAATAGAACTGCATTATCGTGGACTGAATGAATGAATGATTATTGTTTAAATATATATCAATTTATTGATGTTAACACTTAGAATTAGGCATTCTATCAAAGCATAAAATACTATTAATTTTAATAGGTTTCTGATGTAAATAAAATCAACAATCAACTGATGAACTTAAACCAATGTAAGTGCTATGGTCAGCATTAGAAGTAGATTTGACAGTGTATGAGCAAGTTTTATCTTCTCCTCTAGTGGCTGCGCAAACTGTGTGAGTTCCATCATGATACCAGATTTCTCTATCTTGATGATAGAATCCCATAGCATACAATGGAAGCTAAATTGTTTAAATAGTTTTAATACATGAGGAACAGTGTCGTTTTGGTTTACAACTCTGAAGTGGGTGATTTTAGTGTATTTGGTGAACCAATCATAGAAATCTGGATCTCCGACTCTTGGGGAACCATAAGTGAACAAACCGACTGTTCTTCCTGCTTCAGCCAATTCTAAGGCGTATAATGTAGCCATGGCACCACCTAAGCTGTGTCCTGTAACATGGATGGCTGCATATGGGTATTTGGTGGCATATCCTGGGAATAAGGAGTCAAGTTTTGGTTTAAGGGACACGAAGGCATCGTGGAATCCTGTATGTACTTTGCATTTGCATGCTTTGTTGTATTCGGTTTTTCCAAAAGAAATATTCTCAATCCAATTTTGAATATTTGATGATCCTCTGAAAACAACGACAATTGCTGATTCTTTTTTGTTATATGCAATATATCCTTTTGTTCCCTAAAAATAATATTTAAAAGTCTTACGCTAACAAGATTCTCGAAAACTTCAATGTTTGTCAAATCTGGATATGATTTACTAACATAGCCAACAGACCAATTATGGATTGCTGCATTTGGACAATAGGAAGCAAAAGACAATGCTGCATTCTCTTTAGCAATTGCCTCATTGTATGTGAAAGCTGATGCTGTAGCCACAAGAACAAGCAACAAGATTCTTGATGATGTCATTTTAATTTCGAATATAAATTATTCTGATTTTATTATAAGAGTTGTGCGTAATTAAATACCGTCACTTCAAAATGATATGCATTAAATATGATTAATCAATCCCAACATGATTTAATAAATTATTAACTTATTGTTGCAATTAAAATAGATATTATCTTCGACTGATGACTCTTTCTCAATTAGGTTAATCCTTATCATCTCCATTGATATTACCATTCGGTATATACTCCATTTTGCAATCCCAAACTCTAATAACAAACCAACCATCCTATCGTCATCAACCTGACATAATCATTATTAAATATTCATTCTATAAATTTTGGGAAAATCCCAAGTTTACAAAGTCTCTCCCTTTAGATTATTTCAATTTACAGCTCTCCTATGTCAATATTGAGGATGTCTAAATTTACTATTTAATACCACAATTATATGCGATCAATGATATACAGAGAAATAAGATAAGAATATTGGAAATGTAAATGTCCTTATATTAATAAATGTTTTAAATCTATTTACGATAGTGATGTTACATTGAAGGAATACCATTCATTTAAATTATCATCCACAAGTAACGATATAAATTGTTAATAATAACTTTGGATGTATATAATTTTATGATCATAAATCTTTAATATTTGTAAGATATTCTACACCTGGCAAGATCTTACCTTCCAACAATTCCAAAGAAGCACCACCGCCTGTAGAAACATGACTGAGTTTATCATTTGCCTTATTAGCACCAACAAGATTAACTGTGTCTCCACCACCAACAATTGTAGTAGCTCCACTCTATGTTTATTTCACTAAGGCATTCAACATACTAACTGATCCATTCTTGAATTATTCAATTTCAAAAGCACCTTAAGGTCCATTCCAAACAACTATTAAAATAGATTAAATTTATACTTGTTTTAGCTCTGCCAATAGCTTCAGCATTTTCTCTTTATGTCAATTGTCCAGCATCTAAACCCAACCATCCATCTGGAATTCCTGATTTAAGATCATGTAAAGCAACTGGGCTTGAGGCATCCAATCCAGTTCCACATACGAAATCAGTTGGAAGATGAATCTTAACATTCTTCTCTTTAGCTTTAGCAAGAGTTTCATCAACAATTTTATATCCTTCTTCATCAAAGAGTGATTTTCCAATGGGAACATTGTGTATTTTTTTAAGGAATGTAAAGGCCATACCTCCACCAATGATCATTTCGTCTACTTTATCAAGCATAGATTTAATCAATTGAATTTTGTCAGCTACTTTAGCCCCTCCTAAGATAACAAGGAATGGTCTTTATGGTGTTTCTAAGGCTCTAGCAAAATAATCAAGTTCCTTCTTCATCAAATAACCAGCAACTCTCACTTTGTGATCAATTCCAACCATGGATGAGTGAGCTCTATGTGCTGTACCAAATGCATCATTAACATAAATGTCTCCCAAAGATGATAATTCCTTTCTAAATTTCTTAACACTCTCTTTGTCAGCCTTGATCTTGGCTCCATTGGCATCAAGACCTTTTCCTTCTTCTTGAATGTGGAATCTAAGATTTTCTAATAAATTGATCTATCCATTTCCAGCATTTGAGGCTTCAACTGCCTCTGATCCAACACAATCATTAACAAAATTAATCTTAGTGCCCAACAATTCCTCTAGTTTAGGAACCACTATCTTAAGTGAATCCTTTTCAACTCTACAAAATTAATCTCTTTTTTTACCTTTTTCCGTCTGGTCTACCCATATGAGACATCAAAGTCACATTCTTGGGATTCTATTCTAGAATCTTTTTCAAAGTAGGGATAGCTCCTTGGATTCTTGTGGCATTCTTCACTTTGCCTTCCTTGATGGGCACATTGAAATCAACTCTGATTAAAACTCTCTTGTTGGTGAACTAACGTAACACATGATCTATTCCTGCCTTAGAACTTAACATTTATTTCAATAAATATATTTATCTTAAAAGATATTTGACTCTTCTGTTTATAAATTAATTATGTTAACATTATTATTGCTACAAGTGGTGTTTTCACAAAAAATTTTAGATTCACCACTTGAACAAGTTGTATGGTGCAAATCTGAAACATTCATTCTCAGTGCTAAGGGTATGCTATACAAAAACAATACATCGGAAATGCCCAAGTTAATATCAAATGTAAATTATGATTATTCATTCTAGTTAACCATAAGAGAAATATTACAATCAGAAGCAGATCCTTAAGTACTTTATATATTAGGTGATGTTGATACTTCTTATGTAACTCAGAATTGTGGGAAAACCTATTAAAAATTCAAGCATGAAAAGACTTTGCATGATTTCAGATTGAATCCATTAGAAGCCCATAGTCTCATGGCATTTAAGGAGTTCAGATGCAATGCTACCACTGACAATTTGTGTAAAGAGAAATATAAAAAATAGTATCAGATCATTATTGAATTCTAGATTGTATGTAAGCAATGATTATGGCACTAATTGGAGACTAGTGTTGAACAGAACCAGGGATGCTATATGGGATAAATTGATTGAATTGCCAGAAATCCCAGATTCAAGAATTGTTGCATCTTATTTGAGTGATTAAGGCCACGTATAGGTTAGTTATAGTGATGATTATTTCAAAACTACCTAATTATTGAGGAATAATTCTTATGGGTTTTATTAGACCAAAGAATACCTATTTATTTTGATTGACGCTGATCCTTTTAGCAAAGGCTATGATTTGGAAGTAATTAAATAAGGAAGTCTGACTCCAGTAGAATTGGTGTTGCCAATTGAAGATCATCAGAAATACACATTTACTGTTTTGGATACTGTCAATGGATCTATTTTTATATCGATATCTCATTTGGAGGACATGCCAAAAATTATGAATATATATTAAAGTGACACAAGTGGAACCAAATATACATTGTCATTATTAAATAATGTCAGGAGTTTGGATACTGGAAATTGTGATTTCGAATTCATCATTAGGGGAATATACATTGCTAATATTTATGATAATACTGAATTTGAGAAATTTAAGTTGAGAAGATCTACAAAAAACACAGATGGTATTAAAAGATTAGAAAATTATAAATAAAGTAGAATTACTTTTTGAATAAGGAGGAGAGTGGCATGCTATTAAAGCTCCAAAATATGATTATAAAGGATAACCTATTTAATGCAATGGAGATTGTTCGTTACATCTATTAGGAAGAAGCGAAGCACCAAGGAATAGAATTGTTAGTCATTCATACATTACAATTGGAACTGGAAACACTGGAATTTATTTGGGGAATGAATACAAGACCTATTTGAGTAGGGATGGAGGACACACATGGTTTGAAATATTGGATGGTATGCACATATATGATATTGCTGAAAATACAGGACTTATAGTATTTGTGAGTGATGAAGATATAGGCAAGTGAAATATTATATACTTGGGATGAAGGTCTAACATTTAAGAAAATTAAGATGAATATTACAATGGATATAACTAATGTTGTATATAAAAATGGTAAGTTTATATTTCATGGCATATCTGACAGCAAAACTCTTGGAGTGGCTAAGGAAGATGATTTTACTACGAGTTCATTAAAAGGAATAGTTGTTTCATTAGACATAAATTAGATTATGGTTAGAGAGTGTCAAGGATTTGATAATCCAGGAGAATAAGATTCTGACTATGAATTCTGGTACCCAACTAATTATGCTGGAGACAAGTGTTTATTTGGAAAAAGAGAAAAGTATATTAGAAGAAAGCAGAGAGCATAATGTTATAACAAAGAGCCAAATCTGCCAGTGTAGACTGAAAGTTGTCCTTGCTCAAAGGCTGATTGGGAATGTGATGTTGGATTCAAAAGAGATGTCTATTCTAATTGTGTCCCAATGAGAGAGATCAAACCAAAATAATGCAAAGGCACTTATTTGAAAAGTTAGGGGTATAGAAAGATCTCAGGAGATGAATGTTAAGATGGGTATTATATTTATAATATATAAATGTAGAGTGTATTTGGGTCCAATTGAAGTCAATTGCGAATAGGAAGAGAAATTAGTGACAAAAAACGAAGATGCCTCTCAATTAAATTAGAATGATAATGAAACACAATAACCTTAAGTTACTTCTAAAAAAGTACAAGTTACACAAAAGAAAGCAAGTGGTGGTGGAATTAAATTTTCATATTTGGCATTCGGAGTCATCTTACTTATTTTGGCATTCTTTGTAAAGAAGAGGTATCTAGATTCTGGCAGAACCAAAAAGAGAACTCCTGCTCATTACTATCCCGGCAGATAACAAGAAAGATAAAGTCTATTTACAGAACTATGATAATGTACATATTACCTATAAATTCTTGATATCCTTCTCATCATCCGATGATAAATCCAAATTGCATAAATAAATAATAAGTTAATTTAATATGTCAACATCTCCTTTGACTAGAGTGCAAAGTTCTGCTTTCGCCAATGGTTCTGCATTGAGAATCAAGTAGAAACAGTCTTAAACACAATGTTAAAGGGATCAGATAAGTCCTCTAAAATCATCAGACGAAAATGAATAATCTCCTTCTAAGATTATTAACATTTATGCTGACAGTGCTCTCTACAATAATCTTACCACATTCACAACAGCCAACCAAAGGGGAATCGGTGAAGAGGACAAAACTCTCAATACTTGCACTTACAGTCAAATGGTTACTGATGAAGCTGATCGAGCTTAATGTCAAAGGCAAAGAATCACCCAGGATTAAATAAGAAAAACAAAAGATTAAGTTAAAGACAAATAAAAAGAATTCTATGAGTCCAGATAGACTACAATGAAGAGTGCAATAAAAAAACAATAGATTGATTCTTCTACCGCGTAATCTTAATAAATTGATTTAACAAGAAGTTCATAAAATTTCAGAAGAAAATCAATAGATTAACCACCTTAACCATAAATTAAACCTATCAAAAATAAACTAAATGTATAGAATTAATAATTTCATTTATAATTGTAAAGTAAGAAATAACAATTATTAAATGATATTGCTAAGTTGGATAAAGAAATCGTAATGGAACAGGAACGAAAACCTGTTTAAATTGACTCGAAAAGAACTCAACAAAATAGAAATGCTATGGGTTCAAAACCAACCTATGATAAACGACAATCAACCAAGAAAATAACAGAGTCTGAATAAAAGATAAAATAAACAGTCAATACTAATAGGAAAATGAATACATCACAGAATTTCAAGATCTCATCTAGGAATTCTCCAAAATCAGCTCATCCTAAACGCCCAGTGAGATCTTAGTCTTAGGAAATTAAGGAGTATGTTGATCCTTTGAAAAACTCAAGAGAAGATTTAAATGGTATAGAATTCTTATTAAGGATAGTGAGATTGCTAAGGATGAATGAGAAATACAATTTCATATTGGACCAGTCGAACAAATTTAGAACCCATTTTTAATAAATCTGAATATAATTAATTATGTATAAGGATATTGATGAATTATTGGAGCAAATTGAACTTAACAATGATATTAAGACATAGAGTACAAGAGAAAGGAACAGAAGGTCTTTTGTGGATCCACCGTAATAGAATTTTATTAAATGAAGGAAATTGGAGACACAAAAAATAGCTAATGATCCATATGAATTTGATAGCATACTCAAATCTCAAGATTCTCCTGTTGATAGACAATCTTCCTTTGTGCCGAGACAAAGACCACAAACTGCTGTTATAGATGAATCAAAAAAACAAAAAATGGCTGATCTATTCTAACTACCAAAAACTATTGTTAATAAAGATTTGCCTCCACCGCCCCCACAAATTGAAGACACAAGCAACAACATGGAAGTATCGATGGGATAGAGTAGAAGGTAAAAAATGAGGATGCTCTCGTAAAACAAGGGTCAACCTTAGAAGAGTGATATCAATTCAAGTTAAGATCCCATTGCAAATAATACATAACAAATAGAAGTCGAAAAGCAATCAGTTTAGTCTGATTATTCAATTAAATAAAGCAAACAACCAGAAATACAGCTTAGTGCTCCTGTTAATCTGAATGTTCAAAAGTTTCAAGATGAAATAAAGCAACTGAAATAAGAAAAGGATAGATTGTAAGATGATTTACAGGCTCTGAGGAATGACAAATAGAAACTGCAAGACGAAATAGAAATAGAAAAAAGAGAGAGGCAAAGAATAATTAATGAAAAATTGGAGGCAGAAAGAAGTTTCATTAAAGAAAGAGAATAATTGAAGAATGATTATGAAAGAGATAAATAGAGAGCTGTTGATGCTGTGAAATTAGAAGTAACCATTTGAAATTTATAAAAATTAGAATGAAATAATGAGATAACAATTAGGAGAATAGAGGCAATTGGATCATCTGGCAGATAAAATTAAAGATAGTGCTAAAGAATTGGAGACACTTAAAAATCAATTATATCAAAAACATGAATAATAGGCTTAAGAAAAGATAAGATTATTTGAAAAGAAGTAAAAATGTGAGATCAACGACCAAGAGACATCCTTAGAAAAAGAGAAATCCTACGTTGAAAGTGAGAAGAGGAGACTCCAAAACATTTAAGATGACATTAGTAGAAGGGAGTAATTGTTTCAAGCATCCATGGAAGGAGACAAGAGATCATTGTAGAGCGAGAAATAATTGTTATAAGATATAAAGGAGTCGTTAAGAACCTTGGAAATAGAAACTAAGAAAAGATTAGAGTAAGAGAGCATGTTTATACAGAGATAGAAGTAAATTAAATTATATTAGTTAGAAATGAGCTTGAACTATTAAAAAATGAAATGAATTCGTAAGCTTAAAATAAATTAAGACAGCTGGATTTAGAAAAATAATTATTTGAACAGCAAAAGAATGAATATCATGAATTTACTTAGAAAAATAATCAGATCATTCAATAAAAATATTCAGATATTGAAAAATAACAATAAAAAAATGGAGCTAAGGAAATGCAACTCATTGCATTATAAAGAGATTTAGATATGAAAAGTAATCAAGTCACTAGTCTACATGCTGAGTATTCCAGAAAATTGGGTTTGGTTGATGGGGAGAGATAATAATTATTGTAAAAATTAAAAGAAATTAACGAAAAAGAGTAGCTTTACCATAAGGAAATTAGTAATGTATAGGAGTTTAGACAAATTTATTAATAGGAAAAGGAGACAATCTAAAAATAAAAACTAGAATTGCATTAATAGTTGACCTTAAACCAATAAGAAAAAATATAGATTGAATAAGAAAAGAATTAATTAACCTAAATGCATAAGACCTTATCTCATTTAAGATCTGAAATAGCTTAAAATAGTACATAAGGATTCTCTTAAACCACTGCATTTCCTGCTAAGCCTGTCCAAAAAAATAAAGTGGAAAAGCCTAAGTCCGCTTAAAAAATTCCAATTCACAACAATTCTTCAGCTAACCAAACAGCATCAAACTTCGATGTAGGGAGTTATATGAAATACTTGAAGAATGTTGATTATTTACATTGATTATAAATTATAAATATAATTAATTATATTCAATACTTTTTTGAAGAAGAAGGAGGAGGCCTTCTTGATGCAGTTTAAGTACTTGTGAATGTATTATTTGTTCCATTCAAGTTGACGTTGTTCCTGATATTGTTGGTTTGTTATTAAGGTTATTGTTGTTGTTTCTGGAAATTGTTAGTAGCATTAAACTGAGACTTGATAGTATTCTGTTGGGGTGGTAACATCTATTGAGATTTCTTCTTCATTTGATTTATCATAGACTTTTCCTTACATGATGGAATGTGTTTCAAGGCTGTTTGCTCATTAAATTTTCTGCCACAATGTTCACACTATACTCTGTCATCCACTTCTTCGATGGCAACCTAGACTTAGTGATTCATGTACTTATTCCTATTGAGTAAGTGGTACTCCTTTATTTATTTTCATTGCTGCTCTGAATTGTTCAGATTGCAATTTCCATTTAGGTTTTTTTTAACCTTATATTGGTCTATCATCCATTTTAGTTTAGGTTTATTTTTTTTTCTATTGTTGCAGTTACTCTTCAATAAATGCAATATATTACAAATCTTTTCTTCCTACTCTTGTTTCTATAATAATTTAGCATGATCAGGATTGAGTATTCGATGTTCTTTGGTATCGAACGCTTTTCTCTTCTCTTGAAATACCTTCTTGCAAATCTTAATATGCTTCTACAAAGCAGACCTTTTAAACTTCCTTCCACAACCATCAGGACACTCAAGTAACTCTTCATCATCATCTTCAAATTCATTAATCTCAATAGGCTTCTTGTCCTCCTTAGCTACAATATCTTCATATGATATTGTTTGAGGCTAATAACTTTAAGCTTTCATCAAAGGGGGTGCTTAGTAAACGTCTCGATCTGGCACATCTTATGGAATTTGAGTATATTTTCTATCTCTATCTCGCTTTGCTTTTAACAAAGTTAAAGCTGATCTTATTTCCTCTTAAGTAGCTGGACGTTACGCGTTGTTGCGACTATAACTATTACTTCTTTGTATGGGCCTTTATGGCTCTTAAGGTACTTAAGGTTTAAAATCTCCGCGAAGATTCATTTCTGCTTGTTGAGCAAAATTGAGTCTCCCTTCTCGAGAGTTTGCCCTATATTAATTTGAACGAGGAGGTTAAGCTGATGGTTTCATTTTAATTAATTATATATATCTATAAAAATTATATTTATTTGCATAATCTATCTTTCAGGATTTTAAGCACCTATTTAATCCGACTTTTATTTTAGAGCATCTGAGATAATCATACTAAATATGATGAAACATATACCACATAGTTACAATTTAGAAATATAAGAAATCTTCATTAATTGATGAGATCTATAATACTTATTATACTTTTATTAGTTCTTATTATTAATTAGAGAATTTAGAATATGTTAATTATAATTAATTATTATTTCACTTTTATAAGAATATAACTATACAAGTAATGTCGTCTCTAGCCAAACTATTCTAAAATTTAAAATCAAATTTACTCTTCTCCATGCTTGTGTGGCTTCTATTATTATACGCTCAGCAGCTTAATCTGGATTGTCTTTTTCCAAGTACGGAATTACAATGTTCATCACCTAATTTGAATATATATGTACTTCTTCATTACTTAAGTATTCCCATACTCCGTCCGAAGCCACGACAATAAAGTGATCCTATCCAGTTATAGCATATTGTTTGATTTCTGGTTCTGCAGTCACTCCTGCCTAAGCCCCTACTTTATCTCCAAGTGATCTGGCCATTGCCAATCCAGGAGCTTAGATATACGAAAGCCAAACTCGAAATGGTCCTATTGGATTTCCATGCAAATCTATTAATGAATTGAATTTTATACCTTTTTATTATTCTACTCGTCCACCAGCCTCTAAAATCTTTTATTTCTCTTCAGGATCATCAGGTTTATGATCCCTGCTCAAAGGAACAACCTTCCACCCATCGTTAAATCTACACATTATTGCCCTTGAGTCACCTACATTTGCTGAGTAAATCTTCATTATAATATTTAAATTACAAGATCCTTAGTTATCAATAATGATACTGTAGTTGAACCTGAAAGATTGGTGTCAATTTCAGAGTTCCACAATTCCCTATTAGTTATTGTAAATGCTTTTTGAATCTGATTCTCGATGTTATCAGCATCCTTCAATAGCCTACCTAAGTGTTTAGGCAATTGTTGTTTGATTTGATTCGAAACCATATGTCCATTTAAGCCATGTCCATCACAAACTGCAAACATCCTATATCCAACACTATTATCGATATATAGCATAATACCTTTCAACATTTTTTGGACAAACAATTGCGGCATCTTAATTAATTTTTGTTGCTTTATTTGGTTAACAACCAGCTTTAGTTCTCATTGCAAATATCAAAGAATTTCTCTTGCCTAATCTTTTTTCAGGTGTTATAGATTTCCTCATTCCTTCTATTTCTGAAATTTGCTTTTTTCTTTATAATTACTACTCACTTGCAGTGAATTATATCGATGGTAAACGAGCAGCCTTGCCCTTATAAATTGAAACCGTTTGCTCTATTTTGTTCAATTTTTTTAAAGGAGGTAGTGCAGGCAATGATAAATTCGACTAATATTTACCATTGTTGCTGTTATAATCTGCACTTTCAGGGTATCGTAGCGCGATCTTTTGCATGTTCTCCTTCTAAGGAGATGAGAACTCAAGTGGTTTCAAACGAAACTCTCTTTATAATCTTGTCATTGGAACATGTTATTAATACATTTATTGTTTAAATAATAATTATTATATAATAAAATTGAAGTTCATCAATTTCTAATTTATTAATCTCATATATCTAGGATTAATATAAAATAATTAAAGATTCCCTAAGATTTGTATATAAAATGATGAAGTTAATATTAACCCCTACTGTTATTCAAATAATTATTTAAGGAAATAATTATAATATTAATGAAAAACAGTTTATATATAGTAGAAATGAAAGGATTAACATAAGCATGTGAATAATTGTTTATATAATTAATTAGCAGACTTTGATTTAATTTTAGATATTTAAATTTTATTAGACTGTTTTATATAACATATTTGATTATAAATTACTTGATTTAAATTTGAATATCAATTGGTTGAATTAGCTTTTAGTTTGATAGTATGTAGGTTGTTGAAATTCATATAATGAGTTAAAATTTATATATAATTGTACAAGAAACTTTTTGTTGATACAATTACCTACAATGATTCTAGATGCTGTTAAATTGAAATTCAATTCTATTTTCAATTTTTATTTCGATGTAGACAAATGATTAATTGGAACTCAAGTACTTTTAAATTAACATACTTTATAATATAAATTTAAAGATATTCAGATTCCTAATAGACTTTAATTGAACATTTAAATTTCTAGAATCTTGGTTATAATTATAAGTTTAGTCATTATTTTAAGTCACATCAAAAATGAAATAAATTATTCAATATTTAAGTTTCAAATAATGACTTAGAGAACAAGTAAAAACATGTAAATTAATTTAATAAATAGATAAAAATAGTAATTATGAGTTATTAAATTATTTATATATTAGAATTTTTAATGTTAAAAAAGAGAGGATCAGATTAGTTAGATATAATTTTCGAAGCTGGTGAAGACTTAATGAATTCATCAAAGAATCAAGTTATAATTCTAAAGAACAATTCAATCAGACTACCAATTACAAAACCTCGAACTTTTTTATCGTATAGTTTAGAATTTTGTGGTATAACAGGTTTAAATTATAAATAACTGCGATTTCAATCATTAGGAAGAGACATTAGAGTATTTGATTGATTAATGACATAGCCTGAAACTAGCATAATGACTGCAAGTTTAGTAAAAGTGATACATACCAATGAGTTTAATTAGATGGTGCAAAATCCTTTAAAAACATCATTATAAAACTTATTTCTAGGGGGGATATTCAGCGATGTGATTCTAAAGATTAATGATGAGATAGTAAAGACTTTAATAAATATGTAGGTGCTTCCGTTGCATAAATGTATATTATCTTGTCGATCCCCAAAATTCAATGGAATGTTCTCTTCCAATCTAATTGAGAGTACTCAGAGCATCATAAAAGTGGAATGTAAAAAACCTGAATTGTTTAAACTGATGTTAGGTTGGATATACAGTGGATATTGGAAGGAAGTATTTAAATGAATAATGATCTTGATAGTTCCCTGATAATATTGCCGATGCATGTGATTTAATGTTATTGGCAGATGAGTATATGATAATGGATCTTAAATAGAAGTGTGAGGAGGATATAATATCAAAATTAGACATCTCAAACATTTTATAGATCTTATTGTTTGTTGAAAAATATTGTGATATTTTATCTCCGATAATAGTTGATAAGGCACATAGTTTATTCATAGATGATTTTGATTAGATATTAAGATTGAATCCCAATTTAGAATAAGAGATAACTAAAGTGCCAGGATTAATGACTAAATTGTTTTTAAATTATCATTAAAAGAAGATTAGAAAAGCAAGAAAAGTTCATTTTGTAGTTGAAGACTTCGATTAATAGGAATCAGACTCGGATTATAATTCATAGGATTATGTTAGAAATTATACGCAAAATTTTTACTAGTGATTTATATAAAATTCATCATTTTTATTAAGTGACAAACTCTTAACTCTCAATCCTTCTCTTAGTTCATTAAGTTTGCTGTGAACAAATTGTTTCTTGGATGTATTTTCTACAGTTTAGTTATTTATATAAAACCATCTATGTATGGCATTTAATGAGAGTCATGAGTTCCTTTTGATATTAGAACAATAGATATCTTATAAATTAAGTTCATTTATGATTAGTTTTGAAGTAATAATAACTTATTTTGTAATACTTATACATTATATTAAAATAAATATTTATTAAAAATATCTTAAATTTAATGAATCAATAAATTTTAGATAAAGACGAGATAGCCTTACTTTAAAAGCCTTGGGTTAAGAATCATACAACTTTAACAAATGATCATATCTTAGAACTTTATAGATTATTTAATTTGTATTGTAATCCAAGAACAAGAAGAATTGATTTGAAGGATGTAATGATAACAGCATAACAATTGGGATTGGTGGAAAAGAGTCCCATAGTAGCCAATACTTTGTCATAGGTTTCTGATTAACATGGAGATGGAGGTGTGGATTTTGAAGAATTCGTAAGAGAGTTGACAACTAAGTTGGTAATTTGATTGTATAGAATCTTTTAGGGCAATACATTTGATTAGAAAGGGAGAGAATAACTGTTCACTTTGGTGGATATAGATGGTAAAGGTACCTTGGATAAGGAAGATTTGAGAAAGATTTCAGATGAATTGCATCTCAACTTTTCATAAAAGGATATTGATGAAGTTATTCACAATGTTGCCGGATATGATGCAGAAGACATTACTGCTGAATAGTTTGAGAAATATTTGGCTAAATTGACAAATAGAAGGAAAATTGAGACTGAAGTTCTCAGAACAAAATGAAAAACACAGTTTATATAATAAGCATAAAAACAGATTTAATTATTAATATATAAATGTTCTATATTATGATTTAATATCAGACGGCTGAGGCTCCTGAAATGATTTCACATAACTCAACTGTGATCTTAGCTTGTCTGACCTTATTGTATTCAAGTGTCAATTTGTCAAGCATTTCACCAGCATTTTTAGAGGCATTCTCCATGGCATTCATTCTTGATGATGTTTCACTGGCGAAATTGTTCAACATGGCATGATAGAAGGCAGTTGCAACATAATATTCATACATGTAATTTTGAACAAATTCCTTCTCTGGTTCAGCTGTATCATATTTAGTGACCAATCTGAATTAAGCTATGAAATTCTTTCTATTCAATAAATCAACTCTCTTGACCACTTATTGCACCACATTCTTAAATTGATTGAAGATTATAGCTATTTAATCAATATCATCTGTGACATTCAATTAAATCTGATGAGCAATTGATGATGAATTAACAAAATTGATAGGTGTATGAATAGCTGTGATAGCCTATGTGAGTAATTCAGGAAATCCTCTTTGTAATGCTCCAAGGGACTAAAAGTGTGATTAAATATTCATATACTTTTTTCACCGATCAAGAACAGTTTGAAAGCATTACGATTTTGACGTACCACTGAACGTGTTTCTCTGATAATTGATGAATTGATGCCACCACAAAGTCCTTTGGTCTGATGTAATCGGAACCAACAGGGTCTTATTAATTTTGAAAGTCAATTGCTTTTTCTATAAGTATGTTTCATTTGCAAACAAATCCTAAATAGAACGCACACCAAAGTATTTGCCATTCTCGAGTCTTTACACATCCTACTTCATTTTTGAAGCAGCAACCATCTTCATGGCCTTGGTGATCTTTCTGATGGATCCTACAGACTTCATTCTTTGCTTCAATTATTTAAGATTCAGTGTTGCAAATGCATACTAAGGAACTGGAGTAAAGCTACTCCATAAACTAAGTGTGGCACCTTATAATCTCTGCATTTTTTAATTAAATAAATAAATCTTATAACAAACAGGAAAAGAGAGCACATTCCTATTTTCTATCCCATCTCTCTAAATATTATTTATGAATAAGATTCAAATTGGAAAATTATAACTCTCAAATATCTATTACTACTTTATATAAGAATATGATTAACTTATCGAAATTTATATATATTATTCCTTGAGTAAAATTGTAACTAGTTTTAAGGAGATATCATTAACTGATAAATTAACTGAAATTCTTAGTAAATAAGCCAAATGCTATTAAGATTATATCGGTCAGAATAAGATTTTTTCGAAAACATATTTTTAAGCAATCGAAATAACATTCTTTTATTATAAATCGAAATAGATAGTTGGTTTAATGTATATTGATACTAGATCGAAAGGAAATACCTTCTACTAACTAGATGAAGCATTTGTAATGGCTGAATTGAATGTAGATATATGGTTTATTATTAAAATTTAACAAAACATTTAAAATGATATCATTTTTGAACTTGTTGTGATTCTTGTATTTATTGCTACTAAGATTATTATAATTTTTTTGTTACTCTAGAATCAAACAAGCCTTATTATAATCTTAATGCACTTAGAGCAGTCTATTTTTTGAAACTAGCTAATTCAGAAAAGGACCTTTGAATATTATTCAGACTATTCTCTTATTGTTTCTATAACTTTTATTAAGTCTTCACTCTATCTGAATATAATTATTTTATTTCCTCAACCTTCGCTTATAAATTCCTTTAGTTATTGATGGGAGTGTTAATTTTAGAGTAAGTGGATACTTAATGTGATTTAAAACTATCAGTGCTTTCATCCATTTAGGTATGACATCTTTAACTAAGATACAACTAATCAATGATGGCTGATTTTTGAGTAATTCTACTCTACTTCTCATGTTAAGATACTGATCTTTATTAAGTAAAGAATCTATCAATTTGTGCTTTCAAGTTCTGCATCTTCAATTCAAACTCGTCATATCTAAAGAATTAATCTTCATATTAAATACTCAATTACCATTATCTGGGAAATATTTGACAGTGCTGAAAATATCACTAAAGCTCATTTATCCTATGACTTTTTTGCATTATTTATTTACATCCCGAATAGTAGTTAAGAATACTCACTGAAGGTTATAATTATTCACTCAAACCAATATTTTCAAAGTCACTTCTCAATTAAATAAGACTGTTAATTTTCATCTGAATATCATTGAGCATTTTTTCAGTCTGTTGTTCTTGTATCTCTTTAAGGTTCTCTAATTAAGTTACAATCTCTTTCTCTTTATTCTGAATCACTTGATATAATGATTGAAACTATTCTTGCACTCTTTAAATTAGATAATCCATCTCCTCTTACAACGTAGAATCTTAGTCTTAAACTCTCTTTAATTGCAATTGCATTAATTCTAATGATGCCCCTATTGTATGAGTGGCATCATTCATTTTACTCTTCAATCTCTTCAAACAACTATTCACATTCTATATTTCATGTGTTTTATTATCGTGTCTCAACAGGCATTTAATACAAAAACATTTATTCTCACAAGAGAAACAAAATAATGTTGCATCCTCCTTGGTATGAATATCACATTTTGGTTATGCTATCGGCTATGCAATAGTCTAACTCTATTGAAGGGGTTTTTCTTCTTTAGTAATATTTTATTCTTCACGAACCTTCTCAAGACTAGTTTGAATCAATTGATGACAGATACTCTCAACTACTGATACTGATCCATCATCTAAGGGAGTGTCTTTTTCACAAACTGTACATATATAATGAATATTTTCTGTTCCCTCTAATTTGAAGATTCTTCCACCCTATTATTCTAAATTAAAATACTTTCAGAAAGTTTTGAGCCATACAGACTAAGCAGAAACAATGATTACAATTTAGACTTAAGTAATTATCTGGTACTTATTTACATTGATCACAGGCAACAACCTCTTCTTCAGACATGAATTAACTGTTAAAATAATTAATTAGCGGAATTATTGCTTCATTAAAATTTCTGTTAATTATTAATCAATATGAGTTAGCAGACACTGTTGATCATATATTTATATGAATTTATTTGAAATTGAAATATAGATCATTACTTTTATTCAATTGAAACGATCCGATAAGAATCCTATCAATTTTTATTCTTCTACTTACTTGTACATACTGATATATCCTTTAATATTTGAAGATTTATTGACATGTACAGTTTATAATTATTATCGATTTCTGTCTGTCTTTGAAAAAGTATTAACAAATAACTTTTAGGCTAACTATTATCTATATTGTTATTTCTCTTCTTCTGTTGAATCCTTTGTCAATACTTTGATCTCGTGTTTAGGAGATCTGGCTAATTAGGTATATTTGATCAAATCCTCAGGAGATTAATGTAATTATCTTCTTAATTTTGCTAAGGGATTGTTAATTTATAAAGTTTATTTGGGTATTAATTTCTTTTAAATTTCATTTGAATACGAAATCAGTTATTTTTTAAATCCTTCATTCGGATTTACACAGGGCCTTTTCTATTTAACAAATTTGAGTGTTTTCTCAAAAGTCCATTTGTTTTCATTCATCAAATAGGCAATGACACATGTAGCTGATCGAGAAATACCAGCCATACAATGTACTAAAACAGACCCAATTTTCATAGCCTCTTCAATTTCTTCATTTGTCATTTCGATCAGTTCTTGAATAGTTACATTTTCTTTATCATGAACTTTAAAAATCTACTCTCATTGATCAATATACCTTATGGTTTATTTTCTAATGTTTTGGATAGCTGACATTAACATTGTTAGCTACTGTAATTACAGTACGAATATTTTCCTTACTTAGATTCATAATATTCTAGGCAGCCTTAATATTGCCTAACCATAAAGCTCCTTTTGGTTTCATAGATGGTAATATCAAATCCATTTCGTTAATGTGCATATACATAATTATTAACTAGATTTAATATAAAAATATGGTTATTTATTTGTATTCAAGTAATTTTACTTATCAAAAATTCTAATATCTAAGATTGTTTTCAGTATTCATAAATTCACTTATGATAATTTTAGATAATGTTCCTAAACTTTATTACTTTTGAGTTATTTGTCAATATATTGTTAACCATAAATGAATGATTAGTTTAGACATTTTTAAGAGGAAATTCAAGTATTCACATTAGTAGCATGTAACTATTATTGAATTTCAAATTTATTATTGTTAATCACATTTAGCTTTAGTTCATCATATTATTAAACCACTTTTTTAATTGAATTAAATGATTATACATTTATTATTCATGTAAAATTTAATTAGCAATGAATTAAATCGAATTTATTGAATTCTTTATTTGTAGATCTGAATAATTGATCTTAAATGAGAATTCCAATTATTATTTTAATTAATTGGAAATATTAAGAATTTGTAATGTGTTGTTTCTACCTATGCACTAATAATAATTAAATTATAAATAATATTAAATGCATTAAAAGCCCTTCCAATTTAATTTGTAAATGTTTTCGTAAGACTTCGAGTTTAATAATAAAGAAATAATTGGAAAAGGTTTCGATTCAATTGTGTATAAAGTAATTCGTAAATGTGATGGAACTGAATATGCATTGAAGTTAACAAGTTTTAAGGATTTACAACACAAATTTAATTTTTAACAGGAAATCCGACTCCTATATCATCTGAATCATGAACACATAGTAAAATTCTTTGCAAGTTCTATGGATGGTAGTTGTATATTAATTGAATATATGCCTTTTGGTAATCTTGTAAAATTGATTGATCTACAACTAGATATAAGGATTATCAAATCAATTGTAAATTAAATAATGACTGCTGTTAAATATTTACATCAAATGAATATTGTGCATGGTGACATCAAACCTGAAAATGCTCTTATTTCAAAAAAATTCATAATAAAACTGTGTGATTTCGGATTTGCAATAGTAGCAAATCAACCAAATACTAAATTAAGAGGTGGAAGTGAAGGTTATACTGCTCCTGAAGCCGCTGTAAATGAGAATTACGATGCAAAAAAGTGTGATATATTTTCATTGGGAGTATTGTTTTTTGTTCTGTGTATGGGTTATCGACCATTCCTAAGTACGCATCCATAGAAATAAGATAAATTTTGGAATTTTATAAAAAATAAAGAATGGGATAAATTTTGGAAGATTTTCGAAGCAAAAAAACCAGATATTGGATTTAAGAATTACATGTAGAGATTATTGTGTGCTGATCCCAATGAGAGATACACAATAGAAGAAGCTATACAAGAGGATTGGTTTAAAAGCAATCAATATTCTGTAACACAATTAGCCCAATAACTTAACATCTATTTAACTAAATAGTGATATTTATTTTGATTAACCATTTGTTTAATATGAAGTAAATTGTATAGAAATAAGCCATCTTTGCAAACTCATCTAAGTTTTCAATATAAATGAGCAATAGCCAGTCAAATTTTGGTTTTAATAAATATGTTATAAAAAACAAATAAGTTTTTCGATTAAAAATCTCTTGAAGAATAATTAATTACAAATAGCATCAAAATTGTAAATAAACTCAAATTTCATCCTCATCTCAAGATATTCGGATGTGGTGAGTTTTTTCTTTTCAAAATTGGCCGTAATTATTAGTCAGTTTATTATTATTTTTTGTTCATATTATGCTGGTTTCTGAAGTTAATCTTCATCATATCAAGATTGGAAATTTAAGAAAGAGTTTCCTTGATTTATAAGACTTCATTGTTTGGGTCATAAACACAAATTGTGACATAGTTATCGAATTCTATTGAGTAATTTTTGCCTTTTGCAATCTGTCTTCCTTTTGCATCATACCTTTGCTATTCTTTAACCATGCAAGTTTGATCGAACCCTTACCAAAATTGCTCATCTGGCACAGTATCATCATATGGCCCTACTCTTATAGTTAGTTAGAGCAGTAATTTAGGACCAACACTTGATTTCTACATTATAATTTAATTTTTTGTATATTTAGTTGAACTTTTTCGATTTATTCAAAATTCTAGTTTGTTATATCAAACATCAATAAATTAGAGAAATTTAATTATTGTTTAATAGTAATAACAAGAAATGGTTCAAAAAAGACCTGGGTTGAAAAATGATGAATCGTATAATTTAGAAGGTGAGTTATTAAAATAAACTGAAATTTACATATTCATTAAAAATATAAAATGGGTACTTGCTAAAATATATGCAAACAATAAGAGAATGATAAAGAATGCACAATGATGACTAGAAACAAGATCAATAAAGGACAAGAATCCGATAGAGAATCTAAGACTGATCCTTATTTGTCTTTGCAATTGTTGATTAAGGAGGATTCAATTGCAGAAGAAAATAATTGTTATGTCTCCTAAAAGCAACCCTGCTTTATTAAAACTAAAGAAATAGCATCTATACCAACACACACTGATAGAAAAAACCGCTTTGAAAACGATATTAAGCTTGAAATTAGATATAAAATATAATAGATGTAATATTAAACATATTTTTAGAAGACAATAGGAAGAAGAGGAGCTTAGAAAATTGCAGGAACAATAATTATTAGAGATGAAACAAAAAGAAGAATAAAATTAGAAGGAATAAGCACTTGATAACTAATTCTCATTCTAAAATTCAATGAAACAATCATAATCAGAAGTACCTAACAATTAATAAACCTCTAATCCTTATTTACCAAGACAGACATCTTAATTTGCACCTAAAAAGCCTGATGCTGATACTGTTTCTTAAAAATCTTAAATATCCAAAACCCCAACGTAGAAAGATTAACAAATATCTCCCAAATCTGATATGATGAAGAAGTCTGCTCTAAAGAAAATAATAGTTCAAAGAGAGGAATTATAAAGTAATAATGCAAGCTATGGAACATAAAAGTCTGTTTATTCAAAAAAAGTGAAATAGTTAGAAGCTTTTGAAAAAATGTTTAGTGATTATTATTCATAAGAGGAAAGAAGTCAAAGCGGAAGTCATAAGACATAGAAAAGTGTTAAAAGTATCTTAAAAAAGAATAGATCACTTTCTTAGAGAAGTATATCAATGAGTAAAAATTCAATAAAATCAAGTCATACTGTGTTTAAAAATAGAAATTCAAAGAAAGTAAGATTTTCTAATGATACTAATTTTAACAATGAGAGAAAAGGAGTTGTTCGAATCAGAAAAAGTTGGTGGGATTGGTGAATTAAATTTATTAAATAAAATTCTCTGTATTACTTTGATAATTATTGTTTATATAATCAATTATATAAACGTTATTACACATCATTATTTTTTCATTTCAAGTAAAATAAATTTAAAATTTTATCCAATAATTAAAGCAGATAAACCTTACCATTTTCGACATCAAGAACTAAAAATTGTATCTTAGCATTCCTATTGCAAAAATATTACCATATATTAAAGTTAACAATATACTATTTTTATGATAGCAATAGATCTTTCATAAGATCTTTTGATTGATATAAAATGAGTAATTAGTTTTGTTATTTAAGATGTATATATACTGAATATTTATTGAACAGATTATCATCATAATACATAATTGTACCTAGTTCATAAAATTATATAATAAGGGAATAATATATATATTATTGATATAAAAATGGTTAAAACTCCAATAAAAGTCATAGTTCGAACAAGACCAACAGTAGAATTTGCTTATAAAAATATCAATATCAATGAGAACACTGGACATATAGCAATCAATATACCAAAATCAGCTGAATAAGGTATGAATATTGATTTTAAACTGAAAGGATTTGTGAATCATTAATAAGAAGATTGGGGATTTACCTTTGATAAGGTTCTTTAGAATGCAAGTCAAGAAGTTGTGTTTGATATCTGCGGAAAAGAATTAATACACAGTGCTCTTGGAGGATATTCTGGAACAATAATGGCGTATGGATAAACAGGGGCAGGAAAGACCTTTACAATGATGGGATCTCAAATTGATTACAAATATAGAGGAATGATGCCAAGATGCATAAGCTTATTGTTTCAAGAAATAGAAGCCAGATATGAATAATAAATTACTGTAGGAGTTTCATATTTGGAGATATATAACGAAATGATGTATGATTTATTGGCTGGAGGAGATCAGAAGTAAATGTATTAACAACATACAATAGCACTGGTTTGGCTATCTAGGAAGACAACAATGGTTATGTGCAAGTCAAAGGGTTGACAATTAAAAAGTGCTAAACCGAAGAAGATGCAATAGCTTAATTATTTGAAGGAGAAACTAATAGGACTATCAGTGAACACAAACTCAATAAAGCATCATCGAGATCTCATTGTGTATTTACAGTTCATTTGGAAATAAGATCAAGAGTTGAATCAGCTGAAAAAGTTATTATAAGCAAATTGAATTTAGTGGACTTGGCAGGATCTGAAAGAACAAAGAAAACAGGATCAGAAGGTAGAACTCTATTGGAAGCCTAATTCATCAATAAATCGCTCTCATTTTTAGAATAAGTAGTCGTAGCATTATCAGAGAAATAAAGGGATCACATTCCCTATCGACAAAGCAAATTGACAAATCTTCTCAAAGATTCAATTGGAGGAAACAGTAAGACAGTTATGATTGCTAATATATGGCCAGAGAAAAATCAATTGGAAGAAACTATATCCACTTTGAAATTCGCATAAAGAATGATGAAGGTTACTAATGAATCTACCGTCAGAGTTAATTTGGATCCATAAGTATTGATAAAAAAATATGAAAAAGAAATCAAAGATCTGAGATAAGAATTAGCAATGCATGATACATTGGCTAATAGAGGTAGGATATAATATGAGCCATATACACCTGAACAATAATACAAATAATAATAGATAGCGTAACAATTTTTGAATGGGGAACTTGAAGATATTGATATTGACTCATTGAGATAAGTCAAAGAACTATTCTTCCAATTTAGGAATCTCTATAGAAATTTAGTTAAAGATTTGGAAAATAAAAACTACGTTCCAAGAACTGAAAAAGAACCTGATGTTTCAAAGAAGAAGAGTGACTAGGTTAAAACAGTAGATCCTGTTGGATATGAAGAAAACAAAAATGGATTTGGTTTGGGTAAGGCAAGAAAAGATGCTAAACCAACTACCAACATAGAGAACTTAGTGAATATTCCTAAGGATGAATTCAAACAATTAGATGAAAAGGCGTAATAAGAATTAAGGAAGGAGAGTTAAATTACAGAGGCTAATAAGGAATCTACTATTGAAAAGAGAATAGTTAATGTCGATAAATAGCAAGCATTTACTGATTTTAAGAACAAAGAGGGTTCTTCTATTAATCAATAAATACTAGAAAATATTGTAACATTTATAAGTTTTATCATTAGAATCAATTGAAAGAAAAGAAGGAAAGTATTATCTCTTTATCAGAGGTTTCAATCCAGCTTAAATAGAGAATTGAAAGAAAGAAGGGAGTTATAGAATAAAAACAATTGAATAAAAATTAGGAGGTAAGAGAAATGTTTTAACTTAATAGGAAATTGCCTAAGGTATTATTGATGAAGAAGAATATGTAACTTTGAAAGAGCTTAAGGAATTAAAAAAGGAACTAAAATAAAACTAAGAAAATATCAAAAATCTTAAGTCTGAGATTATCTTGATAGATTAATCTATCGTACAAGTATCTATAGACTTATAAACTTTAGTCTAAATAAGCTTTGGTTTCAAAATTTGAGGAGCATTTTCTTAAAAAATATGGATTAACATTGCAAGATATCAACAACCCACTTGTTAATCAAAAAGAGGAAGAGTATTCCATCAATGATCCTTCAGAATAAGATGACGTTGACCAAGATGCTTTAGCTTACATAAGAGCAAAGAATAAGGTTACACAATTGCAAAAGGCAAGAAAGTAAGAAAAAATGCACAAATGATAAACATATTTATCTATAATAAATCCTTATGGATAACAATTTATTACTCATATTTTATTGATTATTTATATTTACAATGCTTAAAAAATTCATTTACTTGTAGATAATAAAGGACTTAACAGAAAAAGAGCAACTTTTCTTTTAAAAAATAATTATTTAAATATGAAATAGCAACTTTCTTGCATTTTTTTGATTAACCCTTAATTATCTTAATTAATTAATAAAATTAAATTCGATATCTTCTTCTCTAAAAGTATTATTTGTATAGGTTTATTACCTTCTTCAACTGTTAACATTTTTGTATTAGGTTCTTGTCTTTTTTGAATATTTAAAATTGTAATTGCTATTTAAGGTAAAATCAAATTCTTCACTATCAAATTACCAATTTATTTTAATGTAATTGATATTAACCAAAAATATCTATTAGATTACTGCATAATCTTAATCACAATAATGTGTCTATAAGAGATTTCATTTGAAATTTTTATCTATTTTTTAAATTAGTTTCTCTTGAAAAATCAAACAGGATGAAAATATAACTCAATCAAAATATAGATAAATGAGTTGTTTAGAATCCTTCACCATTTTTTAATTTATCATACGAAAAAAGTTATTATAATATAGATAGATAATTATATAGTTAGATATTAGAAATTAGCATCACAGCCTGTTTGCCCGAGCTGGTTAAGGGGGCAGACTTAAGATCTGCTGGAGCCTACTCCGCGTCGGTTCGAATCCGACAGCAGGCAATTTTTTTATCTTATTTTCTTTTTAACTAATACCATTTATATATATATATAAATTTCATTTTTAATAGTTTTATCTTAAATTCAAAATCTATTGATGACTAAATATGATTAGTTCTGAATAATTGATATTTAGATAGGTCTCAATAATTATTACTATTTTTAGACAAAAATCCAAATCAAATATTATCATTCTAAAACAATTACGTGAAGTTTACATATCAGATATAAGTTTGAGCATTAAATTATGAAGATTATAAATAACAATTAATTTTGAAGATAGTCAAATGTTTACTGCTTCCTAAAAATATTTCAAAAGAAATTACTTAGTGCATTTAATTAGTTCTAAATAAATTTAGACATCAAAGTAAAAGCAAAATTTGAAAGCAAGCCAAAATTTAATATTAAAACAATATTACCGTTGATTAACTAAATTTTGTTAATCCAAAATAGAATCCCCAAATAAAACGACCATTAGTATATCTTGATTTTTTAATTTAGAAGGCTCGTTTTTATAATAATCAACCATACTCTCAAAAGAATTAAACATATAAAAGAAGTTGTAATGTTGTTTTAATCTCCCTGGATTCTTATAAATATATATTTATTTTTATAATTTAATTATATAATATGAATAAGTGACTATCTTGCTTTGCACTTTTAACAATCATAAGAAAAAAATGATCATGATAGGATAATTATATTGTTAGATATTAGAAATTAGCATCACAGCCTGTTTGCCCGAGCTGGTTAAGGGGGCAGACTTAAGATCTGCTGGAGCCTACTCCGCGTCGGTTCGAATCCGACAGCAGGCAATTTTTTATCTTATTTTCTTTTTAAACTAATTTATAACTAATCACATTTATAGATATACATTTTTTTCATTACAATATTAATCAAGTATAGAGAGCTTGCATAAAAGTTTTCTCAACAGGATGTTAATCATAATATTTATTATAAACAGACTAAATTTATTATCGAAATTAAAGTTCTGATATGACTTTGACCTAGCTATTTTGTTTTAACCAGAAAATTATATGGTTATTAAACATCCTACCCAGTGCAATAATTCAATTCATCGATACCCAAATTTATTTAAATTATTTAAACGATTTCTATAAAAATAGATATTTTCTGTATTCGTTGAATCCAATTTTTTGTGAAAAAACCATAGTGTTGGCTAAAAATTTCTAAGTAATAGGGTGATTGAAGCGGATTAATTTATTGTACTAGGATCTGATAGATCCTAATACATTTTTGGATAATTAGTCTACGTGCTGTATTTAAAATATTCAAATTTGCTAATTAGATTAACCGTTTTATTGAAGAATTATCCTAAGGAGAATGTTAAATGATAACTTCAAAAAGCCATAGCTGTTTTGAAAAACATACTTAAGGGATAGATTATATTACTGCTATAATTATATTTTTGAATAAGAATTATGATACTAGCTGCTCTTATGATTTAATAATTGAGTAATTATATAATGTTGACTTCATTATAAAACAACCGAGATAGAGTATTCATAATAAATAACTTTATAATATATTTTTAAATACCTTTCTCCTTACTTTTCTAACGTTAAATCGTAATAGAATTGCTGACTTAATAATTGAAATAAGTGAACAGCAAAAAGGAAAATGAATACATAAATAGAATTTGATTAAGATTGTGTTTAATTAAAATAATACAACGTAAAACAAACTTTACATATTCAATAATATTCATCTTCTTCAACCTCATCAAACATTGAAATAGTAGGTTATTTCCAATTCTTTTTGGTTTCTTCATCAACTAAGTTATTTATTAAATGCACCATAAAGGCTTCTAACTTGTAGAATAGAGGTTACTGATATCTTAATTCATAGGTCCATTCTTTCTAGCATTATCAAATATTCTCATACTTCTTCTTTTTTTCCAAGAGCAATAGGAGAGTACTTATCTGCAATCCTAGCTACGGCTTCCATAAACTCGATCCATTACATTTAAAATAGTCTATCACTTTCTAATTCATCAATTTATGTAAGTGTAGATAAATTGAATGCTAGATTTACATCCCTTTCAACAAAATTTTCATCATATAAATTAGCTTTATTGCAAATATCCTTGAGTTCATCCAAACACATAAAAGGTGCTTAACCTGGCTTAACCTTTCTGGATGAATTTCTCATATAAACATAATCAAAAACCCACTTATATTTCTTACATACATCATCACATTATTCTACAAAGTATCTCTCTGCTCTCCATTTATGAGAATCAAATTAGGACATGTGTGGCATACATTATTCTAACATCATTTTAGTAGCTTAAACAATGTTGATTTAGGGATTGAATCTAATATATTTATCATCTGAGACTCTCACTAAGAATTCCATCATCTGGTATCTAACCAATGACCTCTCTGGATTTCTATAATTACCCTTGTAATCAACTGAAGATGCACTACAAGTTGCAATAAATTTAAGATCCACATCTGCCAATTTCAATTACTTCTAATCAATCAATTGGCATTGATTCACAAAATCAGATGTTGGATTTACAGACATTGAAAATACATCCCCTGTAGGATTGACACTAGCATAAAATCTATAAGTTTCTCTCATTGGTTTATAAGCTTACCATAACATTTCTTTAAACCTAATCCTGTTCTTCTTACTTTTTAACAAACTTAGAAATTTTGCAACATTACCAATCTCTTTCAAAGCATTTACGCAATAATTCCTCAGTGTCAAATTTATACTTAGGAGCCCATATAGAGATTGGATATGTCCAAATTCTTTTTTACTTCTTTCTTTTGGCAGGAATGTAGATGGGATCTTATGTTCTTGGTAAAACATCATAATTGGGATACCAATCTTCAATAACAGGTTTCGATTTAGAATATGATTCTATATTGGTTTCATCAATCAACACATTCACAACCTAATGATGATGAGATTGAGAACCTAATCAGCTATGCTAACTTTAGTTCTGAATTTCTCGATGTGTTATTTTATAGGAACAGATTGACTTGCAACTTAGATAGAATTGGCAGTGTAAAAGTATTCAATATCTCCAGTTGGAATCATTCTATGAGTCCTGAAATGGCCATGCTCAACAGGTTTCCCTAAAAATATAGGATCATAGCCTTCATAATCAAAATGAATGAAGATAGGTTCATCAGCACAAGCTCCGCTTTAATCTATTTCATAGAAATGATATCATACTGGGGATCCATTCGAATGTAGCCATTTACCAGTTATCACATATCCAACAGACATCCCTAACTTTCTCAAATCTCTAGGCGTGATCATAAGGTTTAGGGTGTGGCATAACACCTCTAATTCGTTATTCAATATGTGTGGAGTTGAAATTCTTCATAATCGAATCGATAATCAAGAAACCTTTTGAATCCACAAATCCAAAGTTGCCTCTGAAATGAAACCCATAAATTGAGTGGTTGTATTTCAAGGCTTCAGATATAATTTCGCAATCCGATTGAGTGAAACTATTTGCTGACAAATCCAGATGTTGAATGACTTTATTTTCAGTAATGAAATCCTTTAAAGCTGGAGCAATAACATTTCCGCATCCTAGTAAATTGTATGAAAAATCTAGCACTTTGATAGTTTTATTAATTTATAATGCTTTGAAGATCTCTGCCCCACCAGAACCTTTGATAGAATTCCAACGCAAATACAATTCCATAAGTGTATCATTGGATTCTATTAACTATTTCAAACTTTGATGGGCATTGTTTGTTATTTTATTTTTGGCAATATTCAAAGTTTCAACAGAGAGATTCTTGTTTATTGCTTTACATAATTCAATAATTAATTGATCTCCTAGATTATTGTCTTCCAAATTCAAAATCTGAATCCTTTAAATTAAATTTCAATTTACTTGCATTGTTACAAAGGGAGGATTTTCAAAATTGAATCTAAACCTTTTTCTCCTATTAAATTTGTTTAGAATTCAATCCTTCTAGCCTGTTTGCTAATTAAAGGCATTAATTATGCTGCTCCTTATTCCTTAATTCGATTATGATTAAAATTGAAATCTTGAATAGCTGGTAGTGTTCTTAAACCTTCAGAAAGCACTTCCACATATTTATCTCCAAACTTTTAGTTTTGTATAGAAAGTGAATTACGATCACCCTTCAATTTTATCAAACCCATTTTACATGGCAATATCCTTAATCTTTCAGATCTCTAAATCAAATTAGTCTATACAGAGTCTATTTTCAATGATAATCTATGCATACTTTGAATATTTTCGAATTAGTTCTGTTCCAAAATTCTCTTTATATTTTTAAATGTATGGTAATAAGATCTATAAGCATCCTCACCAATTAGATCCTTGGGCTTACGATCCTCGTAAAGTTCTTCATTATTAGATGTCAGACTACCGAAGACTTCCTTCTAAGAAATATATTGAATTCAACTAACATCATTAATGAGATCCTTTTCCTTGGTTGGTTATTGGATCTTGTAGTATTATCTGTTATAGCGTTTGGGCATACTTACTTCATCCACTCCACTCAAATATGGCAGTTACTTTGCGATTGAAATCTTCGGTAAAGCCATGGATCTGATAGAGTATTTACCCTAAATGACTCAAATTCATACTGAATTCTTCCCATTATCGTATTCTTAAGTTGTGGCTTGAATATCTTGCATTTTTTAAATTAATACAAGCAAATAAATTATCAAAACTCTCAGTATGAATTAATTATTTCAAAGGTTTCCTTCTCGCTCTCGTTCGTATCATCCTTACCAACTTTCCCCCTATTTGCTATATGTTCAGTTAAAGTCTTTATGAAACTCTTCTGATTTATTTTCTTCCTCTGAATAGAAACAGTTTTCGATAATCCATATATAATTTGTTATTCATCATTCTTTTTCTCCAATTTCTTTCGATTCAGAAACTCTTTATATCGATTCTAAATTGGTCTTAAATCAGACAACTTAAAAAGTAATTGTACATCATACTTAAGATATCCAAATCAAAAATGGCAATATGGATTCTAGTTCCTTATCGTATTTATCATAAAAAAAATCATTAATCTTTAATCCATTCTCAGGATTCATAATAAACGAAAATACTGAATTCTAATAATTAAACAATATAATATCGTTACATCAACTATTATTACATCCTTGAGATCTCTCCCCAACTTAGTTAAATCTTTTGTGAAACTATTTTTTAAAGGTGTACAACTATCTCTGAACAATCTCTCTACTGCTTTTCCATCTGGATCAATATAATCAATTACTGCCATGGCATATTCTTTTATACTTGCAGTCCAAAAAATGATATCATAGAAATGATTAAGTTATTCTATAAATTTCTTAACTCCAGGACGAACAATCACATATACCTTGAAATTTTATGATTATACAGCAATCTAGGCTAATATTTATATGAAATACATTAATTGTAAAGTCAAATGAATCAAAATATTCAAATTAACTATGCACTAATGTTTCATCCAAGTCCAAAACAATTATTTTTCTTTATCCCTATTTTAATAGTATTTTCTAATACAATAAATGAAGATTTAGGAGTATCTATTTCTGGATGATATTAATTCATTTGCTGAGGATTCTTTTTGAAGCAATCAAAACAAGAACATAAACTAGACAAAAATGATCTTTTCTCTTATGTTTTTGAATAAATGATTTTATTGTTTTACATAAATATATATTTAATGTTTACAATTTACAACTCAAGTAATTTATCTTCACAATGCAAGTCTACTTGGTAATTTAAAAATATCAATCTAATACTCACTTATAAATTAATTTACATCTAGCACTCTTAATATATAATATCAATTTTTTTAGAAAAATGCGATTAAAGCTTGCAAACCACAAAATAATATAACTTTATTATTTTGAACTCAGTTTTAACTCAAAAATTTCTATCAAATATTCATATATATAATATGCTGTTTAATCTTGGTAGATAATTAGGAATTATTTTCAACTCTATGAAGGAAAGTATAGTTACAAGATTAAGATCACGATAAATTATATACTTACTAAATTATATTAAGTTCAATTAAAGAGATTAATATCTTAGAAATTGAAATAGAAGGGTTTATATAGTTTTCAAATTGCTATTTCATAGAGCCAAAAGATTGGATAGATGCAAATAGTGATTTGTTATTATCAGTAAATTCGCTTATAAATCTAAAGGATAAAAAATTTGTTAGTTAAATAAGATATATATTATTATTGATTTATGTAAATATTGATTATATAATGAAATACTTATCTTTTATAATCAAGCCAATTCTAAAACATCATGCATAAATAGTTGAATATATAGATAAACAAAAGGGGCACTAAAGCACAAAGAATCAAGCTAAATATATGAAATAACAAATACTCTATCAAGAATACCACCATGACCAGGGAAAAGTGAACCAGAATCCTTAACATCAGCAACTCTTTTAATGAAGGATTCGATCAAATCTCCAAAGATAGATGCTAATGATACAATCAAAGAAATTAATAGAAAATGTTTAGTGTGTAGATCATCTAAAGTGATAAAGGACAAGAAATTCATTTAGGAAAGTATGAGTGAGGAGAAAACACTTAAAAATATACCCCCACTGACACCCTCCCATGTTTTATTTGGTGATATTTTAGGACAAAATAATGTTTTTCCAAACATAGAACCCATAAACAAAGCCCCATTATCAGTTTACCATGCAGAGATCAACCAAATTAGATTCAATGCTTAAGCCTATTTGTATTAGAACACTATCAATACAAAATTGAGAGGATATACAAACAATAGGAATTCTAATGATATGAATGATACTAATTACAAACAATATCAGCAGACATTTAAAAGAATGTCAACATTTATATTTTCTTTTCAACCATTTGACTTGGGAATTTATCTGAAATAGTTCTAAAAAATGAATATGAAGAGAGTGATTACTTCTCATTTTATTTTAAGAAATCGCTGATTTTTAGATAGTTCATCAATCTAACAAGAAGCAAGAAGAAAATAGATATGATCATATGTAAATGAACACTTAATGGATTGCTCTGCATAATCGCCATAGTGATAAAATAATGTGTAGGAATTCGAATGAACTATTGATAAATAAAGATTATAAATACCCAAGAGGATGCCATGGTTTCTACATACCAACGATCTGAATCACTGCAATTGTGTTTAAGTACATTCGAAATCAATTTTTAAAATTCTGCATGCAACAAATAGAGGACCACTTGAAATACAATTATATATGTATACCATTAATAAGGACACAGAGTGCTAACTAATTTTAGATGGTGTACAAGACAATGGGACCTCCAATCAATCCTGTAACAAATCTTTGAGTCCAATTAACCATTAATTAATTAAATGTTTCATGAGTTTTTGTAAGAGTTGGGTACTTTGAAAAATGCAGAACTTCCCTTCCCTTTCCGTAACTAATTCAAAATAAAGGAGAATTTCATTAATCCTAATAGTAAACATTTCGAATCCATAGCCTAAAAGTATAGAAATCATTAATATTGTTTTAGATTATTATCAGAGGAGAAGGCTGGAATCAAACGTAAATGGGACAAACAATGCAAGATGATGTTTATTTGGATATTGGGTAAATTCTTTTAACTCAAAAACAAAAAGACTATAAACCCAAACTAAGAGGAATGGATCTAATTGGCATCTATACTTTAGATTGATGAAACTACACTTAAATAAAGATGGATTACTTTGATCAATCCAGTTTCCAAAAGTATCAACTGGGATCCAGAAGAAGATGAAATCATTAGGTCACTCATGCAGTGAGTTTATTTATATCTATAATTTAGTGAGTAAGATGAAAAACATATATGGACACACATTGCACTTGAATTATATAATCAAAATAATGGACAATTTATTAGAACACCAAAATAAGTTAGAGAAAGATGGATGAACTACTTGAATCCAAAACTTAAAAAGTAACCTCACTTATTAAATACAATAGAACTAATTGGAGTCAGTAAGAAGATCTTCAATTATTGAATACGGTTGTCAAAAATGGGAAGAGATGGTCACTCATATCCACTTTGCTTGAAGGTAGGACTGAGAACTAAGTAAAAAATAGGTATAAATCAGCACTATCATATTATAGATTTAAAAGTTTAATTTAAAAAATACACAAAGATGAAGAAGAAGATGACATCGAGGAATTACAAGCAATCAAAGAGTACTTGAACAAATAAAACATTGAGGAGGAGTAAGAACCACAAAAAGAAGAACCTTAAATTAGAACTCAATACTCAAGATAAGCTAAATTAAAATTCAATCTAAGAGAAAAGTCCAAAGACAAAATTCAAGAAGCCCCTCCTATTCCACCTTAAGAACCCTAAACTAAAAGAAGAAAGATAAGCTCCCAGATAAAAGATTTCCTTAACATTGGACATGATCCTGTAGTTTAATAATAATAAAAGGTTCAAAAGACAAAATTAAAGGAAAATAAATAATAATAATAGTAATAATAACAAAAATAGTAATAGTAATAAAAAAAATAATAAGAATAATTAATCAATAAATAAAATGATGAATAATTATTAGAGTAATCATCCTTTTAACTGGATCAATAATAAAAAATAATGTCCTAATAATATTAAATGCCCTAATTATCATTAAATGAAAGCAACAAGAGAGATTTATCAACACCAAATACCCTATCTTATTATTTTCAACCATAACTTCAACAAATGGAGGAATTAAAGAATGATCAATTCAGATTAAAATAAGTTCAAATGTCTCCTATTCAATAATAATAATAATAAAATTAAATTCCCTATCAAGGTTTTCGTCCATTTCAAGAAGAAATTCCTTAATAAATTCAATAGACCCCTGTTTAAATGTTAATGGGACAATATTTTAAGAATTACCCTTCCAATTATAATATGATTTCCCCTTTCCAACAAATCAATTAAACGCCTATGGTTTATACGCCTGCCCAACCGATGTATATGTACAATAACAACAATAATGGCTATATGGGCATGTCCCCATTACTCATTCGTAGTCCATATTAAGAGATGTCCCCAAGTGTACAACCTTAATAAACACCACCAATGTAGTAAAATATGTGGTAAACTCCGCTATAGACCCCTATTGATTAGATGCAAAGTGAATAGTAAAAGCAATAATAGTTTGTAAACAAATTTATGCTAATTAGAATACAAATTTGGAGTTTTTAAAATCAAACAATCTTCTTAATACTTGGATTAAAAAAAGAACAAATGAAAAATAAAATTAAACATTTTATGACTCATTACAATCACTAGATTAATGATATATTTAAATGTATTAAATTCTATATATCATTATAAATTTACACCAATGAATTTACTTAATTTATTATATTAAATAATAAATTAAAATTTCATTAAATTAAATCTGTATTCTAATCCCATTACATTTATCAAATCTCAATCGAATTTTCCTTCTAACCCTATTGTTGACTTTTCAGAATTTCCTACTCTTCCATATTGGGTGATTCTAGATTCACAAAATCCAAAACAGAAGAATTTTGAGTATAATCAATTTCAAGAATTTACTTTAAAAATCTGTATATTTACAAGTAGAAACAATATCAAAATAATAAAGTGAAATTGTGAAACCCAATCCAATCCAATTATTGAAATTCCACAATAGAAATATCCTACAAGTGAATATCCTTATTATGCATCTACAGAATTCTACGCCAATTATGCTGCAACTAATGGAAACAGAGTCATTGCTGTATTTGTGAACATGCCAACAAAATGAAAGGCAGTACCAACTACTCTTTATGATACAGCATATTAAACAGTAGGAATAATGATACAACAATACATATAATAAGATAAACGTAATGAAATTAAAGGAATTATTGAAACATAATTAGGATCTCAATTATGATTTGATCTCATCATTCCAAATAGGAAGTGAGTAAGAATGTAGCTAACACATGTTGCTAAAATAAATAGTCTCCTTTTGCCAACTTAATCTAGATAGGAACCAGTGAGAGGACTTAAGATTGCTAAGTAATTAAATAATCTCTATACAAGCTGCCAAATAAGTTAGAGTCAACAATCTTCCAGATTAGAGATATGTAAATTCAAATTTTTGCTGCAAAAAATCATTTGCATCATCTAAAAAGGGTGTAAGAACTTATTTATAAAGAGCATACAATAATTAGGAGTAAAATTTTTAATATCACTAAAAGACACCTCATCATTAGTATGAACTTCTATCTAGGATGCATAAGGTAACTCCACAGATGAAGGATAGAAAACATAAAAATGCACTGAAGAACAATGGATAGGCTAAATGACCAAATTAATTGTATAGAATTGGAGTAATAAACGAATTTAATGCGCATGCAAATTCAGGTATTGCCATGGCATATCCAATTGCAGTAGAAAGTTCTATCCATCTAAACCATTTTCCTATAATAGTTGTTTAAGCAATCAATAGATTTTCTGAAGCTGTACCAAAAATAATCCTACCAACAAAAATTTACCAAAAAATGTAAATATAAACCGCCAAATGATATGACTAGTTACGTAATCACAATAGTCAGATCAAATCCTATTAATGCCGTTCTAACTCCTTAACATCATTTATAAATTATACCTAAGATTCCCCCAACTAAAGTTAAGAAGATATTTGGGAATGCAAACCCTGAATATAGTAATTTAAATTATGAGATGGTAATGACTAATTACTCAATCAATTGACTCTACAAAGCCTGAGGATTATCAAAAGTAATTATTTCCAAACATTAAAGCAGTACCTAGTATAAGGACTATGCATTTAAGAAAGGAAGCTTTTTAATTTTCAGTTTAAATAGTATCCTCCTATTTTGGTTATAAAGATCTCAAATCTCAGGCTTAATTCCTTTTAAAGATCATCATTAATTTTCATACTTTTCAATAAGGATTTTATGTAATTTATGCAAAAACAATTATTAAATTTCTCATAATACTAAGTGGAAAAGTCAATAAAAATAAAAAATATTGAAATTAAATAATTATAAAATATTATTATTATAAAATTCTTTATTAATTAATCCTTTTACTCTAATTATTGAGTCTAATCTTCAATTTACTTATAGTACCTACTTCTCTTTTGTTTAATAGGCACGCTTAAATACAATATTATTCATTTCTCCTTAAACATGGATATCAGGCCAATTTAATTCATTGATAAATGACAATGCTAATTGTTATTTTATACTTCATATTTTTTTTAAAAGTACTAACGATTTATTTTTCTACAAGATTATAATTCTATATCCCTTACTTTCTATTGTTGGTATTCTTTTAATACTTATTTTTAATTAGTTACACTCTTGATTCTATTTTGTTTGAAAATCCAATTTATTTATGAAATTTAATCATAACTCAAATCAGACTTTTTAAATAATGTAAATTATTTAAATACTGACTTGTCCAGAATTGTAATATAATATATTTGTTTGTATTAAGAACAATTCATAATCAATCTTCTGTTGGATTGCCTAAAATTTGGAAGTTTTTTCCTCTGAAATCTCCAGCTTATCCTCTTAATTTAACATATTCTGCAAAGTCTCTTTGATTAGCAGAGAATGCACCAATGATTTATGAGACTAATTATCTTTTTTATTCTCTAAAACATATGAATAATATAACCTCTTTTCTCTAGTTAATTAATAATTATAGGCTTTTTCTCTACATTCTCCTCCTCTATCTTCACTTTATTTATTTTTGGCAGCCAATCTAGCATTATAATCTGCCAAATCTCTCTTTTAATCTTAGATTCTATTATCTAATCCTAAGATGGCAGCAGTTAATTAAGCAAGAGCATTATTTAAGCCGGTTAAATCTTTGTCAAAATTACCCTTTTCCAACACAAACATATTCAATCTTTTTTGTTCAGCCTTTGTTTCCAAAGCCTTGCTATCTTCTATTTGTTTTAACATAAGATCGCAAAGATTGACAATTCTGTTTACTGTAGGTGAATTTTAGAAATCTTCAGATTAAGCAGCACTTGCAATTTCAGCTAACACATTAAACATTTTAGAATAACTTTTCTTGATTTCAAATTTCTCTAATTTTATTTTTAAACATATATACTTGCTTATTCAGATGCATTAATGAAGTAATCTCTGACTTTTTACCATTATGATTCATTATTCAATTATAAGAAACTTTAACTTTTATCAGAAAACATTCTTCTAACTGTTTCAATAACAAATGTTGCATAATCATGTTCTTCAACTTTTTTATCGAATTCAGCCTTTTCAGTCTCTCTCTTCTTTACTAAATCAGCTAATTTCTTTTCTGTTTCTACTTTCCATGCATTCTTAGCATCAGCTTATCCTTATTTGTATGATCTTAATGGTTCTAATTCATCTAAAATTGATTGAATTTCAACTGTTCTTCTCTCCAGATTAGCACTTTCTTATTATAAAATTTTGATGTCCTCTGTGCATTAATTTTAATATTCATTATTGGTTTTATCATCTTCTTTTTATTCATTCTCAATTGAGGTTTCAAGATTTCTCATAATTTCGATAAAACGAGCAATTGGTTCACCTGTACTCATTTGCATTTATAATGTATCAATCAATGTTCTACCAAATTCATCCTCATCAAATGCTCTGAATTGATCGAATTTGTCCGCTATAGCTAATGCTATTAAACAAAGCACCAAGATTTTCATTTATTTATTAATTAAAAAAACGAATTTGATTATGGCTTAAAAACTCCTTAAAAAAAAAAGTAAATAACAAAACAAAAATTCAAACAAGACTGACAAACCAAGTATTGATTTCATTTAAATTAGAGCATAAAATCAAAAAGAATAAACCTTAGACATTATATAATAAAATGGTAACTGAGGAGAATACCAAAATCACAAAAACCATAAATAAAAATATTGAAGAATAAATGATGGCAAAGGCAAGACTTAACTAAGAATCATTTAAGTTATTGAAAACCAAAGAAGAATAAAAGAAAATAGCAAAGGAAGCAAAAAAACAAGCATGATTAAATTTTGGCATAATTAAATATTCAATTATAGATACATCATCTTATTATTATTTTAATTGGAATTCATTTATTATAGTTGTAGTTGTTGCTATTTATCAAAAAACATATACAAGTGTTAATTGATAAATTTTGAAAAATCATTATTAAATTACACATGAAAGATTATAAAATATCTTATATATATTAAACTTAATAAATATGCAACAAAATAAGAACCTATTTCTTATTACAAAAGAATAAAGTATGATGAGATAAATTACTATGAATTGGCATAATTTAAGAGTAAGAAAAATATTTCTTATCGCTAATAATTAATAAATAAACAATTTGTAAAACAAGATTATAAATTCAATAATGTTGAGTTACATCTCAAAAGAACAAATTAATATGAATAGCAATTAAATTGATAAAAATTATTATTTATATTATGCTTAAATATTTAATTTTAATATATATCATAGTTAAGATTCGAAAGTTGACTTAAATTCTAAAAAATCAATACCTCCATTACAGTTTTTATCAAAATGTTGAAATATCAAACTTGCATCTTCATTACTGATTTTAGAATTAAAATATCTAGAAAGATATATTCAAGAGTGTTTACCTGAGAAATTTGACAAACTCAACTAGATCGAGTACTTAATTGACATCAGTATCAAATTATTTAAATAATTTAACTAAACTTTTTTCCTCTTCTTCTATTTTATCTTTTATTTTCTTTAATTCAATTTTCCATTTAGGCATTTAAATTAATGGGCTGTTTTCATAAACGATATCTGGTTTAATTTCTTATAAGCTTAATCTAACTCTATGTTGTTAGAGACATCTCTAAAACTCTAAAAAATTAATTTAATTAGTCATGTCAACATCAATCATATTAAAAACAAATTCAATTTATTATCTAGTGAGTTTGGGATCTATTTCATTTAATAACAGTTGTAATTCCTTAAAAGTTAGAAATTAATTATCCTAAACTTACAACTTTTTAAATGTTTCCAATAAATCTATTTATTTAACAACTATCATTTATCTTAGCTCATTAATGATGAACTCTGCCTAGGCTTCCATATTAATCACTTTATCAACATGATCCTTAAACTTTTAATAAATTAGCGGATGTCTATACAAATCATTCCAACCTATACGCTTGTCTTCTTCTACTTCGAGACATTTCAATATAAAATCTTTAGCCTCAGCAGAAATATATGAGGGGAACGAAACTGGGTATTTTAAAATAGAATTCAGTAATTATGGTACAGAGTTAGCAATCCATGGAGTTCTTCTGAATATGCATTCATAAAAAATGCATCCAATTGACCAAATATCACATTTACTAGTATATGTTTCTCTCATTAAGATCTATGGTGCCATATATAGGGGAGTGCCAACCACAGATTCCATTACATCTCTTTAAAAATTAGATATGCATTTAGCAAATCCGAAATCTAATTTATAATTAAAATTACCTCCTAATTTAAAAGTGTTTTAGTGGACGAGTATATTAGCTGGTTTCAAATCCCTATGTATAATTCCTTGTTATAATAATTCAATGAAGCCATTTAGGATATCAGTTAATATTCTTATTGCCCCTACTTCAGTTAAATATTGCTATTTTCTGAGATAAGTTCCAAGATCTCCATCTTTGCAGAATTCTTGTACGATGTAATAATTATTTGAAGATTCAAGAGTGTCTAATAAACGAACTACATTATTTCCCTTCAGTTTTTGCATAACTGATAATTCTCTTCTTAAGCCTTCCATTAGATATTTATCATTGAGAATATTTTATTTGGGAAGCATTTTTATGGCGACTTATCTATTATTGGTAGTATCAATTCCCTTATATACTTTTGCAAATGATCCTGCTCCAAGAAGATCTGTCGTTAAGAGTTTATATTTATCAACAGTTTTTTCGTTCATTATTAAATATAATGTAGATAAATCATTTAGTTTCTGGCCATTTTTCATTGATTCTATCTGCAGCTCTGGTTGTATTGAAATGTTCTAGTGCATCTTTGATTCCTTCTGCTCCTTATAATAAGACTCCTCTTGGAATACGTTTATCAGGACATAATCCTTTTAGTTTTATGATATTTTCTCTTTCTTACCTGAGTACTGTTTGCATTTTCATCATTTTGGAAACAAATGAGATTTTAGATTTGGTTATATCAATTTATTTTTAAGTAATTTGTTGTAATTTGCCTAAGGGACGACTGTTCGATGCTGGTTATCCCAAAGTTTATTATTTGATAATTTTTTAAGCATTTGGTATTTCATCATCCGAATCTTCAATCTTCTCATCAGGTCTTGGTTATAATACATAATTAAGCATCTCAGTTACTTTTTCAGTAACAAATGGTATTGACCATGAAAAAATATCTAAAAAGTGAGGTAACAAATAGGGATGCTAAGAGTAACCGAATTGAGATATGTTAAGTGTACAATTCTCAAATTTTAAAATTGCTGCTTTATTATTATAGACATCACAATAATTAGGAGCACTAAATATTGTTAATACTTGAGGAAATTCTTTTACTTTTTCATTGTATTTGTACAATCTATAACCTTCTAATTAAGCTTCATGAGCTCTTATCAAACAAATGAACTTATTATTGTCTAAGAATGGTTAGACAGCCTTTTCTCCGAAAAACCAACTGCAACCTCTTGTATCGTTGCCTCTATAATGGATTTCATCATAAAGTTCATCATTTTCAACAGGATCAGCCCATAATATATCACAAAACAATCCTGCCTTTGGTGGTTCTCTGAATCTATCTATTCTTTCAACATCAGCTAACTATTTAAATATTATTCCATTTATGTACAGATTTTAGATCTGGAGATATACCTCCATGTAAACATAAGAATTTATTGTTTATTAAAGCCACCAAGGGCATGTTTTCAAATGATGCCATGATAACTTCATAGACTTCTTGGTCATATTTATATAGACATTCATCTCTAAAATTGAAGTAACTTGTTAGTTATTTGCATTCATGATTTCCTCTAAGGAGAAACACTCTTGTAGGGTAATAGATCTTCATTGCATATAATAACACCACTACTTCTATTGAAAATGACCCTCTGTCTACATAATCACCTAAAAAAACATGTAAATACACAAATACTCATACATATTTGCCTTATTCAGGATCCCCTCCCATCTCAAGAACTTTCATTAAATCGTAATATTGTCCATGAATATCTCCCACTAGAGTAAGAGGATCATCCACATAAATAACATTACCTTCATTTTTCAAATGATAATTGCACATCTCTACTATTCTCATAATTTAACCTTTTGATATTCTTCCCTCTTTAAAAAGATGTTCTCTCAATAACTTCCAATTTGGTTTCTCATCTATAAACAGTAACTCTTCACATAACGGTCTATGTGGTGGAGTTGGTATTGTATTTACTTGCCTATCCCCTTTAGGGTCTTATAATAAATCCATTAATTATTTTAACTAAATTATGGAAGTGAAAAATTACAATGGGTGGAGATTTTGTCCTAGATGCAAGAATCTCCTCAAGCCATATCATGATGGAGATAACACTGAAATCTTACAATTCAAATGCAGAAATCAAGACTGTGGAGATAATGGAATCATTGAAGTCAAAATAGATAAGACATTAAATAAAGATGCGCTCTTGCTCAAAAAGGATTATCAAGCAGCCAAAGCTATTGATATTACTGATAATACACTTATCCTTGATCCATCTATGCCGAGAAAGAGAGTAATTTGTAACAAGTAAATATGCTAATTATTCAGATGCAATTATGATGAAGCCATCTATTTCCTCAAAACAGATAAGAATGAGAAGGAAATTATTATTCAATATATTTGTGCCAATAAAAATCCTATTTGCGGCAATAAGTGGACGTAATTCTCTTTATTATCTTTATTTTAGTCAAAGAGAAATGAATGAACCTAAGCTAACTTTGTAATGATTATTTCACATTAAATTAAATAACATTTCCTTCATTAATATATTTAATTCTTTGAAAACCTCTCTTAGATATTTATTCTGACAATATATCTCTATTGGTAAAAGAGAAAATTAACTAGATTTATTTTTTATAATTTAATAATGCAATTTGATTTTTTTTAATCTTAAGATCATTTTCAAATCGTAAGCATTTATATTATTATGAATAACAACTTTATGAATCAGAACATAAACTGATTATGAAAGAGATGCAAAGTTATCAATTAAAAGCAAAGGAAATTGTAAACATTAAATAGAGAGAAATTATTTTGGATATATGCATCAATAAAATACTAATCAATTAATATACACAATGAATTAATTAGCTCGAATACATGGTACTAGCATAGGGAATAAAATAAAAATGATAATTGATATTTTTGGAGGATCAAAAAAATTCGTGAATGAAAATGAAAGATTTCTGTCATGCTACTTAGTTGTAAAAGAATAAAATTGACTAGGGTATAAAAAAAAGATCTCATTATTTGAATTTGGATAATCTAAGGATGAGAAAATTAGCATCAAGAATGTAAGTAATTTTTTGGTAAGGATATCTCAGAATAGGTATTAAAACATAATATTCTCTAGTGGAAACAGGTAGTTTGAGCGATATAATAAAATAGAGAGCGAATATGAGTTTAATGGTACATTTGACGAGTATAAATGGAAAGAATTTGAATTAATTAGAATTATTGGATTCATTGTAAAAAAATGAAGGAAAGATAAAGAGAATAAAATAGTTGAATGAGGGTTAGATAAGTGATGTATGGATAAACAGATAATTATAGAAATTTCCTTAATCAAAATAAACAGTTACAGAAATTAGTAGAGAATGCAGAATTAAATAATATAGGAATGAATAAGTTTTTGAGCAAGAGTAACCTGTTAAGGAAATAATATAGGGATAAAGATGAATGGTTTGGAGCAAGATTAGAAAGAGAATTTGAAACATTAAGGTTAATTGAAATCAAAGTTAAGATGAGAAATATTACTATATATATATATTAATAAATTATAGTCAGAGTATTGCGCAACATTTGTTTTCATTTGGTTGGTTATCGTTTTCAATATTATATATTTTCCAATTCTCAACAGTGTAGATTTTGTGAATATCAGGTTTAAAAGTAACTGTATGTCTGCCCTTGCCTCTTATGATGGGTTGTGATTACCTGTCATAGCGGGTTTTGGAAGGTTATTACTTATCCTTAACTAGGATGGTCTATGGATAAGTGCCTGTGTAAAATGGATTATTTGGAGTAATTTTCGGATTGGATTACATATATATTAATGTAGTAGTGATAACGAACTAAAAATAACAAATTAAATTCAAAAAAAAAGTAAAATTTAAAATGTTAATTGAACAATGTGAACCCAAGATTATCGTGGCAGTTCGTAAAAGACCCTTGAATAAGAAAGAAATCAATAAGGGCGATAATGATATTGTCGATGTTTCAAATTAATAGAGTTAAGTGATTGTCAAAGAACAAAGGTATTTCTCAAATATTCATCACCATTTTTAGAACCAAAGTCGATCTCACCAAATATATTGAAGAGCATTAGTTTAATTTTGATGCAGCCTTCGATGAAAATACCACTAATGAATAGTTATATTTGCAAATTGTACGACCCATCGTTGAAGCAGCATTTAATAAGGCCAAAGTAACATGTTTTGCATATGGATAAACAGGCTCTGGCAAAACCTACACAATGTTAGGTGATTATCAAGAAAGAGTCCCTGGATTATATTTATTGGCAGCATATGACATTTTTTGTTTGCTTAATAATGAATGTTATGGCCATCTTCAAATTGCAATCTCCTTTTATGAAATTTATTGTGGCAAGCTTTTTGATCTCTTGAATGAAAGATCCCTACTTCAACCAAGAGAAGATGCAAAAGGCAACGTCAATATAGTTGGCTTATAAGAAAGAAAAGTCTAATCTGTAGAATAACTCATGAAAGTAATTGAGCAAGGAAGTGCATCCAGAATCACAGCATCGAACTCATCAAATAGTGATTCCTCTAGATCTCATGCTATCTTATAAATAACATTAAAAGATGGATCTAGATCTCATGGCAAATTGTCATTCATTGATTTGGCAGGGAGTGAGAGAGGAGCTGATGTAAGTGATACAAATAAACAAACAAGATTTGATGGTGCTGAAATTAATAAATCACTATTAGCATTAAAAGAATGTATCAGGGCTCTAGATTTGAATAAAAATCATACTCCATTCAGAGGTTCAAAGTTGACCTTAGTCTTAAAAGATTCTTTCATTGGAAATTGTAAAACTGTGATGATTGGTAACTTTTCACCCTCCAATTCTTCCTCTGAACACACCCTCAATACTTTAAGATATGCTGATAGAGTTAAAGAACTGAAAAAGCCAAATGATAAAGAACTCAAAGATTAAGTAACATCGTTAGATAAGTTGGCTAGAGAACTAATGTTGCCAAGATAATAGTAGCCTGTCAAAATGTAGAAATAACTGTAGAATCCATAATAACAATAATAATAGCCATAATTCAATCCATTTAAGAATAATCCTTTATAAAATTATTAAAATTAAAATCTCTTTCAGTAACCATAATTTTTAAATTTGTAAAATTCAGTACCTGGAATGATGATATCATAATAATAATCCCAATAACCTACTTATACATTTCAAAACTTCATATAACCTCCCCCTCCATAACCATAACCAGTTATTCCTTTACAATAATCGTAATAACCATAATTCAAAATTAATGAAACAAAAAACAAGCAATCATACAATAAACCAACTCCTCAAATGTAGGAGGCAAGACCGTACATGAATGAGAATTTATTCCCAGGACAAATCGAAAGAAAATCAAGTATTTACTTAAAATATTTAGAAATTAATTCATCCATGGAAGATGATTTAATGAAAATAGGATAAAAACATGAATAATTAATTAGCGTAATTCTTGAAGAAGAAGAAAATCTAATCTCAAGTCATAGATCTCACATCGATTAAATGGTAGAATTGGTTAAATAAGTAACATTATTATTCAAATATGTAGGAAATGATGTTATTACACAATATAGATAAGCCTGGATCAGATGTTGATGAATATGTAAAAGGACTTGAATAAATTTTGTTAACAAAAATGGAAGAAATTTAAACGTAATTATAATTTCAATCAATTTAGATTATAATGTCAATTATCAACGTTTAAAACCCATTTATCTGAAGAGGAAACTTTGTAAAAGCAATTCTATCAATAAAGATAGTAATTATCATAGTAAGACACAGAGTGTTCTGACATTTTTAAATGATAATTAATAATTAATAATAATATTTATTATATATCATTTTCTAATTAATGCATTTGACATTTCAAATTTAACAAACATCGTAGCCTACAAGTCCAAATAATTAGTGGCTGTAAATACTTTTGGAATATTTTTTCTAGCAGTTGTGTTCAAATCTAAATTATTAGACTCAGTATCTTCAAAAACTCTTCTTGGAACTATTCCAGCTAGTAAATCCACTTCTCTAACATTGGAATGAATAAACGCACCTAAATTCATTATTGCTACACCATGATTATTTCTATTATATTATTTTTTTGGTTATTCTTCTAAAATTGGTTCTCCTAATTTTACTTCCTTTTTTTTATTATCTTTTTTTGCATCTTTCTTCACTTCCTTCTTAACTTCCTTTTTATCATCCTTTTTTACTTCCTTTTTAGGTATCTTTTTGCCTGTCTTTGGATCCACAGTAAAATCAGGTTCAGGGGGTCTATTTTTCTCTTCCTCAATTTATAACCATTTTTCAATATCAAATAATTATAATTCTTCTTTAACATCATTCCTAACTATTTCATCTTTGTCATGTAATTCAAATTTGATGGGCCTTGTCTCAAAATGCTTTGCAATATCCATTGTTCCCAATAAAAAAACATGTTTAGAATTAAAGTACATGTTTTGCATTTAAACTTACATATCAGTTTTTATAACTGTTCCATCATAAAACTCATATTAAACATAGCATAATTCATATGATTTTTAAGCTTGAACAGGTATATTTTCACATGATACTATTTCCACCTAAAATGGATTAAGTTTGGCTCTTAATTGTTCATGCAACAAGGGCTTATCACTTTAAATATTGAATTTAAAATCTAAGATTTCCATGATTCTCATTTTGGAGAAGGCAAATTCGAACTAAATCTAATTTAATTATATACATTAGGAGTGTTAAGCATTAAACTGTAATCAAACCAAAATTCTTGCATAACTTTCATATCATCTGCATTTACAAAGTACATATATAATTTTTTTTTCGATAATACTTCTGCTAATGAATCAATAAATCTTAATTAATCAAAAACTTTCTCAAAAGAATAAGTAACAATTGGTGGATCATCAAGATTCTATTATGGTTCACTTGAAACCACATTCCATTAATCAATAAGACCGGTGTCATATCTTTCTGTTGAATTAGCATTTAACCATTCAAACATGATGACAATGTTCTAGATATTTTATGTAACCACTTGAAATTGTATTTTGAATTGTACAATATTTTTTAAGATACCAGTACCATCATCTTCAGATAAGACTAACTAAATGTGAAATAGATGTATTTTTACTTCCTTTTTATTATCCTTCTTCGGTGGCATTAAAATTTTATTGTTTTATTTTCAAATTTAATAAATGAAGTTTCATCAGTTGAGACTAAAAGATGTTTCTTATTCAAATACCTAACTTAAACAAGAAGACCGTCAAATAAAAACAGAATTCGGAAATTTAAGCACATCAAGAGTAATTTAAGATTCAAATATTTTTAATAGGCTAAAGTGGCAGTAATTAAACAGTTTGTAACAGAAGATAATGATACGGGAAGATCAAGTAATAATGAGAAGGAATTATTTACGAAGATGCAAAATTTAGAATTTCAGAATGGTTTATTTTAAATGCAGATGTAAATTTATTATAAATGAATTTATAGGTAGCATATTCACAAAAGAAAGAATTTAGAAGATTTCACTATTAGATAATAATTAACTTAGATTTAACAGGATATTTAGAATATTCAAAATAGAGTGCAATCTGTAAAAGTAAATATTGATAAAATATTCGTTAAGAATAAAAGCAGTAGAAAGAAAATCAACTTAAGTTCATCATCAAGCAGCAGTGAAGATGTCGGAAGATTAGAGATTGGATTTAATTATAGGAATAAGTATTAGTTTATTAGAATAAAGCTAGGATTAAATGCTTTAATAATATAAAGAATTATTTGAGGTTTGCAATGGACACGAAAAATTGAGTACATTGTTTTCTAATTATTGTGGATCCATAAAAACAATAGAAATAGATATAGTTTAATAGAATTTCTAATTGCTAATATAGCAATTAATAAAGATGATGATAGATATTTTGAAAAAATTTAACTCAATAAAGATTGATTAATTAAAGAATACACCTGATAAATAATAATGTAATTTTGAATTCGGAACTTTCAATAAGGAATAAAAGAAGACATTAAGAACAACTGAAAGCCCATCTTTTAAAAAGAATCAGGATTTAGAGGATATGAAATTAAAATTGAATGATCATTATGATAAATATGAACAAGAAAAAGAGAATAGAGGATCAGATATAAATAAAAAATAAGAGAAGAATACATAGAATCAAAAGAAGTAAATAGTTAATAATAATAATAATAATAATAATAATAATAATAATAATAATAATAATAATAATAATAAATAAAGAATTGATTTAATTCCAAGTTTAAAAAGGAAAGCCAAACCTAGATAATAACATAATATTTGATTATTTATAAATCAATAATGTTTTGTTGTTACCCATTCCAATTATATATTTAAGGTAGTGTCATCTGGATTTGCATTTGGCACAATAGTCTATGTATAATACCCTTCCACTTAGTTTTTATTAGCAAATTCAAATCTGCCAACTCCGTTTGGCTTATTATGTTAAAATGGACCTCTGTATACTGTTCCATTTGGATAAATCCATTCTCCATCAACAATCTCATTGTTATTCCAAGTACCTCTAAACTATTAAACAATAATAACTAAGTAATACTCTCATAGCAGTGTCATTAAAAACATAAGTACCTTATCCGTGTTTCTTTCCTCTAGACCATTAACCAGAATACACATCTTTATTAGCATATGTATATAATCCTTCTCCATGTCTCAGTCCCTACTCCCACTATCCATAATATTCTCCTTTATTATTAGCATAAATCAATCTTCCAATTCCATGTTTTAAATTCTGTAAGAATTCCCCTTCATATTTATCTCCTGATGGATTGTAAGTGTATTTCCCCTTTCCTTCTCTAATTCCATTTACATATTAACCTTCATATGTATCACCATTTGGATAACTGTTTCAAAAATAAAATATATATACGTAGCTATTCCTTTGCCAGAATAATCCTTTGTTGAATTTGTAGCACTTCCGCCCTCAGGAGTAAATGAAAATGGTTATTAATCTTCCGCCATCTTTTCTTTGATTTTTAATATTAATAATATTCAAATATAGTCTTGAAAATATATAGATAAATTTATATGTTAATATATTTTCATCTATGCCTGTTTCTAAATCTATTTAAAGGTGTTGGCCAATTTGCATGGACATTTTTGACGCACTCACATTTCTAATAAATTCCTCCACAAACATAACAAAATTCAAATTTACACCTACATGTCATATGATTGCATCCTTCACTTTTTTCAACCCAAAATTTACATTTGGGACATTATTTATACTTGGCTCCTTTTATGAAACTAAAGAATTTCTCATCAAGATATTTTTCATTTTTTAATTTAGATTCCAATAGCCTTTTTTCTTTAAATTCCTAGCATGAAAATCCATTATGATATTCAATTTTACAATCTAAACAATATGATTTCTAACAGACAGGACAATCCAATCTAGGATTGTCTCCTGCAACAAATACAAATTAACAGTCTGGAGTTGGACACCATGAGTACTAAAATAGTATAATAATATACTTCATCTCCGTGGCTTTCAATATAGGTCTTAAAAGTTAATTATTGAAATTCCATTAATTATTGATCATCTAGTACTTCAGTTAAATCTGAATAGATGATGTTCTTTTTACATCCAGATGGACATAAAATGGGGAATTATCTAGATGAAATTTATGTTGTGCAATATTAATTTAAACATTTCTAGTGAAATATGTGTGAACAATATAAAGTGGCCATCTCTGTAAATTATATGTTGTCCAGGCAAATTTTGCATTCAATCTAATTTTTTCTTTCATCTTCTAATATTTATTACTCTTCCTCATAATTTTACTATAATTTAAGCTGTTCCAATTATTATTATTCTTCTTCAAATCTATTAATTAAAAATTAATTTACTATTTTTGCAATTACAATGCTAATTCAAAGCTTTTTGATTCATCAGCTGTATCTTTTTTTAACTATTAATATATGATTGAAGCATTTTATATTTGATTGAATCCTTATGATTCTAATTATCCTCTAAGTGGGAATAAAATAGAAGGCTATGAGTCCTCATTCCAGAGTGATTAGGTTTATTATTTTAAATTTTATTGCTATGGGAAAATTTGAGATATCTAAGCTTAATTATTTGATTTGAACATCTATGTAAGTTGAGTATCCTCTTAAGAGTTTTGACTTTCAAAAACTTCTCTTTCTAATTAAATACATAATTCGTTTAACTTGAACCTTAATATAAGTCAATACATCGAAAGGTCCTCTCAATGCATCATTGTATAGCTTATAGACCCTTTCAGGTTTGTATACTTTTATGTCTATTAGCATATTCAAGCTCATAATGATTTCTAAATTTGATAGAAATACATCTTATGAAGCCTATTTATTTCTACCTTGCAAAATTCCCAACATATAGGATTATATTATTAAATCACGCTCCTAATGAGTAAACATAAATATTACATTTTTGTATCTCAGCTTCCCTCTGATCTGATTTGCTACTTCTTGAATTTCAGACATTAATTTTAATATAAACCCATATTATTATGAAATATCGATTTATATTTAAGGCTTGAAATTATTTGTATTAATATTAAGACTGTACTCGTACAGGATCATGTCTATAGTAGTTACTTACACTTTGCTTCAGCAAATGTAGGCAACCAACCAAGCTAGAATGATTCAGCATGCACTCTGATCTATAATTAGGAATATGAATCCATTCTATTTCATGGAATGCGATTCGCGATGCCCATCCATATTTGTTGTGCCCTAATATTCTTTATGGATATTGGAGCCTTCAAATATGTGAAGATTTGAGTGTGTCTGACTAGCTCCTTAATTAAACAAACGAAATTTATATATATACTCCTTCTGATGTTTCACATTACTGCATTCAATCATTAATCATTAAGCTTATACAATATATAAATATTATATTGAAACTATTCTATTAGTTCTTATGGATATACATAGATCTGTTATCTTAAATTTATTCAGAAGATCTTTTGCTGGATCTGCACTTTAAAATCCAATCATTTTCCCAATGAAATCCATCTCTTAAACAATAATCTATTCCCATCAATTAACAAAATATTGCATATCATTAAAAGAGGTTTCTGCCATCATACAAAACTAGTTTAGATTGCTATCACTGAATTGTTTTCACTTATCAATCGTGTATTTTTAAGATGTTAGAGACTTTCTCTGCTCTAAAACTTTTATTTGCTCTTTTATACCCTATGATCTAATCCCATACTTCAACATAGCTGATTTATTAAGTATCTAATTCTAAAATTATATAAATCAATCTTTTATTGAGTTTTCTGGAACTACCACCACAAAAAAGTGATAAAAATCAGAATTAGTTTAAAAATTAATGTTGTTTAAATGCAAGGTGGATGATCTGAAGAGTTATAATAAAGAAATTAAAACTAGTTGTTATAAATCAAATATTATGATGATAAATGCATATTCAATTTATATTAGTTAAAATTCATTAAAATAATTTTATGAGTTTCTTTGACTTTAAAAACTCTAGGTTTGACGATATCTTAAAATAAAATTGTATAAATATAGTTTTTTTAAGTCTCAAATACATATTAATTTATATCATGATTATTTCTTAAAAAAGTTATCATATGCAGGATATATTGTCATTCGAACATCTGAATTTTTTATTAATTTCTTTGTCTCTGTTTCTTTCTTCAATTTTTATTATCTATCTCCCTCTTCTTTTACCTTATCCAAAGTTTCATTTTTTTGAAGTACATAGTTTGTTGGATTAATATGAGACTCCACAAGTTTATTTAATATTTCTTCCGGCTTTTTTAAACCTTCCTAATTATCTACACTGCTATCATCTTCGATTATAATTATTTTATCATCCCTAATAAAAAAATTATCATTTGCCCTCTCATATGATGGACCTTAATACCACTTATTTATAAATATATGTTTTGCAATAACATTTCTAAGCTCTTCTAGATTCTATTAAGAATCTTAAACATCCTATTGTTTTTTTTAAAATGTTTCCTAAGTTTACACTTCAGGGATGTGAGATTGCCCTTATTATTATCGCTTTTAAGCTGCCTTAGTGAATATAGAAGCCTTTTGGAATTGCATATTTTGTAAAGGAGACCCTCTTGGGGTGCTATCTATTTTCTATAAACTTCTTTCGTGATGGTCCAAATTATAACTACCATAGGAATCTTCCCCATCTTATTTATTTGTGTTAATTCTTTAATGAGGTCTTCTTCTTAAGGACAGAGTGATGCTGTTTTCCACTATTGAAGAAGGCTTTTGCAATTCAATTTGGCTTCTTCTATCTTCAATTGAATCAGATTTTAATAACATAAATGTATATATAATCTTAATAATATATGGCAACTAATTTTCATAAAGATTTTGAATCTAATTATTGTTATTAGATTTACCAAGATATTCCTGATTATCATTTTAGGTTTGAAATTTGGTTCCAACAACAACTAATTTTTTTGATTAATCCATTTATTTTTCAATTAATTCTCTTATGAATTTGAACTAGTTGTACCTTCTAATTATTTTTTCTTTATTATAAAACAAAAATTTTCAGAAAATACATAAACCAAAAATTACAGAAAAATATAAAATAGTTTAAGAAAAGGTATTAGAAAAATCGTTATTCTTAAATAGGAAAATTGGTTATTAATAATTTCTTATTGTTGTTTAGTCATAAAGCTTGTGTCTATAATTTATAATAATATTATTAAAATAAATTAAAAAAATAATTCTTAATAGAAATGAATAAACCTTAAACCAACGATTAAGGAGATCTTATTGGATAACAATTATTAAAATAG